TTGTGTTCGAGAGCAACTGGGAAGTCTCGTCTTTCTGCCATGGAGTCATGCTCGCAAGGATGCGGAGCGCGAAAGAGGTTTATTCGCACGCCCCATCCGACGTAGTAGCTAACACTTCGGGCGTCGGGGATCTCGTGACGATCTCCGGTCACCATAAGGGCGGGTCTGCGACTAAAACTAGAGCACTCGGCGCTTAGCGATCCGCGTACGCCTCAAAGTGCCAACAAACCAGCACTCCCTCTTGCCCCGCCCAGGGCAAGAGTTTCACCTACCAACTCAAAAAAATTAACATTTGCATTTGCAAGTACCTGTATTGAAACTGACTACACAATATAATACTTAACCGTATTAATACCTGAAATGTAATATAACAGTGATTTATTAATATAGTCGTACTTAGTATACGCGGTGTTGCGTTCGATTCCCAAGTGGTATACTTAAGACACTCGCGCCCCAGCCGCCGCAGTAGGCGACATTCGGGCGTCGGGGATCGAGAGATAATCTCCGGCGGATAGGACGGCGGGTAAGAGTAGCTCGCCGCCCGACCAGAACCAGACCCGAACATAAAGCGCGTAGCATGACGCGCCTGATGTTCAACCGGGGTTGCGGGTTAAGCGCAATGAGTCATCGCGGACTCGGTACAGATCAGCAGAAGGAACAGGGGTTTTTAATCAGTAAGAGTCTGACACTCTCGCCTAGCCCTGGGAGAAGTCAATTGATGATTTTCCCCTGACAAAGAAAAAAACCAATGAGGATTTATCAGGTATCGAACTTTTTACTTTGTAGAGCACAAAGTTTGTAGAGTACTGAACTTATTTCCATTAGTATACCCCGTCACAAGGTAGTTAAGCACAAGGGAAAAATTTATAATCTTACAGAAAAAGCTGGCAACACACTTGTAATAATTGTTAGACGTTGCGGGTGTACCAACATAGGTGGCGCCTTTAATTAGTCTGTTCTTTGGTTCTTTTACCAACAGTGCCGGATTAGCCACGTAGCAAGAGTAGCAAATGCTACGGGCCCCGCGGACTGGAGGGCCCCGCGCTCAAATAGGTATTTCGTAATTACACCGCTTCAACAGCAAGACCTATGTAGAAAATGTTTTGTTTACAAAACTACTACCTACCAAATTTCAAGTAATTAGTTTTTTTTCTTAACGAAATAAACGAAAAAAGACAAATACTTAGTCGGTATTTAGTGTATAAAGTATAAGATAAGATAAGGTAATGTATAAGAAAAGGAAAGCGAGTATTTGTCCCCTCGGTTGGTGCCATTGGCGGGCGAACTGAGCCGACGCGAACTGCGCGCACGGCTATTTCCGCCTCACCTCTAGGTATAATATCTATCACGAAAAACGTTGGTATCAAAATGAACAACAATAATTTGAAATTGTACCACATCTTTTAAATAAAGCGCTAGCCACACACAAGTTATGTGTTGTACTACTTGCACTGCACTAAACACAAGTTGGCAACACTGCAAAACCATTTGGGGAATTCCCTGATATTGTCATCGATCGAGCTAGCCGTAACTCGAACAAATAAACTAGGATGCTATTGACTATCAAACAATAAGAAATTGATATACACTTTCCTTTGACCCAATATAAAAAAATAAAAAAGAAAGAAAAGTTGTCTTGACATTGCTTCAAGTACTGTTTTTGTGATTGACGTAGCGCTGTGTGCAATTCATTCAATTATCTTTTTACCGACTTCAAAAACAGGAGGGGGTACTAATCAAATCAAATCAAAATCATTTATTCCAAATAAACCATAAATAGGTACTTTTGAAACGTCAAAATAGAATAGTAGTCTGTCAGTGAAGCTAGGTGCTCGTTCCAAATTGTAGTTTCGAATGGAGAAGAACGAGCAAGAAACTCCATCGTTACTCTTTTAAAAAAAATATTTGTTTTACAATTCATCAATAATACATTTTTTATACATTACTGTACCCCTATGTGGGAACAATGCAGAGACAAGTTGTTAATAAAAAGGAACAAATGATGGTCTATTTAATCTATCATTAAAATTTTAATCCTTTGTTGTCTCGAACATGGCGCTCACATATGCGTACTCACAATCCAAAAGAATGCTTCTATATAAACTCATTCAAGGTTTCATTAATTTTGAGAATTTTAATAACTACTGACTACATATTTGAGTATTGTCCAGTGGAGCCAAACCAACATGCTGCCAGGCATTCTTGTCCTCAATATAATCTGAAAGTTTGTAGTATGCCTGTCTACATAATTCGCGTTTAATATAAGTTTTAAATTTTCGTTCATTAAGATTTAATACACTTCTTGGAATTTTATTGTAACAATTTACACAGAACCCCATAAAGGATTTCTGTACTTTGGACAGACGGAATCGTGGCACAGCCAGCCTATCTTTGCCTCTAGTATTAAAATTGTGTCTATCGCTTCTTTTTTCAAATAATTGCAAATTTTTCCTTACGTACATAATATTTTCATATATAAACTGACAAGGTACCGTTAGGATATTTATCGTTTTAAATAATTCTCTCAGAGATTCACGAGGGGACAAGTTATATATCGCGACCTCATGAAAACTATGTTCGACTGATTGTTTTTTTTTTGTATATTCACCGATTACTCCGCCATTTATAAACCAATTTCCGAAATTCTTGTTTTGTTTGAAAGGTTATACTCCCCAGAGGGTCCCATTTTCATGAGGTCGGGATCTGATGATATAATCCTAGGGAAACCGAGGGGAACTTTCGAAAATTGTAGGGGCAAGTAGTGCTACAACTTGCCGATAGTCGAACTTGACCTGATGATGGAGCCGTAAGACAGTTGAAGGATCTCTTTGATTATTTGAAGTAGTTATCTTGTGTTTGGGCTTGAATTATTCTTATTGGTGAGCACTTTGCACCAAGATTGCTCGTGACTGCCATTAGGGATCTGATGATGAGAACGAAGGACAGCTTAGGGAACTCCTGAACGGTTCACAGTAACTACCTCGTGTTTGGACTTAATTCATTTATATCGATGAAAACTTCGCACTTTTATGGGTTACAATGAAGTTATGGAGTAAATCTGATGATGGAGCAGGAAGACTGTCGTAAGATCTCTTCGAATATTTGGAGTAATTATGTTGTGCTTGGATTTAAATCAATTATATGGATGAGAACTTTGCACCTATACGGATTACGTAAGTATATTGAAGGTCTGCAGTATAAATGATGATGGAGACCATTGACGGTCGAGGGAATTCCTCAGCAATTTACAGCACTGAACACTGACTAACTCAGGACTACTACTATTATTGTGATTTTCGGTCTCAAGTAGTCGTCGTCTTCTCATTCGAAAACCATTATCCTTGCTTGCTCTGCCAAGTGAATCATCAAGGTCATACCAAACAGCAACAGTATTAGAAAAATATTGAATGGTGCCTCCTAATCATCTAACTAACAATAGCTATAGGTATAGGTAAAGATTACACTATTTTTGTTTAGCTTGGCACCGAATTCAAAATTATAAAATGGTTATTAATATTATTTTCTATTTAACTAAGTGAAAACATGTATTAATTTCTACAAAGAAAAACTATTTTTTGCTTTTTAGCTTACTTTTTGAAGTCGGAATATTTTTGTTAAAAAATGAAATACAAAGTACGACCATTTCAGCGGCTCTTATACACTCGACGACTATGTTAAAAATCAAACACGTTTCGAATTTGAGGTGTTTGTTGTCATAATTGATAACGTACTGTCTGCTATAACTAAACGTATGAAAGCGATAAAACCTCTTGCAACAGAAGAGATTTTTAAAAAATCGTCATAGATGTTTAGTACGTACGAAGATGATTTGGAGAACGGCGAATTCGAAGTTCGTAGGGTTGCTGAAAACAGATGTGGCTACTGTAATTGACAGCAAGAAACAGGAGCGTCTGGAACTGCAATTTTATAAACTTTTATTAAATAATTCTTTAGAATCGTGTTTCCCAAATTTAGAAATTGCTTTGCGTATTTACTTATCTCTCTTGATCACTAACTGCAGTGGCGAACGTTCTTTTTGAACGTTGAAACGAATTAAAAATGAATTAAGGAACACTATGGGCCAAGAACGTCTTAATCATCTCACGTTGTTGAATATAGAGCATGACTTGCTTAAAAAAGTCGATATTGAAAGTGTAATCGCTACATTTGTAACAGTTTTGTTTTATTTAATACCCTTTTGAGAACCGTTAGCAAAACAAGGGCCCCTTGACAGAATTTGCTACAGGCCCCGCACTGGCTTAATCCGGCACTGTTTACCAACCTATCTTGTAAAACTCCAGTCTTTACTTTTTTTGGAAAATTACATGGTTTTTTGCACATCGCACCCACACCCGAAACAACAATTTGTGGATCACACAAGCTGTTGTTCCGTGCAGTTGCCCAGCCACCACGCCAATCGTGCAGTCAAAGGTATTAGGTATGTATGTATGAACTTGTAATAAAATCTCTTTCTATTTGTATCTGGCTGGTTTTGGTATCATTAAAAGTTTAATATAATTCCAAATTCAGATTGGGAAAATGTGTGATTAAGATCAGCATTATATCAGTGGTAACGACGTAGCTGACGAACTGAGAATTGACCACAATAAAGTTTACTCGCAATTGTTGTTGAGCGCATTTGAAAAACTGGGTACCTTCACAATAAAGCTCGATATTTGGGTACTTACCTCATGAGCTCGCTGTAAGAAACCCAATTAACCCTGATGTGTTTGATTCTTTATTACATCGTAATGAAACTGATCCATTTTTGAAGCTGGTAAATGATGATGAAAGGTGGGTCACGCACGATAAGATCGTTCAAAACATGTAGTGGTCAAAGGCCGGTCAGGCTTCACAGACTGACGAAACTCGGGTTACCTCGCAACAAGGTGACGATGAGAGTGTAAAATTTAAATCCACGATAGTAAAAAATTGTTTTGAGTTTTCTTAAAAATTTTAAGAAACTTCTTTCCCTCCTCATTATGGTAACCCTTTGTTTGCCAAAACATGATCTAAGTGAGACCCAGTGTATTTATTATTGTCTTATTTACTGGTAAAGGAGAGGTTAAGCCAAAGTTAAATCACTCAGAATTTATGAAAATAAAAAGCAAAGTAATTTTTTTGGGTTTTATTTTATGCTTATATTACTTAACAGGAAGAGTCTTAGATCCTGGAGGGATACAACATCTGAAACAAGGATAAATTACATGTTAATCATGGTACTAATAGTAAATTGGAGTAAAGTTCATAGAATTATGATCTCAGTACAATTTTGTCCACATTAAGTTCAGGTTTCAAATGTCTAGGCATCATTGAAATGTATTTCATAGCTGTTTAAAACTACTTTTTTCATTTATTGAAGGATAAAAACTTGTATCAAGTGACAGGATTATAATTTTGAATAAGAATAATATACTGACCACGCGTATCCTGTGTCCCATAGCCTGCGCTGGCAGGTTGGAGCGGAAGCGAGCACGCACTCCACCGGAGTTGCCATGTGGTCTGGTCACCTTGCCCCAGATGGCGCGCAGCTTGGTCTTCTTGCCACGGGGTCCACCAGCAATGGGTGTCCTCTTCTTGGCACGGTATACATATACACAACGCTTGCCAGCATAGAAGTCTGCGTCTTCACGGCTCCTTGCTCCTTCAATCTGGAATTGGAATAAATATTTCAATTAAATTATTGTGTCAGTTGCAGTGAGAAGAATTTTCTAGTTAAATAGTGTATCAGTAACAGTTTGTCCACATAGAGATTCAGGTTTCAAATGTCTAGGCATCATTTAAAATTAGGAAAAGATTGGTATATTATACTACAATCAACTTGAATATTTTGAGAACAAGAATTATATATAATGAATGCGGATACTGGCTAGCAAATTTTTGCTAGGTCCAGTAAGTTATTAGTTTGAAATACTTTGTGAACTCCTCAAACTCCAAGCAGAGTTGGTTCACACATCTAATGTCTTGCTTTTGTGTCTCTAATCACCGTTGTAAGGTTAAAGTATTTAAATCTTTTATTTTCAAGGTTTGCATACCCCAGCCCCCAGACCAGGTCGAGTTGTATTATTTAAATCATATAACATATTTTTTTTTTAAGAGTCATTTGTAATAAGTTATTCAACATCTAATAAGTATAACACTGGCTGTCATGATAGTGTTACTATGTTTATCTTCACACATAAAAGACTCATGCATGAGGTTATGTTCAAACAAAACATTGTGTTTCATTACTTTGTTCTTGAAATTGTTGCCGACTTGGCTCTTCTCACCTTAAAAATCGAGAAAGTACCCACTAAGGTTAAGAACGCATTTCATTCCAAGGAAGTTGAAATATCAAAATAACTATTAATGTCCAGCTAACACTGTATCATGTCACATTGCTAGGTTGAGGAAGACCACAATATTATCAATATTAAAAAAGTACCAATTGTAGATAATTAGGAATACCACATTTATTGCAGGCAGAATAAAACTTCACGTGAGTATGTATGACATACCTTCAGAAGAGCTGTGTTCTCATGTTGGTTGCGAAGACCACGTTTGTAGCCTGTGAACACGGCTTTAGCGTACAGCCTGCCGTGACGGGGTTTCGATGACACTTTACGCACCGCCTTAGGAGGCTCTGCAGGCGCCGCAGGGGCAGCCTTGGCGGCCTTCTCTTTAGGTGCCTTAGTTTTAGGCACTTTCGCCTTGGGCGCTGTCGATGGCGCTGCGTCAGCCATTCCTAAAACACCAAAGCAACCAAGAAATAGAAACAGTATACTTGCTTCAACCACGAACTCCTCAACAGAGGTTATGTTGACAACGGACACTAATCTAAATTTATCTCCATGAATAAAATTAATCACACATTTTTTAGTACTCCAGAGGTTTTAAACATCATTGTTGCATATAGTTTATCACTTATTTTCCATCCATACCGTATATATTAAGAAATTTTCAACAAAATTTAGCACACTAACCGTTTGTTATTTTCCTTTGGAAATGAAAGAACGGGTTTAGGTGTTGCCAGATAACAACTTCAAAACACTCCCAAAAAAATACAGTATATTTTGACCATTATTTTGCTTCCTTCAAAATTTTAGTTTTACTGTCAGTGATAGGTAGAAAATAAAGTAAATATTACTTTGTCATTTTAGATTTAATTGTTTTATTTTAAAAAGCTCGAAATTTTATAAATCTCTTTTTATTTTATCTTACTTGTGGTAGTTTTTTATCGAGAACTGAAACGGCAACCCAGTTTTTCGTTCAGAAATTTTACAATGTAAAAGTCATGCTTTGGGAGTAAAAATAAATAATTAAAATTATATACAAAATTAAAACAAAATTTTATTATTTTACATAACATAAGATACCACACCAAAGAGCCTCAGGATTTTTTTATAAATTAATAATAATTAACGAAAAACTACCACTGCACTGACGTAGATTAAATTTTATTGAGATCTGTGGATCTCCTGGTGTCTGATTTGGACCAATCAGAAGAAACCACGAAAAGAGACGAACGAAAGATGGATTGTGGCTCTGTCAAATAATTATTTTGTATTGAAATTGAATTGTTGTGAATTAGTTATAATAAAGACTGCTGTAATTAAATTATTATTTAATAATGGACTACTTAGTGAATATTAACTGGAACAAAATCACACCATGCCTTGTCTTATTAGTGCTAGAAGTAATGTTAGAATGTGTGTATTTTTACGAATTTAACCTGCACATTCGCAGGTTTTTCTTGTTGTTTTTTGTGTGAAAGTACATGTTTTGAGTAGTTGGTGTGTAGTTTCAGAGTGTGCGACGCCGGCGGAGGTTAACAAACATTTGGATTTGGGCCGTGACTTCTTGGCTCGGGGTCAGCTATCAGATGCTCTGACACACTATCATGCCGCCGTAGGTGAGTGTCTATTTATCTGCAATATCAACATACCTGTACTCATTGTTCCATGACATATGACACCTACATAATATGCCATAGGTCTTATTAAAACTTACTACTCAAAAATCTAAAATTAATACTAACAAACTCAATGTATGCAAAATGCCAACACTGTAGACTGCAGGGCATTAGGTATTGGTCCGACTAATAATTGCAAATGTTGAATTTGCTATATTATAGCTCAAGGTGGACCAGTAAGAGTAAATTGTCACTGATATATTGATTGTCTTGATTATGTTTGATAACTTATCAGATAAACATTTATAATGCGGATGTTTAAAAATACACAAGATTTCGTTGAATTTATTCAGTAAAGAGTATATTATTATAATCCTTTCTAAACACTTTTCAACTCGCACTGATTTTGGGAGATTATTTTTATAGTATTTTATATTAATCTGTATATTTGCAGAGGGGGACCCACACAATTACCTCACATATTTCAAGCGTGGCACAGTATACTATGCTCTTGGGAAAGCCAAGTTTGCTCTACAAGACTTCACTAAGGTAACTAATACACTCAACATTTTAAATTTAACTTCAGAACATGTTTACAATATTCATCCTCATTAGTGCCATATGTTTGCACTGTAGATCTGCTTTACATTTTTCATTTTATTTATACATAAACTGAAAAATTGTGTTCAATTATTCATGAGAATACATTTTATATGGTCTACATATTATTAAAACTATTTTATTATAAGTAATACACCCACTTTTGGCCAATTATTCAGTTTGGATTCATTGAATGTGCACATCCATTTTAAAAGATACTTAACATAATCCAATTAAGGTACAAACTACAGTTATTCAAAATTCAAATAATCTCATTAATGCTGGATATTTACTAATATTCAATTTCATTTTCAATAAATGTTATTATATTCTGTTGCAGTTGCCATACCGAGAGATATGGAATAAATTGTGTATAATATTTTTTTCGGTATGGGCAGACATTTGGCCTCTATCAATCCTGGTGGTAAATGATAATGCAACCTACAATTGTTCCCACTAATTTACATTGGTACATTGTTATTTTTATGTTGAAACAATGTATGGTAATTTCATGTTTACAACTTTTTCAAATCTGTTATGAGGTAGTTGACTGAGAGGGTAGCAAATACAAAAAACCCATGTATATTTATTTGTAACCAGGTATTGGAGATTAAGTCTGACTTCACAGCAGCACGCCTGCACCGAGCCAATGTGTACCTGAAACTGGCCCAGTATGTAGATGCCAAAGAAGATTTCTTACAAGTTGTAAGTACCTACAGTGTCTTATCTCCTAAAGGTCATGTTGGGTCAACTAATGTCTCACAAAGATGTTCTATTCTGTTTTTTAATAATATACCATCATCTATCTAACTAACAATGATCTCTGTTTTCATTACCATAAATGTTAATAGATTACTAATGACTTAATCTCTGTTTTTGACAAACTCAATACAAAGTATAAGTCGATAATCCATAGATTTTGGTTTGAGATTGGCTACAATTTTGGTTGTTATTTAGCATGTGCTCCATGGCATCCTTTTAACCAACTTCTAAAGAAGGAGGAGGTTTCTCATTGAACATTTTATTTAACTGCGATGGAAAAAATAATCGTTTCAAGATTCGTAACTCTCGCTTCACTGACTTCACGACCTAAAGTTAATTCCAACCGAAGTTATCAAGCTGCTGCATTGACGCTGAATTAAAAATGTTAAACAATATTACATCTTGTGGTTGTTGCAACATTACGTGTCCCTACTGCGCGGGTGGCGCGGTGGCTGTGGCGAATGTGTGTTGTTGCTCAATTATTCATGTTGCAATACTAAATTAACCAAGGGTATCGCAACATTAATTACATCATCACTCTTACTAATAGATAAAAATTAAAATTACAATGTGCGCAATTTACTTGAATTTTTACAAAGGTCTTATCATCAGCCTACGCCGGTCCTAAATATTTTCAACTTGTATGCATGTGACTGCAATAGGTAGGTGTCTTTAAAATGACATCAATGCACATTTAATATGACTGAGTCTGCTACATGTTACGTGGATACTGTATTTTTACCGATATTATATTTTCCTTTTGTTTACGTAGTACAACTCTGTACAAGTTGATCAGCTGCTCACTAGCACGTAACGACCTTGACATTCAGTCCTTTTGTTATTTTATTTTGTTACGTAGACTGCACTTACTGCCGTTATTGAACGATATTATGCTGAGACGAACATTTTTTGTCTATTATGAATAATGTCAAATATTATACCTTGAAAATAAATACTATTAAATCAAGGTTATTTTCTAACCGTTCTTTATGTTTTGTACATACCACTTATGTTAGGAACAACGTTAGGCCTATAATTATTATGTTATGGAGTTTACTGTAAGAGATGGACAATTTATGGATGTTACACACTTTTAATTAACGTCAGTTAATGAGAAAGTAAGGAATCTTTATGTTTTACGTATGTAATCAAGATTTAATTGTTGTTTAAATTACACGCATTATCGCCGTCGTTGAACGTGCCGACCCTCCACGAGTTTCTAATGATAGATAAATACTACAAAATTACTGTTTGTACCACTATTGTTACTGATTACTGTCAAACAAAATAAAATAGTTAGATACCTAAATGTTTTATACAACTGTAATGCAGTTTAATGGAATATTTATTCAAATTAGAAAAATATCGCTCTGCTTTCTCAAACAATACTTACGAGTCAGTATAATACGAGTATGCTCGATAAGTTTCGATTTCCACTGGAGACCTTAGATAAGATTTGCTTATTTTAGTGTTTCTTTAGATAGCAAAAAATGGTTTAATCAGGTTGTTCATGCCTATCTGGTATTTTTTAAGTATCGACTTTTCAGTATGTAACTCTTAGTATGTTACTTTTCTGCGAGAGCTCTTGTTAAACTAAAAACTTATCGACAGACATATGCGGAACCGTACAACGAGGAGGCGATCAGCCAGTATCACAAGATCGACGCGTACATCGAGGACCTGCGACTAGTGGAGGCGTACTACCGCGGCGGGGACTACCGCGCCGCCGTGGAGCTCGCCACCAGACTGCTGGACACCTCGCCCTGGTCGGCGCATCTACGGCAACTGCGGGCAGAGTGCTATATTGGACTGGTATGTACTTTACTGGTAAAATTAAAGTAAGGCATCAATTGAATAGACCATTAGCTAAGGCTTTGGGTGGTAACCTAGTTATTCAATAGGAGACAATTCTATGTGTAAGGTCTATCTTACTATCTAGGTGTGATATGAAAGTTTGTACCTATCAATATATGTGTACTTATTTGTTTTACAGAACGATCTCTTCTCAGCGGTGTCAGACATTCGGTCAGTGAACAGACTGCAACAGGACTCCACCGACGGGTACTACAGACTGGCTACTTTGTTGTACCAGCTCGGACATGTCAATGATGCTCTTAAGGTAAACATTTTAATAATGTGAATTTTAATTTGTGATAATATGTGTACTGTTGCCACTGGTAACAATTATCTCGTGTCTCGTGGGAACAATTTTATGTGATCTGCAGATTGTGTTTTCGGGTTTGGGAGAGTTGTGTGACTTTGTGTGCTTGTAAACGTACCCACGATAACAGGAAAAACACTGGTCGAAACCAAATTAAAAAATTAAACAAAGATGATTTCGAGGCGCCAATTGTACTACTTTTTTAAGATTGTTAGGTATGTAAAATTATAAGATACTTATATGTATAGTGTCACGATGTTTCATGTTCAAACTGATACGATTCTCTTTAACCAATATTATTTATTTTGCCGCAGGAAATCCGAGAATGTCTGAAGTTGGATCCGGAGCACAAGAAATGTTTCCCATTCTACAAGAAGGTGAAGAAGGTAGACAAGTTCCTGTTGGACTGCGAGCAGGCCAGCGAGGCGCGCGACTACCCCGCCTGCGTGGCCAGCGCCAACAAACTGCTTCGCGCGGAGACTGACGTCACGCTCGTTGTCTTCGACGCCAGGCGCTGGCTCTGCTCCTGTCTCACCAAGGTCAGTCGGCGCTTGTCGTATACTGGGAGCGGGTTTGTTTATTTATATCCGCTATGTAATGGCTTGATTCATATGATTACTTTGAGCCACTGGATTATAAAAAGTCTCTTCAACTGATTTTATTTTTTGACACTGTCAGTATATTCGATAAAACTTAATATTAACAAGATACTTTCCATTGAGGGAAAAGTAACAATTAAATTTTTCAATATCGATAATCCAAATAAATATAATTATTATATTTTCTCTTGACACTCGAACAACAACAATTATAAGAACCGTAGGAAATTAACAAATGATAATTCATCATTCATCTTCCCCTACCCACAATTGTAAACTGTGTTGTGTTAGTGTTCTGCCTAGGAAAGAAATTAGTTAGTAAGTAATAATGTTAATGAGTAAATAATATTTGTCCAGGACGAGCAATGGTCGGAGGCGCTGTCGTCGTGTGGGTCGGCGCTAGAGTTGCAGCGCGACGCGCGCGTACTCTGCGACCGCGGGGACGCACTGCTCGGACTCGACATGTTCGACGATGGTAACCATCTAGTACTACTTACTGACTGCACTAACTTTTTAAAATTATTAAATACATTCAGCTTGACAAGGCCATTGCCAGAAGCATCTAAAATAATTGCGAGCCTTTGTCCACCCGTCATTAATATTTTACCATATCCTTCCCCTCCCAATAAGTATATCTTCAATTTTTTTTCGGTTTTTAATTATTGGCAATAGAATATCGCTTAAACTGTAACAATCAGGCTCAATGTTAATTATAATCACGTGTTTACACCTGCAGCTATTCAGTCATTCAAAGAGGCGTTAGAGTTAGAAGAAGGATTGCAACGGGCGAAGGATGGACTCAGTCGCGCGCAAAAGTTGCAGAAAATGTCAGAGCAGAGAGATTACTATAAGATATTAGGTGTTAAGAGGTAATACAGGTCATTCAGATAACTAAATATGATTCCTTAGTGTTTCTTCCTGAAGTATTAATCAAAATTATTGTCGTAGGTCTGCGAGTAAGCAGGAAATTATTAAGGCGTACCGCAAGGCGGCGCAGAAGTGGCATCCTGACAACTTCCAGGGAGATGAGAAGAAACTAGCGGAGAAGAAGTTTATTGACATCGCCGCCGCTAAGGAGGTAAGCTCGCTACTTTTGTGATTGGGTACTCATTACAATATGATTAGTTTGCTAATGTGATAAATAAGAATATATAGGTTAAGGATGTTCAAAACCTGGCCAGTAGCACTGTCACTTTTCTTGTTGAAGCTACATATCATTTAATGGAAACCATTGAAAGGAAACTTAGATGTTTGATGTTTTATTATAAAATTAATTACTTATTTGCTGTTGTGATTTAATGTGCAATCTTTCTACGTGAGAAAAGAGCCATAGTTACATTGGGCACGTGTAGTGTCCCCGTGGTTAGTGCAGTAGTACATGGTGTATACCGGCAGGTACTGACGGACCCGGAGAAGCGCGCGCAGTTCGACGCGGGCAGCGACCCGCTGGACCCGGAGGCGCAGCGAGGGGGGGGAGGGGGGCCCTTCCACAACCCCTTCCACCACTTCCAGCACGGCTCGCCCTTCCAGTTCAAGTTCCACTTCAACTGAACCTCCCACCACTCGCCTCCGCTCCCACTCGTCCTCCAGCAGACAGAATCGCGTAGAGTACACGACATATACATACATACTTGTTACTGTGATAATGTTATAACTTGTTCCGATCGACACTTTTCTGTCGTCCACCGAATGTAAATATTGTACAATTATGTGGCTAACAAATAAATTATGAAATATTTAGTAAAAAACACTCATTTACACGAAACTGAACTACGCAAAAACTTTTATTTGTCGTGAAATGTGAAATAATCAATGTACTCTAAACGAAGTATCAAGCTAATTTTCAACATGGTAACAACATAAAAATTATATTATTGTCATAAGTTGGGAACAACGATTGTTATTATTACATTTTGATCTCCAACATTTTAAAATATAATTTAGCACAATTTACATCGCTAGATATAATTAAAAAAAAAGGGAAATATTACACTTTTGGCTCAATTTTGGAATGCTTCGCAATAAACGCATATTAATATTGTTTGTCAAAAGTTAAATTGGAATGTTTTCATACTAACTGCTTTTAACACTAAGTACAAAACATGTGCATTATAATACCTTTAATTCGAGCGTCGAGTCAAACGGACTGTGAAGTAGCCTGGTCTCCGGCCAGTCCGCATACAGACTATACAAACAGAATGTTTGTTCGTATACATAATAAGTATACCTCGTCAGTACTGGCGGACTGTGGTGTTAGAGTTGTTCGTGGTACAAATGGAACGCGAACTTTGCAAAGACTATTTGTACATACTGTAGCGAAAAAAATATGTTCTACTGGTCACCTATTTTTTTCGCTGGTAGACAATATTGTTTGTGAATGAGAAAACTTAGCTGTGGTCAGTTTTAAGGTACCAAGGTATCGTCCAAAGTCACTGCAGTTACACGTCGACATGTTTACAAACATAGTTTCATTGCGAATAACATGAAACTTTACTGCGCCATGTGGTCGATAAATAAATATTTATTTATTAATAAGTTATTTTGTTGTGATTTCTATAACTTTGTAAATATTACAGGAATATAATAACGTAAAAAGTGGTTTTTATTTATTTATTGTATCCAAATGTTTAAAATTCGTATACAAATTCGTTTAATATAAAATAAATAATAATAAATAGTAGTAAATCCTAAAGCTACGAGTTAAACAGTAGATATAATTATCCCGTGGTATGTAGCCCGTCCTACGGCTCATGTTCAGTCCATAAAATCTTTGGTTTCCTTCCTTCCCTCAAGCTGCGGGCAAGTCTCTCGACCTCGTTGCTGAGCTTCTCAGGGTCCTCCTCCTTCTCACAGATGTATCGGTGTCTGAGCGAACAGTCGTGCCCCCGGTACAGGTAGGCGGGCCGCGCGGGGTCGTACACCCAGGCCAGGCAGCGGCCCTCGCCCGCGGGGGCGGCGCCCGTACTGTTGCCCACCACGGGCCGCGCCGAGTGGGACCAGATCCACAGCAGGCCGGGGTTCAGTCCGCCCGTCCAGAAGTCTACGCCTGCACTCACACCAAATATGTTGCATATTACTACATCATTATTATTATTACTACAAACTGTCTACTGTCCTAAATAATTATTGATACGGTTATTAGTCAATAGAAAGTGGCAAAGTTATCTAATGCTCATACTTACAGTCATCAAATCCACTTATGAATACACGTTCAGTTAATGTGTGTGCTTGTTAAACATGCCTGTTGCCCAGAGACGACCTTTCCTCACAAATACGTTACAACCAACAGCAAACATCCAGCTCGTACCTATACTACGGGTTATGGCACAACTTGTAGCCCCGATATACACGGGCACGGAATTCTTAGATATTTATTACATTAGTATTATAATTTGATTATGAATTACGTTTACAAAAGTGACACATCTACTTGTAGTCCAATATTGTTGTATATGTCTGAGGGTGCGGGTAGATACTAAGGTAGGATGTATAGTTTGGATGCTAAGTACATTATTGTGACGTCATCAATTATGATTTGTGTTTATCTACTGACATCGGGAAAAGTGAATAAGACAATTGCATACTCTTCGCTAAGCCGAGAGAGATCTTAGCGAGCCTGCCTGTAAGTTTACCGTTTGGGATACGTTTAGAAAGTAAGCGGATCAAGCTATAGAGGAATGAACCAGTCATGAGGAAGGCCAAGGCTCTGATGTGCTTGTACAGCCAGACACATTTAACAAGCAAACACATGCGAGGCATGTATTTAGTGTGGCCAGGTCCCCTACTGTTGGGGACGTCTCCTTTGGCAGCAGAAAATAAAAAATGATGTGTATTAAATGAATATAGGTAGTTAACGTACACTTTAATGTTAGCACAACATGCGTTTTTGCACCAATAATACGGGCTTACCTTTGTATCTCTTGTCAGTAAAGAGTGCAGAAGTGAGCTGGTCGCGCTCCTGGTCGTTGTCGATCTCCAGCATGTTCCCCTTCAGGCGGCGGCAGCCGTAGCTGGCTCCCTTCCAGTTGGCGACCTCGGACGACACGTGGTAACAGCCGCTACCCACGCGAGTGAAATTCTTCGGACACGGCTCAGCCTTATTGCCTGCAGAGTAGATAGGAATTCATATTACACACGACTTTCTCTTGTACAGCTGGCGAAAGTTCAAAATTATAATATTTAGTCAGCCGTAGGATACAATCTCTTGACATTGCATCACATCGTGTTATAAATTCTGACTAAGCATACCTACGTGTAAGTGACTTAACACCACTTAAGTAAGCATAATTTTTTCGAGCATGCAAAGTTATTGTCAGCACGCTCACCCAGCTTGGCGTCCAGCCCTGCGATGAGGGAGTGTACTGTCTCCTCCATCTTCCGGAGCCGCTTTTCGAAGAGATCAGCGCGGTAAACCAGCTTCTCGATAGCTCCGAGCAGGTACAGGTCGGTCTCGGAGACTTGTTTCTGTGGCGTCGCTTTGTTCTCGTCCACTCTGTCCAGCGCCTGGCTGTGCACAGGGATTGGCTGGTTCTGGACTGGAGCCGGCTGCAGAAATGTGAGGGGGTTCATTAGTCTGATTAGTATTTGGTAAACTTTTAGAGATTATTGTAATGGTGTAATTCACAGACTTATAACAGATTTTTTTTTAACTTACATAGCTTGGCTTGAACTTGTCTTTGTATGGGTTGGGTGGTCGGTTGACGATCTTGCCAGTGGTTGGTGGCAGTGGAGGCGAATGTTGCCACTCGTCGTAGGGGCGGGCGCCGGGAGGCAGCTGTGGGCCGGAGTGGCTTGGGTGGTTGGCCTGCTTCATCGGAACCGGTGGAGGCGGTGGAGGAGGAGACAGGTAAGGCCTGTCCACGCGGTCCGTCACATAGTAGCCTTCTGCAGGTGGTAGAGCCATTATGCGTCCTGCAAATTAAATGAAGACTCTTAAACACTGGTAGGTAGGTACAGTAGCAGATATCTAAAGTTTAAGCGAATGAGTGACGATTCAAACATTTGCCACTATCGTTACAGGTTACCTACATCAGGCTAACTAAGAAACACATACTAGTGATGCGACACAAGTACCTTGTCTCCCGCTGTGTTCTGATCCGGTGAGCGCCCACTGCTGCACCATGGCCATCCAGGGCCCGTCGTCCTCATACAGTCCGCAGGTTGTCTGCTCCGCACTGCACCACCTTGGCTGGTCCGATACCGTGCCGTTGTGGTCCTTCGTGTAGGCGGAGCCTGCGAGGCACAGCAGCGCTACCGCCGCTATTGGTAGCAACATCTGAAACACAGCCGTGTTGTTTTCATTAACGCCATGAACAGCTTAAATAAGACGAAAACTGCATATTCTTAACTCGGTAAAGGCTGTATGATCAACAAGTGTTCATCATGTTTTGACAGTACCTAATGACTCATAATTGGGTACATTGAAGCGACGAATACAAAACAAAACATACTACATAGAAGCCTGTGCAATATCCGTTTACTGTATTGGCCCAGATTTATTTCTCCAAACAGTGTTAGTCATCACAAGAGTGCCGCACGGGATATCCATAATATTATTACGTGCGGGGTCAGGCCGGGTTCACGTGCGGCCATCGATTACGCAAGCGCATCGCCTCGCAGGTGAAAGCGCCGCGGCAGCCGCGCGCCTCGCCGGACGCCGCCACCTCCGCGCTGCGCCGCCAGGTAAACAAGGATTGCATCGATCGCCGCCTTTCCCAATTGCAACCAATCACGTCCAGGATATAAACGCAGTCGATACGATTCACTTAATTGAAACGATTATGAAGTACTTGCATTCTATTATCACAGGTGCATTTGTGCGGTAAGTAAGTATACCTACCCAAGTGTTACTTTACTTTCTACAAAGGAAACTAAAGTAGTGTGCAAGGGTCGTAGTATGTGGTACTGTAGTTTCTGCTCAACCCCAAGTACTTATAGGGTGATTTTTGTTCCATATACATTATGATAATAAGTAGGTAAACAAGCTATCGTAAAAAAGTCATGGTAGCCCGGCTTCTCTTACCACGTGGTTTTGATAAATTGACCACCGGCAGTTACCTGTAGTCATTAATATAGGTAGTATTTGGTACCCACACATGCAGCCAATACTATTACGATATTCATCTTATTCTAGTTATAACTGAGTGAGTGACATGCTTAGTTAGGCAGAATTGCACACTTGTACATATTGAACCCACCTCGCACGGCCTAAAGCAGGAGAAGGAACGGATAGTGTCAGCATGTTACTAACTAAAAACCCCCTTTTTAGTCAGTAACAGTCTGACGCTTTCTCTCGTCTTATTTTGGGCGGGAGAAGTCATTTGATGATTTTCTCCTGACAAAAAAAAAAGAAAAACAAAAATACGTCACATGGAACACACACCGTTTAATAGTGCGCCATGTGTCGTCAGCTTGTCATAATTACGAGCCCCGAGCGTGGCTTGAAACTACTCCAGTTATCTCGCCAAAGGTTAGATAAGAGAGAAAATCGCCAAACAACAATAACCAGAATAGGAACGCTGGATATTTTCACACTATGTTATTTTGTGTGTACGAACTCATTTCCTAGGCACCTTTTAAATATAGGTAGGATTTTTATACACAAATGACACATTGACCCGTACCTAACTATAATATACCTATAAGTAATCTGTTTATTTTTAAAAGTACTATTCAACAATAATTTCTGGATACCACTGCAGAATATTTAATACAGAGAGCAATCAGCATGTCTCTGGTCTAGCTAGGGCGCCGGGTGCAGGATGCATCATAGAGTATAAAATAAATAGGTAGGTACACAACAAGAAGGAATAATACTATGTTGATAAAAATAGCAATAATCTATAATATTCATGAAAAAAAACAAGCCTTCATAAAAACATACAATTGGGTATCAAAACAAACCAACGAAATAAACACAAATACTACGTACTCTACACGTGAACTTTCCTTTCGTTAGGCATGCTTTATTAATTAGAATTACTGAGCGAATTTCGCAGAAACGTCCAGAATTGGAAAGTGACATACCTTGTTTCCTTAATGTCTTGTTTGAGCACTGTTAATATTAGTCTATAATATCACTTTTACTGTCGGTGCGACGTACGTGCGTCGCTGGGTGTTGGTTGCCGGAGACTACACACTACAAGACTCGGTAAAGCTCTGCGCAGGTATCGATCCGGTGTCTGCGAGCCGCGCACTGTTTCGCACACGAAGAGAAATTGCTGCGCGAATGACATGAGATGAGTGGGGAACGTTGCATGTGTACTAGTCGTAGTAGTTGTACTACCGGGGCTGATGGATCGTGGGGAACTTACTGCACTTGGCATTGACATCATAAGCAATCATTAGCATCACCTCCGCTGTAAGATTATGTAAACACATATTGACCAAGTAAAAAAGAATAAACAGTGAGTCAACTGTTGAATTCTGTTTAACTTTTTTAATATCATACCGAGCTGACGTGAGCTTTGATTTAAGACTTAGTCTTGTCAAGTGAGAAAATAAAAATAATTCAGAATTTTCTACTTAAACAAAGAAGAGTATAGGTACGTGGAATGGCTTATCCACCTACTCACTAAGTTCGTCTGAAGGCTGATTCTATTATCAAACACAATTTTACCACCAAGGGGCACCCCGCCCTCTAAGCATAATAATGCTTAGACTAAGCTTTAGAGAAAGTGTCAACCTACATAACAAGAACAATATAATCATTATGTAAGAAGGTACTTACTTATTTATGAAATAGATACAGTAGTAGGTACCCACGTAGGTAATGCTTGCATATTCCTACAAGGTAACATCATAACATAACATGTTACCTAACACTGACGTCACGTGCTAGTGCTCCTTTGCATCACAAAGCATGGACCTCATTTAATGCGCAACAAACTGCCAAACGTGTTATGAGATTAGGGTTTGTTACCTACTATCTGTATCGTCAACAGGATATACTAGGGTTTTTCCTTTGTTTCCAAACACAATTTCACATACACATGAAACCTAGACCCGTAAAAACAATTTGCGGATCATAAAGAGTTTCACCGGAAATCGAACCCGCGAAACATTACACGGCAGCCGGTTGCCCAGCCACCGCGTCAATTGTGCAATCATGTTTATGACGCATGTTTTAAGTCTCCATGAAGGTGGCAGTGTTAAAGGATCAAGATGATCTATCAAAAAACTACTTTCCCCACACAACCCACATGGCGTGTAAGGTGGAGTGGTGCATTCCCCTGCGCCGTCACTACAAGGTTTTATAACTCTACTTGCTTAATACATACATAGGTATATACCTCGTTTGTAGACAACACAGTGCTTTCTTTTCAACAGTCATACCCAACAAGGTTTCTCCATTACTTGCCATAAAATGAAAGTTTTGAGAAGACGTTAATATGAAGTTTATGTTTCCGGCAAGTTGTGACTGTGTTGTTACATACCATTAGGTACTTGCAAACTTGTTTACTAGTCTGTCGTGGTGGCCTGGAGGTTAAGGCGCCCGCTTCTCATGCATGAGGGTGCGGGTTCGAAACCTGGCAAGTACCAATGTGTCTTTTTCCAAGTTATATGTACTTTCTATGATTATTTAGACACCACTGACATACGGTGAAGGAAAACATCGTGAGGAAACCTGGACTTATAATTACTAATTATAAGTTTGAAATCGCCAATCCGCCTTGAGCAAGCGTGGTGATTAGTGCTCAAACCTTCTCAGTGTGAGAAGAGGCCTTTGCTCAGCAGTGAGCACTTATAGGCTGTTGATGTGAAACTTGTTTACATTCTCTACTAACAAACGGAAACAAGGATCCACGTTAGGGAGTATTATAGATATTTTATCTTTATTTGTGCTTTTGGAAACAGAACCGATGGAAGTCATACATGGGGGCTCAAATCGGACAGTGCTCCAGGTTGAGGCAATATACCCACTTTTTTAAAAAAATAGCTCATGTGGTAGTTGTCCCTATAATTTCACACTTGGCTAATCTTTGCTTTGGACAGAGTATCTTCCCACTTGTCTTGAAGCAAGCTCTTTTTACATCCGTACACAAGGGCGGGGATGGAGACAATGTAAGCAATTATCGGCCGATATTTGTACTTCTTGCATTATCAAAAATTCTAGAAAAACGTATTAACACAAGACTTATAAAATACCTCAACCAGTATAAAATCATATCGAATTCCCAATATGGTTTTCAACAAGGATTATCGACTGAAGATGCAATTCTATCATTAAGCTCTTATATTGTTAACTAATTAAATACCGGAAAAAATGCATAATTCATGAAATGACATTCGAGGAACCCCCTTGTCTATACTCACGGACTACCTTAAAGAAAGGAAACAACGTGCAAGGATAGGGGAATATACTAGTGAGCAGGCAAACGCGGAATTTGGTGTCCCACAAGGCAGAGCCTTAGGCCCGACCCTATTTTTAAGAAACACACATATTTTTGATAGCGGCTGGGTATTCTCCAACACACACACTTTTTTTATATTCAATTTTGATGTTAATAGTTGCTGTTAATGTTGTAGTTATCTATGTACTTGTCATGTTCACTAATTGTTATGAATGGGTCTCCTAGCAAAGGTATTTCATATACATAGGTACTTAAAAGGAGGCCCTTGAATATTTTGTTTTAGCCCATTCCTTGTGACCTTGTTTGAAGTGAACCACGAAGTGTTGAGCGTTTTGCATTCGAGAGTCCAGTCACTGGAACAACTCTGCAGTTTTTATAGCATTTCCCCACATCATGATTTCCTCCTATAAGTGCGTTTGCAAACATAAAATTTCACATACACATCACACCCAGACCCGGAACAACAATTTGGTGATCACACAGAGTTGTTTCGTGCGAGAAACAAATCCGCTACACGCGGCAGCAGGTTGTGCAGCCACCACTCCAACCATACAGTCAACAAGTTCTTTCTATCTGCATCAGATTGTGCTGTTACAACCCTTTTTATGGTTCACCTTTCTTCCTCCATTATGTGATAGGTACAGTTTAGTACCTATTCAAAATGAAACAAGTGAATTAAACAAAACTTTATAATAACAATTCGTACATCAAAGTACTATTTATAAATTGAAACTACATAATAACTTTAATAATAAATATTTTAACACATAATCTGCATACATCATGATACAACAGAACGTAGCAGTCTTTTCTATCAGACTGCTTATCAATTTGCAGGAAAGCAAACAATTTGTTTTCATATAAAACTACTTACATTAACATTTTTTTTGTATTTACAATTAATTACAGTTCGTACGTTTACAATTAAAAAAAGTTATCGATCAGTTTCACTGATAACTATACTTACAATGGAATTGAGTACAAAATGTGATCTAACAAACATAAGAATATTTGTTATCTAACATTTGTGCTTCTTACTTGCTCACAATTTGTTCTTATTTGGTACGAAGTTATTTGTATGTTATACTACACTATAGCTCGTACCTACGTATATGTAATCATTTGGTAAATAGTAGGTACATCTACAGCCCATGAGCTTATTCTTTAGTTTCACAGCTTAATACATCACCAAAAATAACATGTTTACCTGTCCAGTTTATAACTCGTTCGCCTTATACTGCTGTAAAGCTTCTGTCTTCCATCGCAAAAATATGATAACAACAAAATTCAGTAAGTAGAATATAGGCATAAACACCTACATTTACAAGTAGTACGTAAAGTATAAAATATTTGGCTAACATTTATAACTGACCAGATTGTCACGCGCGGCTCCCAGTGGCGCGTAGTGTCACAAAAGCTGGTACTGGCGGGCGTGGGTGACGGCGCCGCGCTTGAACACGGCGGGCCGCGCGTGCATGGCGCGCAGCTTCTTCGGGTCTATGGTCGCGTACGCCGGGGGCAGGCTGCCACACAGGGCCGCCGGCTCCTCCTCCAGCAGCATGGGGGCCGACGGGGCGCTACTGTACTGGGCGCTGCTTATGGTGGATATTGGCTCGGCTTGCTTTGTTTGTGCTACTGGGCGTCGCACGTGACTGGTCGGTAACGGTGCAGCATAATTAGAAGTTGGATGAAATAAAGCGGATTGACTTGAAGACTGCACAGGAAAAGTTACAGGCGTAAGTATAGTTACGGGTTTAGTTTTAAGTTTGTTATTAGATGGCGGCTTGAGGTGCTTCGTACGCTTGTTATTACTTGCTGTGACCAAGATGTGAGTTGGAATCGGACGATTTCTCGGTGGTCTCGACTCATTTTCAAAAACGATAGCATGACTGGGATGTCCGGGATGTGGCACGAGCATGGTCGGGTAGTTAGATGGCGATGAAGGTTCACTCAAACCAGGGATATAATAGTGAGCTGGATCGTGGTGGCTTGTGAACAGATAACTGTCAGGTAGCGGGTTGCTGTACACTGGCACCCCGACAGTGTTGAGAGCAGCTGTGAGTGGGTCAATTTGAGCAGGACTTGCTTGATAGTAACTCTTGGTAGTAGACCCTGGTAGCGGAACGTTATTTACATTTGCGATGTTGGAAGATGCCACCATTTTACCAATGTTACCTTTATTTTCACCTTCTGCATTCTTATTGTCATGCAAAACTTTTTTCTCTGATTTAGTATCATTACTGAATGCGTTATCTCCTTTCTTATATTTACAGGACTCTTGAGCGAGCTTAGCATCATTCATCTCAGGGCGTGGCTCGGCCCCTGCATCCTGATGCAATGTCGCGGCAGTCGGCGATGCGGCGCCGGTCAGAAGTAGACGGTGAGGTTCATGTGGTCGGCCACCGCGGGGTTGGTCGCGTCCGTCAGCTCTTCCCCTCTGTCCTGGAAATGTATCTCTATTATACACATTTTACTGTCTTACTTCTAGCTTTAGAAGGGGTTAGTATACAGGGAGATGAAAATTAACTAATCTGAACTCTACCGAAGAGTTAAAGACAATAGAATGGGGAGAAGAAATATGAGGGAAGTCAGTAATAAATCCTAGAATAAATAGAAGCCCTAGACGTATAAGATCTTATTAGGGGAAATTCTCATGTCTGTGTATAGGTATCTAGAGAGAGCAAAGATGAAATGCATGGCGTAGATTGTCAGCATGCGTGAGGAGAGCGTACGCACGTGTGTGTCCTCCCCCCAGCTGAGCTGCTTGACGCGCGCGGGGATGGTGGCGGCGGGCCACGCCACGCCCGAGCGGCCGCCCGCCGCGCGCGCGCACAGGTGGTCGCTCATGTGCGCCGCGCGCTCCGCCGGCGCCACGCGCGCGCGACCGCCGCGGGACGACGCGCGCGTCGACGACACGCCTGCGGCAGAACACCGGTCATCAAACATCCATCAAATCTCTTGTTTCAGCTCTGCACGAAACACTTTTATTCTCCTCGCTAGATAAAGATGCCAAACAACTTTTTTTGCAAACGAATCAGAGACTACTGCTGCTGCTACACATTCAAAATCATTTATTTATTCCAAGTAAACCATAAATAGGTACCTTTGAAACGTTAAAAATTGTAGTACTTCGATCTACTGTGAAAACTGATTTTATCATCTACAAAAACCATCATTCCTGGTTGAATTTTAAACATAAATTGCAAGTAATAAATGTGAACTAAAAAAAGAAGCGGACCTAATATCGAACCCTGTGGAACGCTCATTCACGCCCACTCACACGGCTCTGAGATGAACCCAGAGCCCTGTGAATTAAAATAGTTTACATAAACCTTTAGTTGCCGATCTTCTAAATATGATTTTAACAGACGAAGCGCATTGCATCCTGCAATGATCTAATTTTGGCAAAAGTGTTTCATGATCAACGCAATCAAACGCTCTTGAGAGGTCGCAGAAGACACCAACAGCATCCTGTGCTTCCTCCCAAACACCAAATATTTCCTTTATTAAAGACAGTTGTATAAAGACCGTGTTTCACTAAAGGAACTTTATGTTAATGGAAGATGGAATGCTTATCAAATCCATCCATCATGGATCCATCCTAGATAGCATTAACTTTTAATCACCTTGCTAAGAACTGGCAGAACAGATACTGGTCTATAGTTATTTGGTCCTTTAGTGTCATCACTTTTGAAAAATAAAATTAAATATTTATTATGTCTAGCTGATAAGTATACAGAAAAATGTCTAAGCAAAGTTGTAGAAAGTCTGGCTGCTGATTCTAAATGTTCCACTTTATCAAATACGTAAATCGAACGGAGAACAACATTAAAGATTTTTTGTCAGTGGCAGGGATGAAACTTACTATTCTGCTGTGCTCCGTGCGTGACATTCTGTGGCTCTTGTTGCAAGTCTAAGCTGGAGGTAGAGTTGGCGAGTATAGTGCTAGCCCCCGCGCTCACACTCAGCAGCGAGCCAGACGACCCCGCAGGTCGCAGCGCCCCAGTGCTCCCACTGGTGGCCAAGGTCCCCGTTGTCCCCGTTGCCCCCGTGACCCCAGCAGTTCCGGTCACATGTGTATTACTGGTGGCACTTGTTGGCTGTGATGTAGGGGTGATTTGATCTGCTAATGGCTTCTCGTGAGTCACGTAGCCTGTGCCCGAGCCACCCGCGCTTCGTTTTGATCGACGACGACTACAAAAATATAAACATTTATTCAATTCCGTCCTCTCTATGGTAGATAGCATTTGATGCAAGACCTAAGTAGACAAGTAATAGACTCACACTCTGTATATGTATCCGAGCAGTGCACACACGAGCAGCGTGAGCGCGGCCAGTGCGCAGGCGAACACCGCCATGACGGGCCCCGCGCCCCCCGCACTCGACATACCAGCGCCACCACCCGCCTGCAGCAACCGCTCGCTCACGTGCACCGTTACCGGTACCGATGTCTACAAAGAAGTACACGATGAAAACTACCAAACGTACAATAAGAAAACGTGTGATTTAAAGTGATTAAACAAGTGTTCACCTGTCGAGGTGGTGCGCCAGAGTCCACGGCGGTGGCGACGACGTGCAGCACGGACGAGTTCAGCGAGCGCAGCGCCGCGCCGCGCAGGAACATGTCGCCCGACGCGTTCACGTACAGCATGCTGCAACACAACGCGACGCTAGCACACAAGGCGCGCTACTGCCGGGTCGTCGCTACATTCACTAGCCGGTACTCACTCAGCATCGGAGCCCCGCAGAGATAGTGTTACAGTGTCGCGCTTGTCCCCGTCGAAAACGTCGAGTTTGCCAACTGGCAGCAGCTCGACATCGTCCTGTGGATCTTCCTCAACTCGGAACTCGTACTGCGGGTATCGAAACCTCGGCTCCCATTCATTCACGTTCAATACTGTTATGTTTATTGATGCCGTGTCGTTCTGAAGCAAACGGAGAATAGTAAACATGTGCTCTATTTAGGTAGTCGCAATTAATATATTTCATGTTCGTAGTATGGAAGAGTATGTAAACAAGTATCGAATGCATTGATATTTAAAAAATAATCTGGTAAGAAGTTCTTACCGAGACACCATCGGTCACCATGACTTGGTACTGATAAGAGTCGGCGGTCTCGTAGTCGAGCGGGCGGCGCAGCACGACCTCGCCCGCGCTATTGATGGCAAACTTGTCGAGGAACGAGCGGTCCGACACGTAGAACTGGAGGTTGTTCTAAAATTATAGATTTAAGGTTAAATACTCATCATATCAACAGCCCATCATACACACTGCTGGACTGAAAATGTCCTCTGCCAAAGACGGTTTGTCATCATCTCCACATTGAAGATCGAAGTTTAAAAGTTGGCATGTATTTATACCAGGCTCTTACAAAACTCATGGGAAGAGAAGGTTGGTGCGAAAGGTAGTTTACTGTGCCACATGACTTAAATAAATCTGTATGCAAAGAGACGTTTCTTCGTGTTGGGAGTGTGTAAAACTAATCCTTTTTCTCCCACCTCAATCTTTAAGTCTCTTACCCCCAAAATGTTAGCAAAGAACTTGTAACGTCTCTGGTTTTGCTGGTCCATGGTCGGCAGTGATTGCTTACCACCGGGTGCCGCCCATATCCCCCCCTGTGTGTAGTACAACAAAGGTCCGTACATGCGCGTGTAGCGGCGCGGTGTGCAGCGTGAGCAGCGTGTGGCCGGGCGGCGCGGCCTCGCTGACGGCGGCGCTGTACTGCCGCCGCCGGAAGCGCACGCCGCCGCCGCGCGCCGCGCCGCGCCCCACGCTCAGCGTCGCCAGCGCGTACCGGTCCGCGTTGTCCACCTGCGTCGCCTGCACACACAACACATTTATTTACCATGCCACATCAATTTGTCAACTATCTGAGGCACGATAAAATCTGAAGCTACCTTAATAACGACGGTAAGAGGCTGGTTTAGCTCCTCTATGAGTTGCTTAGTGGCGGTGACCTGCCCTGTATCTTTGTCCACCACCAGCAGTCGTCCGTTGTCGCCGGTGGCGGAGTACTGCAGCGGAGCATTGATACCCACATCTTGATCTGCAGCTGATATCGGCCCTGGTGATGTCACTAGTGTCGTGCCCTGCAACAAGAGAAAATAAATCATTGTAATTAAGTATGGCCATAATGTGAATATTATTGCTAATCTATACTAATGTTGCAAAGCTATAGAGTTTGTTTGTTTGAACACGCTAATCTCCAAAACTCCTTGTTTAAATAGAACAATTCCTTTTTTGTTTGTTGGTCCATTTATCAAGGAAGGCTATAAAATATCACGCGAGAGTGCTTACTATATTTGGGATTGGAACTGACCTCTTTAGCATCTTCAGGCAGTGTGGCGGTGTAGTGGTCATACGTGAACTTGGGGTTTTGGTCGTCTGCATCCAACACTTGTACTTGCAGTACAGTGTCGTTGTGTAGCGGGGGAGTGCCAGCATCCTGGGCGCGCAAGGTGACCGTGAAGTTGCTCAGAGTCTCGTAGTCCAGGGGCTTCTTCACCACCAACACGCTGTCCAACTCGTTGGAGAATCCCAGATACTCCTGCCAAATTGATTATAAGAGAATTACATTTAGAAAAACAATGTTTATTCTGAGCACTGCAATAAAACTCCTTAATCTTTCTTTTTATGGGAAAATCCTTTGACTTTACCAGCTCTGAGCGGAGCTTCAGAGAGTGTCAGATGACTCTTATTGACTGAAAACCAATCCTGTCACATCATTGCCCACAACTCCAGCTGGACACCTATGGTGTGACCATCTGTGTTGGTCTGAGCTAAATGGATTTTTGAGCCTATAATTATGCTCGGCGACGCTTGGAAGACTAAGAATAATGTCCTGGTATAAAAGGAAATTTAACTTTTTAAACTACTTATATTATTTGAAAAAAATTGTAGTAGTAGTGGCGGTAGTAGAGCTTACATGGTTGGGTCCGGGCAGCACGGAGTAGTGTATGGTGGCGTGCGGGCCGGGCTGGTCGGCGTCGACGGCGCGCGCGCCCACCGCCACGCGCGTGCCCGGCGCCGTCAGCTCCGACAGGCGCACGCGGTACGGCGCGCCCACCCACTGCGGCGCGTTGTCGTTCACGTCCCACACGCGGACTGACACTGGGATTATGAAGCTCTGGAATGTAGTCACACGATTTGTCAGAACTGCACTATAAACTCAAACATCGCAAAAATTAAACCTTAACGCTTCAAGCTAACCAAGTTCTGTCTTAATTTAACGTAACGTACCAAATTATTTTACGTTCACAAGCGCTTCTTGGAAAACACACAATTTGAATGATTTTAAAAAAGAGCTTAACTGAAGTTACGGAGTGCACGTTCAGAGATTATTCCGATGACCAGAATGCTCTGCCTTCCGCAACATGATAGCATAACTACTCAATTACAAAGTAGGTTTCTATAACAGAGCAATTGAACATAACTAACGGGGTCAGTGGTTCGTCTCCTATCGCAGCGCACGTTGACGTACACGTTGGAGGGCCCTCGCTTCTCCTCGCGGTCCAGCGCGCGCAGCAGCGTCAGGTTCTTGGTGCCGGCCGCGATGCCCACCGCCGCGCCCTTCTCCTGCAGGCGCAGCGATATATCGCCCTGCTCCTCCGCTGGGTCGCCATTCACGCTGAGAGTACCTGAAACATTATATTTCATACGTGAGCCCCGTTCTGCTGCTGTTAACAAACACGACAGTTTAGGTAGATATGTATTTACCAATGACGCTGCCGACTGGTGTATCTTCACTGATGAAGAAGCTCTCGACAGCACCGCCGTTCATCAGGTAGCAGCGACTGTCCTGGATAGCTGCAACAGATTGACACGTTCGATGTGAGGAAAAACAATCACACGTAATGATGTTTGGACGTCGCTACATGCATGTACATACTGGATTACCTCCGAGTCTCTCTGTGTGCGCTGCACAAACAAATAAACACACGTTTGTTATTAACACTCAGAACACAGAATGTAGTTTAGTGCTAAATACAGTGAGGACATATTTCAGTTCAATAGATTACCTAAATATAAGAAGCGTATGATTAATGACGTGTATATGGGTCACCAGGTACGTAAGGTCAGTCGAGTATTTAGTCAGTGTCAGTGCTGTAGATGTACCTATCGATAAATGTATCGTATCGGATCCAGGTCGCGGTACCTCGACCACTTATCTATCCAGGACAGAGGGAGGAGGGCGAGGGAGGCTACTTCCTCCTTCGCTACACAACGCTTACCACCGCTATATAGATTACTTATTGACTTAAACAAATAGATATGTAAATCGTTTCACCGTTGGCCGGACATTCCGCAACATTATGTAGGGACATCTATGTTTTGGGTCGTATAGATTAGAAGGCAGCAGGATACATATGTACATATTTAATTATTTTAACATGTGTCAATGTTTTGTACTTCAACCTAGTTTTTGTATTTTGAGCATCTATATTACTTTGGTATTAACACAAGTGACTGGGCAACCAAGATCTAATCCAGAAGCAAATACCTATGTACTTTGAACATGTTGAAGACTAGCCGTAGAGATGCGTCCATCATCTGAAGGCCTTACAATGTACCTTATTGATGAGTTGTCTCAAAACTTAGCAAGTATTGTATGTAAATGAATCTTACAGAATGAGTATATTGTGCAAGTGAAACACGTCGAATTTTGTGCGCAGCGAAGCATGTGATTGGTAAAGGTACTCACAATAAATACTTGATTTACATCGAGCGAGTGTTCGCGAGGATGTTTCGGTTCGGTTTCGTAACTTCCTTGCGCATGTGTCACATTCAACAAGTTCATTAGACAGCGTGTAGGCGGTGTCGTACAAGAAAAAAGTGCGGATGGCATAAAAAGTGTAATGTGTGGAGGCGCCGTGCGGCGGAGCGTGGCGAGCCGAGTATCATCGCTTGCCGCGGCCGCCACACGAGGCGTGAGTCACCTGTACCACGCAACACGACGCACAGCGTCTCGCGGTACGTTACCTAGCTATACTAGACATTTACTATACAATAGAGCCATTATTATTCACGTAAAAAAAAGCCATCTTTGTACATGAGAACTTCAAGATGTCTGTACAATTGTAGTATCTATCTAAACTATATGAGAAAGGTATTTGAGAACAATTTCGTTGCACAATAATTATTGTATCGTTGTGTAGTTGAGTACTTACTTTCGCAGATCATTACAATTTCCCCAGTTATTATGTTTTATATGCGACCTATCACGAAGGTAACCTGTGGCACGCACTCGGCCCATAAACCACATCTCACCACAACTTGGGCGCCTCAGACACATCCGCCGCACGATAATAATATGAACAACAACATACAGACAGATGCAGCTCACAGTAACGACCGGCCAGTGAAAGTGACTCGAGAGCCGGACTAACGAGACGGATCCATTTATATTAACAGTTTCATTAATTTAATTGAAACAATTACACTGCGATCCTGATGATAATGGGATTGTCATGTCATGTTATTGAAAAGTGTTGTTCTTAAATTTAATACTTTATTGATGTAGGTAGAGTATGGAAAGTTAATACTTTTCAGAAATTCTCAGAAGGCGCTAATAGTTCTTGGTAAAAAACAATATGAGATTCAAACAATCCTGCTTTGCATTAGCACCTATATGGGACCATAGGATTTGTTAAATAATGAAGGAGTTCTAGAACAGTCTAAATAATACACTGCAGGTACTAGGAAGTTTTTTAGTGAAACTTGCTGTTTCTCTAAGAAGATACTTTTCAAGGCTGTGTTATTTATTGTAAAAGTTAAATGGCGAATGGTGGCGAGAAGAATGTTTATTTGTTCATACCTCATGCAGGCGTGCTGGTTCGAAACCTGACAAGTACCAACTGAGTGACTTTTTGTACGTTGCAGGTATGTACCTATTTTTCAAGATTATATTAAGACACCACGGAATAGAAAAGAAACCAGACCCTACCATTTCTAGTCATAAACTTATAATCGCCAATCCACCTTAAACAAGCGTAGCGGTTAACACTCAAACCTTCCCCATGTGAGAAGAGGGCTTTGTTGTGTAATGTGTGTTAGACTTAAGGCGAACATATTGATTTCTAAAGTTTGAATCAGTCAATGGAATCAAAGCCAGAGTGTGGTGTGTTCCCGGGTGAAAGAAGATTCTTTTTGTCGGAGTGTTTTGCGAATGAAATGAATAAATGATTGTAAAAATAGGTAAGTGTAAAAACAGGTATGTTGGTATTTGTTACAGGCAACAAGCAGACTATTACGAACTGCCTGGTAGATGCATACGTATACTTAGTGCAGTACTTACATGATTTGTATAAATAAAGTACTTCGTTCCTTTTTTTAACGTGTGGAAATCCTCATGGATACCCTTTGTCTAGACGAGAGCATCAAACAGCAGGTTATGTCGGACTCTTACCGACTAAATCCACACACTCAATCCCAGAAAACAATGAGAGGGACACTGGGTACTCGAATGAACGAACTCATTTGCGACACCTGTTACTACCTCCTATCTTTTCGGAGCTCAATTCTACGGCGATTCCTACGACGCCTCCTTTGTATCCGAGTCGGGTCTATCCTCTCTCGATCTCTTTCTGCAGTTTCGAAGTACTTCGTTCCTATCGTACATATACATATAAATACGTATGCACGTTACTGCAGCACAGTCATATGTCCATCATCATTGAATCGGACCACCACAACAACATGCAAGGGTTTACAAAATACACATATAAAATGTGAAAATACATAAAAATATAGCTTTATGGGCTTGAACAGTACTGTGTTATGACGTGACAAAGGTCAACGACCGACCTAGGTAGTGTAGCACACCTTGGTGACTACGGGTGCAGCACTAGTAGATCATAATCATCAGATGTTATCAGCTCTCCACACCTAATTAAATTATGACGCTCTATAAATGGTATACGTTCAAGTATTTAACTTCATTCCACCTGCGACGCTACGGAACTAGTATTGTTTTGTTTTCGTTTGGACACACCTCTCGCCGCGATCGTGAATATTTCGATGCCACCAAACAAAACGCAGGATGTAATCAGTTGTGTCCCGTTGTTGGGGTAGGTTATGGTATGTCCAACACCGCGTCACAAACGCTACGCGGCGCGGGGCCTACGATACGCGGGAATACTCATTGCTCCAAACTTGACGAGTATACCTATTATTAGAAAGGAATAGTCATAATTGTAATTACTCTATTTGTATCCACCAATAATAAATTAAACTAAATACTTCAACGTGTGCGAAACTGTAATCCCACTACGTGTGAGTGCAGTCAAACAATACGTTGGTTGGTACAACGAGCTACAGCGTGCACAAACATACACAGCTTCTGGTACCGACCTATGACTACATGTATATGGTGCACTACGACTAACTACATCGTGTGGTACTGCCACAGCTCCTGCTGACTCACCGCGGGACTTGATCGAGAGCGCTATGGCGGCAACAGTGGCAGCCGGCGCAGGCGCAGCGCTCGGCTCATCCTCGCCCACGCGCCACGAGAGCCGTCCTGCACGGCAGTCAGTACGGTAACATCTCACAAATTATTTCACGTGGAGCCATAGTGCAGTACTATTACATGTCACGTCAGCGCCACAATACCGACACGACAGTTTCAGTTAGTATTACAAACAAAAAATATGTTGTTGTATGTAGTATGTTAATTCCCACGCTGGCGCTGTCCAAACAAAAAGATCATAGATAAAGTACCAGCAGTAAGCTAATGAAACGTTTTCATGGCAGGTGCGCACAGAGACAACTGGAGCACCGGAAGGTGGCCGCGCAATAAATCCCCCTCACCACTTCCGGCGGGGTCGAAGCTACCCGGCGCGGGTCTGTACTCACTGATGTGGGTCGGCCCCGCTACCACCCTCGTTACAGATTAGCCATTGGTAGTTATAATAAAGTAATTTAAACTGTATTAAACAAGGAGGTTAATGGAATTCTACGTTTATTATTATAGTCTAGGTGATATCTCAATGCTTTGTATTCTTTAACGGAGTTGAGTAGACACGCGATTACACTATGCGTACTAGGGCTGTCTGATACACTACTTGAACCGTGATTGTTTCATAAGTTCTATATGTGAGGTCTATTGTGTAGACTATCACATTAGAAGTAATACACAATAATAGAAAATGTTATATTTATTGTGGACAACGAACCACATAATTATGATTATCCAATAAATGTTTAGTGGTAGAAATGTATTAAGCACTTGCAAGAAAGTAGATGCGTAGTATTTTGGACTTCATTATTTTATTGGATCACGGTATATTTAAACTGTACTTGAGCAATGTATCAAGCGCAGTCACGTCCATCCAGTGATTAACATAATTATTTGTTAAATGACAATTAAGTACCATTTAAAGCAGTATACGGGACCATGGTTTCCAAACTGTTGGATGCAAGGTGCTGGAAGATTAGCTCCGCATTCGACGTCTCATAGTCGTGGATAAAACGACAATAATAAACACATCACATCTACACATGTCCTACTTTAGACAAATATTATCATTATTCTACCTTACTTCTTATCTTACTAATACATATTATGAATGCGAAACTTACGATGTTTGGATTTGTTACTCAATCACGCTAAACGGCAGGACGGATCAGGATGAAATTTGGCACAGGCATAGGATACACTCCGGAATAGGCTACTATTTATCAACATATCACGCGGTCCAAGCCGCGGGCAAAACCTAGTATTTAATAAGATGGGCACTCCCAGACTGCTGGCGGGTGAGATAAATTTTCACTTATAACTGAATGTTTTGTAGTTTCCAATAATTTCAAGGACAATTTATTGTTTAAACGACGGCGACGTGACGGTTACCGCGGGGAAAGGCGGACGCGATCTCATCGAGAGATGGCTATCGGTCGCATTACGGCGATACGAGCTGGTGATGGTTTCCGATCTGATTCGTCATCTCCTGCACCGCCATTACTGCATTAAGCGCCTTATTACCAGATAATGGACACTTTAACGTCGTTTCTTTACTTTCTTCGCACAACTATTATAATCAGCTACAAAATGCCAGCATAATGGTATTGTTGTTGGACATGGTAACTATACCAGTATACGCCTACATATTATTATAAACTCAGTATCATTATTGTTGATCATATGGTTTTAAATTTCAACGTTTGGTGTCATCTTCGCTGAGTATTGTAAAATCTCCTTGCTAGGTGTGTGGAGGTGCGTGGCAAGTGGCGATGGCGGAAGTACGCATGACGGCACTCGACCCCTCCGTGCACCGGCCACCGGCCACCGCGCGCTCCATGCACTGCGCATGCGCTCACCACTATGCTACTAGTTATCCAACTATGCAATACTCGAACCTGATGATGCATCACAACATTTACAATTAAAATATTTTTTTAAGCTTTGTCTTTTTCAAAGTGTGGTAAGCTCAAATGTCCATGACAATTTATTTCCTAAACTGCTTTATAAAAAAGTTGGTTATAAAAGTGATGCAATGTCAGTGTGTTTGCGTGCATTATATTACTTTTCTCCTCAGCCCATTGCTGCGTTTATCCGTGACATGATTTTTTAAATAACATGTACAAATCAATTACGAACGCTGTCTTTTTGTAATCAAAGAGAACTCATAACCGCAAAACTTATTACAAATAATTCTCCGCTCTACATTTAGTAATAAAACGTCAATTAACTGCAAATAGCTGTCACGTCTACACCATGGATGTACAAGAGTACCGCGCCGCGGAGAGAGAGTGATGCGCCGGCGCACCGCGCTCGTTACGTAACGGTAATGTCAATTCAAATTAAGTTCAGAACGGATTAAGGAATTAATTTCGATTAGACATTAGTTTTGGTGTCGAACTGAATCAATTCAAGTTTAGCAATGCATTGTTTGCTTAGGAAACGATAATTGTAACTGTTACGATAAATTATTTAAGAAATCTTTTTATAATTAATTTCTTACAATGTGTGGGCAGACGCAGGGTTTCTACAGCCTTGTGCTCGTACGGTGGCAGGCGTCATTATTTGTGGCCATTATTTTAAATCGCTTTAGAAACAAAAGGAAGAGTGCGTTTTGTTAGAAGCAGAATATTAACGATTTGGAGAACAATGCACTTCCGACAGCTCACTGGATGTACCTATTACCTTGCTTCACCAATAATGTTACTTCAAGTACATACATACATTATCTGCATAGTTGTCTACCTACCTATTTACACCTTAACTTGCACGCTGTGTTTCATATTTTTCAGGCTAATGATTTTACAAACATATTTTCGCTAGTTTGAAAAAAATGTATGGCTAATATAAAAATTAATGCCAGTTTTCCTTGAAGTATTATAACTCAAATCGGACTCTCGGCTTTGTTCGGACTATTTTATTGATGGTTTATCAGAGTTAGCACAAAATCGGTAGAGCCGTTTTTTATTTATTAATAAAGATTCCGGGACCATCAAATATATTACAAGATATTGAATATTTACAGTAATAATTATAAATATAAACTCCATATATCAAGGTTTACTTACTTAGTTATTAAAATAAATAATTAATGATGTATTGTCTTTGTAAGCATCGGAACGTGGACTTGTGTGTGTTTAAAATACCTATTAAGCACCTAAATTTGATTTACCACCTTTACTAAGGGCCTTGTAGTTTAGTGGCGGAAGGAAAATCATCATATGAGTTATCCCGCCCAGGGTGCTACTGGGGCCGCAGTGACGTAATAGCGCTTGACCCTCAACCCTGTCTAAACATCAGCCCTATTGGGCCTAACTGTTGTGGTCTATTGGGTCTTTATGATATTTACCTACTGAGAAATTTCGGTAATAGACATCCTAGTATAGTAAGTAGAGTTTCTACTGAGGAAATGAATCAGTGACCCCTTGCTCGGCACTTCCACTTGATATCATTCAATTGACGAAACACTGTAATTTAATAAACAAACCACAAAAAGTAAGCATAGATATAAACGTTCTTTACGTGTTCCTGTGTTCACTGTATGTCAGTGTACGTGTAATGTAGGTGCAGTCTTGCAACTGAGGGAGGCTCATGAAGATATGTCGCGGTAACTTATGCAAAAATATTTGCACAATATAAATACACAGCACCTATTGTCCACATAACTCACGCGCCATGTCTCCAGCCTTCCTTGGTGAGATACGAAACATGAGTAACATTTTCATAAATACATATTTACAGAACTAAAGAGTTTTTAGTAAATATAAATAAACATGAACTGTATTAAGTAGTACAGCACCTTTATACACCTCCTTCGCCCCCGTGACACACAAGAACACCTTTGCCCCAATTTTGACCGGAATGGCGTGCGATCTCAGTATTATTAAATGATTTAATCGTTTAAGGAATATAATAGTTCAAGCGTCGACGGCGTGCGATACTCAACTTAATTGTTACAAGTCAACAAACCTCGCATGCTTCCCTCATGTGCTGAAGTAAAACGGTGCAACGTTTTCAGCAAACCGTTTATTTATTTACAAAATCTGTGAAATGTGGCATGCCCACTTCATATCACGCCAAGTTTCCATTACAACCATAGCTCTCTTACAAAATGACATTTACGAGTAGACATTAAGCAAATGACCGTAGAACAAACGATTAATTACACGTTTACATAATGTTTCAACAAATTCCGAGCATGAAATGAGTTGCGATATTTCCCGTGGCTTGTCTTGTCGCCGTTATTTCACAAAGTGTGAAACAGGAGGAAGTCGCGGCCCGGACTACGAACAATGGACCACCGAGACGGATCGGCCGGTCGCCTACTACCCGCTAGCTGCGCCTGCGCTGCAATCTTGTCACTTACAAACAGTAAGCCCCGTCTTGTCTGTTTAGCATGGAGGTAATATTCCGATTTTGCTTCATATAATACTAAGTACGTGTTCACCCCACACTCATAAATACTTCACCAAGGAATAATTAACATTTATAGCTTTTGAAATTCAAATAGCTCATTATGATTTTACACAATTAACAATGCCGTTACAATCTGAACTATGTAAAACACAGGGTAAAGTCGTAATAAGTGAATGAGTATTGCCGGCAACAATTTGATAGAAATGTTGCGTCGATGACTGCACTGTGTGTACTATATTATAGTCTATAATAAACAGAGGTATTGGCATACATTGTCGGGAACAATTAACTTAAACCCTGTAATTTACTTAAATTATGTGTTCGTGAATCCGGTGTTGAGTCACCGCGGGGTACTGCTCGCTGCACTCTGTGTTGCTGTAACTGTTACTGGCGCAATAACAATTAGCCATTGTCCCTGTATATGATAACTGTTGAGCGACAGTCTATTGGAACCGTTTCGTGTAGCCGTATGTCGTGATCAAGGTTCACGCCTTTCTCCCAAACGAGCACAATTAAGAAGTTGGTACTTTAAGTTTACTACTCCAAATTTTTTAAACGATATAATAAACACGCAGTGCTGGGTAGAATAGGTCAATCGGTACCTTAGTGGCACGTGGCAATCAAAAGATATGACTGAAGTTTCACTTAAGTGATAATTAATTGACAATAGAAATGCACCGTGTAGCATTGAGTGTGCGGGTCACTGACCCCTGCACAGCAAGCTGCCGGGGCTGGGCAGCACGAGCCCTGAACACGCGACACTACGCCGCGCCACTAACTGACCACAGCCGATACAGATTTGTGATAACACAAACAGGAAGACAACACGACACTCAACTTCTGAATACTTAGTGAATGGTACACTAGTGGATATGCCTTCATCATCATTACTGCCATTATTCCCAGACACTTGTAATCGGCGCATAACATCATCTATACGTCAACCGCTCTCATTCGTCCATGTCAGACGTCACCAAATCACAAACTCCTTTTATTTCAGATAAATTTCATCATCATCTTTACATTTAGTGTGAATTTTCGTGACATGACCACTCATAAGAGCTATATCTGCCTCTAATCAATCAATTTAGACAAATTACAATAATGAATGAGAAGAAGACCTTTGTATTTCGCACTGAATGTGAGCAGGCAGTACAAGGAATACAATTAAATAAATGAGTAACATGACGTGCAGTAATTACAGTCCTGAACGTTGCTACGGCAGTGCTACGACGTTGCTACGTAAGAATTTATCACGAAGCGCCGTAGCGGTAGTGGGCGCGGGGTCGCAGGTCGGTCAGCGAACGCGCGCCCCTCGCCAAATAAAACAACAACCCTGCACTTGTTTCAGCGGCCTCGTTTGCACGCCGGGGATTTCTTTGTCTGACACACTTCACTAATAACTTATGCACGAACACTACTCACTCACTGCAATCAGTTTGATTTGTTGGAAACGTGCCTGAATATTGAATGAGTGCTTTTTTTCTCAGGGGAAAATCATCAAATGACTTCTCCCGGCCAGGGTTAGGCGAGAGAGAGTGTCAGATTCTTACTGACTAAAAACCCCCCAGTTTCTTCTCCTGCTCTGGGTCGAGGCTGCTGTGACTCATTGCGCTTAACCCGCAACCCCTGAATATTGAATGAGTGCTATGGGAACATTTCACAATTTTATTATAACTATAACATTACAATTTTTGATTATTCGTCAGGATGCTTGAGATACTGGGGCTGATATTATTTATTTATTTATTTAATATCTTTATGCACAAAACAAATGTACAAAGGTGGGCTTAATGCCATGGGCATTCTCTGACAGCCAAACCTTTGGATGATGCAGAGATAAATATAAAGGTGCACAAAACAAGCATCATCAGAGACGTTATAAATACATATTATATACTGTAAATATACATACATATGCTTATATATATATACATACATACTATATATTACATATACAGCAATAATATAATTACATATACTACTTAAAATTATACATATTTTGCTATTTGATGTCATGATCACGATACCTCTGCCAACCTCTTCAAAAGCAACTCCCGAACCTTTTGCTTGAACGCCCAACGATTCGACACCATCCTGACATCGAGGGGGAGCGCATTCCACAGAATAATAGATTGAATAAAAAAAGAAGAATGAAGAAATTTTGTGTGATGAGTTGGACATTGAAGAAGGCGGGCGGGATATTACTTTGAGTAAACTGTAGATATAACTATCCTATAAAATAAAAAGTACCTACATAAACACATACGTATAGATTTATCTTATACATATGTTACGTTCTAAAAGTAACAGTATGTACTTGTATTGTAAGTGAACACCTCGCCTCGGCGAGCTACATTAGAATGTGATTGCAAAAGTATGCAGCGAACTATCAAACGACTTGTTTCCTAAGGATAATTTGGTGGCGGTGAACGTGCGCCCGCGACGGAGAACCAATGTTGTCTTTACTCGAGCCAACCGTGCAACGTTGTGTAATACTACACTATAAGCTAACAACTTCTTCATATTATGATCCAAAAATGTAAACCTTCCTTTTAATTTTCTCGACACTTTTACATATGTAACTGGTAAACTAAAGTAACCACTGAACACGGTATTAACGTGTACAATAATTCGAGCAATAAAACGGACAAAGGACTTGTAGTTACCGCAACATATTTGCAAATTACCAAATTGTATAGAGCATTGTCACGTAATTGCCATTTATAGCTGACATTAAGCAATGTAACGAAATGCCACACAAAGCGGTCAGTTAATGTAAAAAATAGAACAATTTATTTATCTATAGCTTTGCGGCGGCGCAGGCGCCATGTTCATTCATTGTTTGTGAATCAAATGCACGCGCAGTAGGAACTATAAAAATATATAAGGGGACTTGTGGATTATGCTGCCTGGATTCCACATGATAGTTATCCTATTCGATTATTTGTTAGTTGCTTTAATATTATGCAGTGAGTACTCTTCAACAGGTACCTACTACATAAACTGTTAAATAATTTTCTTGTAAATAGGAAGTTGGAAAAATAATTTCACGCGGCTCCGCTCGCACTAAGCTGCAATATCATTATTGTTCAATTTTAAAACAAATCGATTTCGTTATTATGATGTTGAAGTGGTAATTTTTAGATAGTGACGTAATAATGCCTAATATGTGAAAAAATGTGTAAAGATGTCTGTTAGTTAACTTTTGTGACGGGCAGTACCTAACATCCTCTAATTCTTCAATGTGTGAAAGGTTTTTGTATTGACCCTTCATGTAGAAGGGAGTTTTAATGCTCAATAGTGGAAGTCTTGCAGCTGATAACAGGGTTTTGTGTGTGCTAATAATAATAATAAGGTAATACAAACCTTGTGCGTGTCCATGGTGCGCCAGAGAGAGCAGCGCGAGGCACAGGGTGAGCGCGCGCATGCTGCCGCTACCGCTGCGGAGGCATGCCCGCAGCCCCGGACACACGCTGTATACAGGGAGGACACTTGAGGACATTTGTAATAATATATATACACTACACCTAACAGGAAATATTGTATTACTAACTGTTAAGTATCAGATCACAAAACATATCAAAATACTATATTACGTTCTCAATTCGACCATACAAGAAATATTTTTATAAAAATTTCAATTTTCTGTTTACTTATTTCTCTCATTATGAAAAATGTAATCGTCTAAGTAATTACGTTTTGTGTGATACCAATCAGTCGGGCAATTAAACACATGCATGGCGCAGACAAGATCAAACAATTTCTGGTGACTGTAGTTGCTTTCCACTTGATGATGTTCTAGCTAACGCGTGACAGTACAATCTGAGTTACTTACTATAGAAAACTTAACGAGCATTCCACACACATATCGTGATAATATTCACCTTATCATTATATCACAATAACTATAAATTGCAGCTTTATTTCATAATCTGCAAGTCCAGCGTGATGTAACAGTGTTATCCTACTTCATAATGCGTCTATCGCTACCTGGCATCAACTTACAATATATAAATTATGTATACAGTTCGCGAGCCGAACCTCTCGAGGCTTTATTTAGAAAGCGGAAAAAACATCAGCATCTGTGCAGCCATTGCTGGCACATTTCGCTTTCTTCAACCGTGGCTACATTTACATGTTGTGTGACGCGCACATTGTTTTGGGCCGCTCGGATAACTGCTACAAGTACTCAGTAACCGTGTACCTCGCTCATACTATCCCTTTCCTATAACGTCTATCCAACATGGCCGTCAGAATTCGAATATCATTTACCGCCTGATTACAACAGCTCATTTCATGGTGAAATTGTTTCGGTGGATCAGGAGAAAGCAATATTGTATTAAATGGAAACTAATTGACTTTGACATTTGACATATCCAATACAACCATAACAAAGATCAAGAAGCGATTTCGCATTTGGTGGAAATTACTCGTAAAATTGATTGAATTTTTCAAATTTATGATGCTTCTTGGGAAATCTACTTCTCATTACGTGTGTTGTGTGAAAGTCCTGTTATACGATGAGAGACGTATTGCGGCAGGCTCGCAACATGGAGTCTGCTGTCATTGCTGCTCGCATGCAGCCAGCCTGCCAGTGCATAGAGCTGGGAGCACCGAGCGCGGGGTCAACGTTACTGTTAGTGGCACTGACTATGTCACTGGGACACGCGCTGCGATGCGCTCTTACCAACTAAGGGTGCTAAACGTTGAAATGAATTATAAAATTCACACAACAATGTTTCAACAGTTCAGTGGAACTCTGAAACTGGTAAATGATTCCAGACCATTGTCTATTTATTATAGAACGGCCTGCAACCGAGCTTACCTCCACCGCTCCACTAGTCGCCGGTATCATTTATGATGTATGTCAAGGGGTGCGGGTTCGAATTTCACGTAAAGTTTAACAATAACAAAACCTGTCAGAGGTCACACATGAGTGCGCGGGCGCAGGTGATCAAATATCCAAAGGCGAGATGGACAACAGCTCTATCAAGCGAATAGGATCCATTAACGTATCGCTTTGTAGCGTTGTTATTAGCAGTAGTAAGTAGTGTGCTTTATGATATTAGCATGAACAATATGAGCATAATGTCAGTTAAGGTAACAGTGTTTCCGCGCGGGCTGGCACTCGCCACGCGGCATCGGTGCGCAACGGGGGCCGCGACACCGCGCGGTATTCTCGACAATTTATAAACTTATAATACATGACACAATAAGTGGCACTTCTGCTACTCCACGGTGTTTTATTAGTCGTTCCACAAAAAAGACACCCAACACAAAATTAGTCATACTATTTTTGTATAATGCTGAGTCATTCTAAACTAACTTAAACAAATCGGGGGTGCCTGACTGACGACTAATTTCAAGTGACAATGGGATCTTTAACCATTGCGGGCTTATTAAGGTTTATATTAAGCTGTTGCACTTCTAACGACCTCACTGTGTCTCCTTATACATAAGTAGCAGTTGACCTTTAAGCCTAACAACCTATCCTAACTGATCACTGCGTGTGTTACGCGCGTGTTGAACTGGGTCTGTCCGTTGTACGGCGCGGGCGCCGCCGTCACGGTGCTGCAGTTTTTACCAACCACTATCACAGAGTTGTACAACTGTTTGTCTATTGTTTTCTACTATACCATATATAGGTTAAACGAAATCCCAAAATTGGAAATATCAACAGGACAATATCAGTCAATACATGTTACATGTCACATTAACATTCACAGTCCGCCCATGATATTTACAAGTAAAATTACTCTAAAACATTCACAAGTTTCACACGAATAAATATATGTTGATTATAAAATTACTCGGTAACGTAAAATTATAAATAGATACGCACTCGCAAAATGTGAAACTGTACAGCGAAAAGTCTCATAACAAAATTTGTTACGGAACAGAAAAGCTAAATATTAACAAGACTTTGTACACATGGAACCTATCACTACAATCAATGGATAGCATCCTATCAAGTCCACAATTTACTTAATTATCAATTAAAACATGATCGTCGTTCTAATACTGAACAAGGACCTCGCTTTGTTTTTAAAGGATGGCAGATATCATCTCATAGTCCAGTTCTTATAAAAGTTATATTCTAAAGAGTCTCAAACTAGATATATTTTTAATCAGAATAGGAATGCGATAGGTACCTATTATTTAATGACAAAGGCTTACATAAATACTGTCCCGTCATAGGAATGTTTAAGATAGAATCGAAAATAATCGATATAAATAAATATCGATAAATAAATTAACTACAGACTAGCTTGCTAGCTTGCCTGCAGGTATATGGAGTGCGGATGCATGCTGCTCGGCCCCTCTCCCGCCACTCAAGCGTGTCTGTTTCTGCTCGAAGTCGTAACGGACTTCAAGGGGCCACTGGATAACTCCAATACCAAATAACTTTAGCGTAGCATACGTTAGGTTCTAGTTACATACCTATAAGTAGATAGCCAGTCACTTTGGTTCTTTTTATTCATTTTCAGAAGATACACGTAATGCTCTGACTATGAATCACGGTAATTTTCCTTTAAATATTGTTTTGTTATGAAATAATGTGTTTGGAACTGTTTCTAACATAAACATAACGTAACGTTACGCCTTTTGATACCGAAGGTCTGAGGAGTTGCAAATAAATTTAGGTATTACCCGTTTTCTATCTATATTTTTTTGACTGGATTATCCTATGGCCATGCATTGATTGATTGCACAATTCTAGACTTCTTACTATTACTTCCTTCGCTGGACTCTCATGGATGGAACCCAAGACATCTTGGTCGGCAATCAAACTTGCAGCTAACGAGCGAAACTTTCGCCAAAATTGGAAATGGACTTTGGCAAATGCCACTTACATCGATATTGCGGCTTAAGTTTTTGATTATTTTAAATTAATCAAAAAGATTGTTTATTGTTTTAGATACAGTACAAAACACCACAGAACAGCAAATAACTTATCATAAAAATTAAACTTTAGTGGCATTGTAAGGTAGGTACCATAAATACTCAAGATTTAATTTACTTACACGCGTTTTAATATTTGAAGAAATAGTGCAATTTTTAATTTGATAGGTAGCTGTTTACCAAACTTGAAACCAGTCACTTTACTTAAACTTCACTAAATTAAGTCGGATTCACAAGAGGAACCTTAAACATCCACAGATGTAAAGTAGTTTCAGTATATTTCAAACTAGATGTACACACCGAGAACGCAAACGGTTGCGTTACGCGTGAGTTCGCAGGTGTCGAGCGTGGTTGCGCGGGGTACCGGCATGCGGCAGTGAGGTCGTGAGTGGACTGGGGCTGCACGCTCCACGACGCGGCCGCGGCCAGCCGGGGCGCACGCCGCGATGTGGGGGTGGGGACCCGCCACAGCCCAATGCCCACTTCGTGCATCACACATTATCTAAATGGTGACATTAATCTTTTAACATTCAAATTCACAAGACCTTTAAAGCATTTAACAAACCTAGCTGAAACTTGCCGCTTTGTGTTTTAGTATCAATTACTTCTTACAGCAGAACAGAAATAAAGTCGTTCGTCCTTGGATCTTAGCATAGTCGTTTATGAGATACAGCCTGGTGATGAACAGACCGACAAACGAATTGCGAAGTCTTCACAATAGGTTTCCGATTTAAAAAAAGTATCGTAACTGCGATGTGATTTTGATTTGATTTGTTCAATGTGATTAACATACACTACTTAAGTATAAAGTTTCAGGTTGGACAAACACCAAATTGTAATAATTATAAGTTATCTATGTGGAAAGAATTATGTTAGTATGTTCTATGTTCGAAGCCTTGAGTATTAACCTAAAAATTAATATTCTTTTCAAAATAATTATGTTGTTTATTGCGTAAAAAGAAATTTCTATTTTATTTTCCCACTTTTGTCAAGTTAATGTCATAGAAATGTCATTTGATTGGTTGTCAAATGTCAACGGGAAAATAACTTCAGCTTTGCTGGAAAATGTCATTCGCCTTGTATGCATTTTGTTTTTCTTTTGTAATAAATATTAATTGGCTTGCTAAAAACAAGTAATGATAAAAAATTGGTTCATCCTTTCAGACAATTGTTCGTATAGCTAAGCGTAATGTAGAGTTAGAAAATAATAATAAATAGAGGAAAAATTGGATGTGTTAGAGAAATGGCCGAAACGAGTACAATGAACTCCGATAATAAAGTGGAGCAGAACGAGGAGAAACAAGACATGGAGGTCATTAAGACCGAGACGGAAGTGCAGGTGAAGCACGAGCAGTTGGAATGTATAACTTGTACGACTCGCAGCCACGACTGTGTAGATATTTACTCCTCGAGAACCGTCGCGTCCGGTGCCAAGCTCAGCACCTTCTTGCACAAGTACACGCAGATTGACATTTCCAGCCTGCCGGCCTGCTCCAAGTATATGTGTAAGACCTGTTATGATCTCATCAACGTACTTGAGCAGGCCGAGTTAGAATACTTCAAGTTAAAGGAAACATTTGAAGCTATCGTTAGCAAAAACCCATTGTTCGAGACACACGGAGCCCAACCGATTAAGTTGACCACGGTAAAAGCTGAGTTCGCATGTGATGACGATGATGATGACTATGTATGCGACAATCTGGATGAAGATGATTCAGATGATGAACCACTGGCGACACAGAGCAAACGAAAGAGATATAAACTTGAAAAGAAAAAGAAGAAAATGTCTTCAAACAAGCGCAAAAGTAAAGCTAACAGTGACAGGTAACCTTTTATTTAGTATTCTAGTCATCCCCTTGATAGATGTTATTCGCAGGACTAGTTTGTTGTGGACAGTTAGACAGCTAGTGTGTAGAAACTTACATTATTGTAGAAGTTGATGTATAGAATTTTGGAAAGTAAACTAAAATATCTTAAATACAATTTGTGTTAAGTAAATGAAAGAAATACAGTGTAACTATGTCTGTACTACCTACAGCATGTACAGAACTACATTGTGATTTGTGATACTAAGCAACTGCTGGTTATTTAGTATTTTATCTCACTGTTCCAGCTGGAAATGTGATGAGTGTGGAATGAAGGGTACTTCCAATGGGGATGTAGGGCTGGCAGCACACAAGTTGGCTGTACACACATTGGAAGACACCGCTACTGTTCTTCCTGAGGTCAAGATTGAAAACTCTGCTGAAGGGTGAGCAAAGGATACTGTTACTGATTACTGGACATTTAACTAGGCATCTAATTTCAATTATTAGGTACTGTCAAACAAGCATCATTTTATGAAATTGTAAATAATAAGTAGGGGAGGCCAGGATGCTAAATATGTAGTCAGTTAAGTGTCAGAGGGACTGGCCTTTTAAAGATTTGGTGATAGATAGAAAAAATTGTTTAATGACATTTTCTTTCAAACTGTAAAGTGTAACTTTTATTATATTGGTTGGGCATGCCAGATATTGAATGGGTAAGCCCCATGTACCTCTGATCTGCTGAATTGCATTAGGGTTGACCCTCCCACTGTTGTTACCACATTGAAATTGGCAGATATTTTTTAATTGCACTTTCTTTTGCATGACATCAACCTTTCCACACTTAATCTGACGAAAATGACTGTACTCAGTTGGATTTTTTATTTTGATAACCTATTTACAATAAGTCTTTGGTTGGTTTATTCAACAGAATACTAAACATTCTCTATAATTGTTAAACTGATGCCCTGAATTTTTTTATGTAGGTAATAAGTCGGCTAACGATCAGATGGATTACCTGATGGTAAGCAATAAGCGCCGCCCATGTATTCTGGCAACAGAGGAGTTACGAGTGTGTCGCCTATCTTTCTTTTGGGGATCAGGTATTTGGAGATTTAGGGATTGGAGAGGGGAAGGATTGGGCCTCCGGTAACTTCACTCATACGGTGAAACACAACGCTGTGGGTGTTTCACGTCGGTTTTCTGTGAGGTCGGTATCACTCGGGTCAAGCTGACCCATTCGTGCCGAAGCACGACTGTCCAATGAAACAATGAATTTATTTTTGCAAATAGGCCATAAAACGGCACTTTTACACGTCAATAACTAGATGAAGTCCCACACTTAATTCAATTATTATATAAAGTTTATGTAAATATGGCGTGACAAATAAATGAAATTATAACTTTTGAATGAAAAAAAATGTTTGAAAAAGTGAGAAGGTGTGATGTTGTTTTCAGATCACAAAGTCCTCTATATAACAATGGCTACGGGAACTGCCTCAAAATGGAGATGGATAATAGTGATGACTATAGTTTAGCCGTTGAGGACCTCAGCAATGATACGCAACCTGTCAAGAAGAAACCACTTGGCCGTCCAGTCAAGACAAAAATGAAAACAGGACAATCCAGAAATAAAAAGGTTAAAGTTGTGCATCAGTGTGACCAGTGTGATGCTAAATATTCTTCATTAGGTGAGTTCTGTCAATTTGTGAGTCCAGCTAATTTAATATTAACCTTTCATAAAAGATCCTCTATTTTGATAGACTATGTACTCTAACAGCGTGTGTGCAGAGTTTCTACTATTAATAATAAATGTATATGTGAGAGAATGCAGGGGCATACAATTTTTTGTGTGTGTCCAGATCAACTTATTTATGAGCATGTATAAAAACTGATTTATAAAACATCTAATGTTACCTATGAATATGAAAAGGTGTATGTACATATAATATAATGTAGTTGTGTCTGTCCGCACAGCTCGACTGGAGCAACACAAACAGAAGCACGACGGGTCGAAGCCCCCGTACATCTGTGAGGTCTGCGGGGCACACTACAAGCACAAGCGGGCCTGCGACATACACATCGCATTACATAAAGGTGACTGTTCACTCAATACACATTTAATTCTATTAATTTCCAATGTTTTCTACTGCACATTTTTTAAACTTAAATACTGTTAATTGTTTTGATACTTTTTCTCGATTGTAGCACTATTTAGGTTTCTTGTTTCAATAATTGGTATTGTTTCAAACTAAGTTAGCTTAACAAGCACTTAGACTGTTTTGTTTATACAAAGACCGTTAAACTGTTTTATTGAATAGCGATTTTTTTAGGAATTTAGTATAATACGAAAATAGTTTTCGTCCCATTATATTTGAACATGATACGTAAGAAAATAAGGTAAATTATTTAAGTTATCTTGCTTAATTACAGGTATCAGTGATTGGAAATGTGAAGAGTGCAATAAGTTGTTCCCGTCCAAGAACGCGCTGCAGAGGCATAACAATATACACACGGGCAAACTGAACTACCAGGTAGGTGCAGGCGTCCGTAGAGGGAGCGGTGAGTAGTGCGTGATGTGGTGCGGGGGTACAGGTGTGTTGTTGTGTGCAGTGCGACCTGTGCGGCAAGTCGTTCATCCACACGTCGTCGTTCAAGATGCACAAGCTGTCGCACTCGGGGCTGAAGCCGCACGCGTGCGACGTGTGCGGGCTGGCCCTCATGACGCGCTCGCACCTCAAGCGCCACAAGCGCGTGCACAGCGGGGAGAAGCGCCACGAGTGCCCCGTCTGCGGCAAGCGCTTCTCCGAGCGGTACAACCTCGCCGCCCACTCCAAGTCACACGACGCCGCCGGGGACCAGCCCGCGCTGCCGCGCCGCCATCTCTTCCGCTGCCCCTACTGCCCCGAGAGGTTCGAACGACGGTCAGTATTCTATCACGCAAACTTTCTTTAACAACAACAGCAACAGAAGGTTATTTGAATCAATCTAGGGTTTTTGGTTAGTACCTGTACTGAGCACGTAATCGTAGTAACAACACTACTATTGATACCGATGTGACTCAATAATATCAGCTCGGTAAATACAAGCTATCTAATTATAGTCGTAATCGGACTTTACATGACCCACTTAAAAAACACATAGTCAGCGCAACGCAAATAACATACGTTGCAAGGTTACCTTCACCAGCTGACATTTTCGCTGACTGTAGTAAACAATGGTCAATGACTCTCAATACATCACAACAAAAAACTGCAGGCGTGGCTTATTATGACATGTAATACGAGTGGGAAATATTTTATGCACAATTTATATGTTTGTTTAGTGTGCACATCGAAACAGTGTGATTTTATGGTCTTATTTTCTTGTCTTAAGATAATTAAAAATAATCAGATATCTACTTTTCCCCTTTAAACATGTAGGTGAAGCCGCAGGTAAGGTCTAGTAAGTACTATTCTGTGAAAAGAGTACCGGGAAAAGATGAATAATACATTTTATTTTTTGTTCATTTTATTAATCCAAGTCCATCCAAACGAAACACGCTGTTCCCGAAATTGAATTCTGATTTCTGTCTTCTACACAGATGGTATTTGGGTTCAGAAAAAGTAGAAGTCGGTTGGAGCCATATCTGGCGAATATGGCGACTGCTCGATGGTATTTCTTGAGTGTTTGTTCAAAAATGAAACGAAAGAATGCTAAGGTACATTATCGCCGTGCAAAATCCAGCCAATCCAATGTTTTTTCTACAAATCTGGCCTTTTTTGTCCAATTTTCTATTTGTTTTGGTTTGGTTCTTTTGGAAGCCGTCAGTCCGAAGTTTGTTGACTTGTCTGCATTTCAAGCTATTGAATCCATTTCTTCACACACCTGATCGCCAGCGACAACGCATTTTATGATTGTTGGTCGGAATTGACTCGTCGCCGAGCGATGGTTCGATGGTTTACTTATGAATTTCGCAATACACTAGATATGATATAACCGCGCCGTATTGAGTATATTCCCCCGGGCAGGTACATGTTGGAGCGCCACGCGTCGTGTGCCCACGGCCGTACACTGGAGCGTCCGCCGCCGACGCCGCGCAACACGATGAGCAAACTGCTCAAGGCGCAGGCGCAGCGCGCCCTGCCGCACCACGCGCCCAGCGCACCCACACTCGCCAACGGACAGAGTATGCCATCACTTCCATCTTGTCATATACAGTCTACTTATTTCTCTTCTCACAAGTACTTAGAATACATCTACATCGAGTGCAAAACTGACACGTAATCTCACTTTTAATATTACTTGTGGAATTTATTATATCCAGAATATAATACGAATGGTTGCATTCTACATTACAGCCATAAGCGACACGAGGCGGGAAACCTCAGTGTTATAATATAATTTGGTGGTTTGTGTAGATGCCGACACGAAAGACGATCGAAGTTCAGATTCCCGGACCACACCCATCACACCACAGAAACTTATCGCACAATTATGTAAGTGTTGGGTAATATGGATTCAAGCTAATGAAGATGTTTGTCCATAGTCTCATCTTATTTGTGTAATTTTGCAGCATCCTCTAGCTCAGTAGTGCAGGGCGCGTGGGGCAGCTCGTACGCAGCGGAGTTCCTGCGCCACGAGTACCCACACTGACGCCTGTCTCCCCCCACACACGTCACACACACACGTACATCACGCTCACATCACATCTGTATAGAAACATTCAACAGGTGTCATCAGATACATGAAACCCTCTTAGAGGCGGATTGACCCTATTGACGTCCCTTAGCAGTCACCTCATAAGGACTTCTTCTTTATTCTTTAGAGATTCCTATATACAATGATATCATTTGAAATAAAGTGCAATAAATATTCTAGTAAAACCAATAATTTGGAAAAATATCTACAAATAACAAGAACTGTTGCTTTCAGGAGTCATTGCTTTTATCTGGACTATTTTTACAGTTGCACAGATAATTAATCAAACATTGTGTAAATGATGACTGATAGAATCTCCTAGGTAATGACTAATGACTATTATGAACAATATTGACATAACTAGAACAAATGAAATAATTAAAGAATCTTCCATTTAACTCAAGTCTTGCATTAAATGAATAATATCCAAATGTAAATACTTAGTATAGTCAACCTAAACACAATTAGACTAGAGAAATATTATTTACTTTAAGATATTATATTGTAAAAATATTATACATATACTGTTAAAGTAGGTATACTGTACAATAATGTTATAAAAATATTTTTATACTAAACACAACACACCCCTGGATTAGTTTCGTATAAGCAAAAAATTGTATTGTCATTTGATTTACTTTATTAACTAAGCATTTGTATTATATTTAATGAATATACTTACTTACAGTTAATTGAAAAAAATGTTCTTTATTGCATTAAACACGCATGGCAAAACTTGTTAGGTGTTGTGTTAATGTGTGCACCTACCTTCAAGCAATAAGAAGTGTCATGCTGTTCGTTTCCCAAATTCTTTATCAATGATATGGTAAAGTAAGTTGTTCACGTTTCGTAAGTCTTATAAAATATCTTGGAGGAATTACTTTAGTATGATTGATTATCATCAAATGACTTCTCTCGCCGAAAGTATGACGAGAGGGAGCGTGAAACTCTTACTGAATCAAAAACCCCTTGTCCCTTTTCCTGCTCCAGGCCGAAGCCGCGTGACCGGCTACCCCGGCTCAGCATTGGCCATGTTGGGCTCCATCTGTAGTGGACTATTGGCTCTGATGCCTCACGCAACGGTTTGGTTCTAGTCGGGCTCGTCGACCGCACACTCGCGCTTATGGTGGCCGGAGATCGTCGTTCGATTGCTGTGGCAGCTGGGCGTGAGAAGGATACCCTCACGCGTTCCACCTCCTCCTTTGAAGGAGAGAAGACAGTATCCCAGTCCTCTCGCTTCGCACCATGGCCTCGATTAATCGATGGCTGACCGCGAGAGGTCGCCGCCGCCGATCACTTCCTCGAGGACACGGTCAGCCCAAGCAGGGCACACCGCCACCGTATGCACCACCATCCTCTCCTAGTAGTCCTCAAAATGACACCCGGGCGTTTCCTTCCGAAACAGGCACCTACCGAAACTTCCATTACCGGTAATGGAAGCTTCGGTACTTACCGGTAAGTAGCTGCGTTAGGCGGAAGGTGAGGACCCTATGGCGTCTCTCTAACCACTCTTTAAAGAGGGGCTTTTGCCGGTTGCTATAGATGTTCCAGTCTGCCATGAGATCACACCCATTCCGCCACTCCATTAATTTGGAATGGCAGAGGATTCTCGCCCATAAGCGCAAACTGTAGACGCACGCGAGCGCTTTCCCTTCCAGATCCCATGGCTGCGATCTCCGGCAAGGCGGTTCACGGCCTCCCCGGAGATCGTGCGATAACCGAACATTATGCGACTGGCCATGATCCTCTGAGACGAGCCCAGTGGACGAGCTGTCCGCCGCCTTAAATACGATGCACGATCCCAAGGGTTTGGTCCCACAAGTTGAAAAGGAGCCGCTTGTTCGCGGCCCCAGTTCTTTCTAACTTAACAAGATAAAATACCTTAGATAGAATTCCTCCATGATAAATACCTACAAAGCTACCATAGACTAAATTAAATAACATTATTTTTCACTATTGATTTTTACTAATTAAAATAAAAATAAATAAAAGCACAGTCCGCTAATGTCAATCACATTAAGTACTTGAAAGTATTTTAAAAAAGAGCGTTTAATTCGGTTTAATTTAACACAGGTTTGACAATGTTAGAAGGTTGTATTTGACAAATCTATTTGACAATTGACATAAAAAATCTTTTTAATCAGCTGATCGTAGATTCATATTATATCAATCCTGTGTATCAATCTCTGACTATTAAAATATATTTATAAAAGTAGTCTGTGCTATTATAGTAAGTACCTAATCTGTGATTGAATGTCCGTTAGCAATACCTTTTCATGTACCTACATATGTTGCATTTCTGTCATGTGAATGATAAAAGATCGCTAGTGATGGCTAATTCGAGATTAATACATACTTCACATAGACTGTACCCAGGTTAACAAAAATTCTACTGTGACTAGTTTATACCTAGCCTGTATAACACTAATCTTTGATTGAAAAAGAGGACGATTATAGCTGACTATTATAGCTGGTTCTGAATATCCTCAAAATTATTTAATACACACATATTTTCTGATTATCTAGGATTGATTTGCAGTTAGGTTATAATAACTTATTCCGTGCTTCGAAATGGCTGAAAAATATAGAGATGATGAATTAAAAATCCGGGCAGCAAAGAGAGAAGATATGTCAGCTGTTGCTGAGATGATCCAAGTGAGTACATATTATATAATAAGTATTACTTAACTAATAAAAATAATATAAGGAGAAATAAATCACCTAAAACAAAATTAGTCCAACAAGATTTAAAGATAAAAGGTGTCAGACTGTTGGGTGTAAAGCTGTTGTTTTAAATTGTCTAATTATTCTTAGAAGTAGGGAACTTTCAGTTACTGTCCATTATGTAGTCACAATGGAATCATTACCTACCCTATTCAATATTAGCATAAATTATCTTTTTTCCAGGAACTTGCCGATTTTGAGAAAATGCCTGAGGGACCTAAAATGTCAGTTGCCGGTGAGTAAACCTTCACTGATTGATATGAAACTACCACATGCATAATTTTGTTAGTTATAAATATACCTAAGAATATATATCTACATTACCTTTATACTTAATGTTCTTTTTTACCTTTATTTTGTACCTACTCAAAGTCAAAGTTGTATATTTTTATTTACTTAATTTAAATTTGTGTGAATAAATATAATAAAATTTCAGATTTGGAACGTGATGGTTTTGAGAGGCAGCCCCCTGCATTCCATTGCAAGATAGCAGAGGTGCAGCGTCCCGGAAGTGAGATGGTGGCGGGCTACGCACTGTATTTCCCTACATATTCCACATGGGAGGGACGTTCCATGATGCTTGAAGATTTATATGTTCGCTCAAGTCAGAGACGTTTAGGGGTTGGCCAAAAATTGTTTGAAGCTGTAGCTAAGGTAAACAAACAGTAAAACCAAATTTGTATTAAAGAAATCGAATTAATTAACTAAATCCATTGTTTCTTCCAGGAAGCCTCATCTACAGGATGTTGCCGCCTTGATTTCCATGTCCTAGAGTGGAACCCGGCACGTTCCTTCTATGAGCACAAAGGTGCAGTCAACTTGACTAACTCAGAGCAGTGGTGTTACTACAGACTCACTGGAGAGGCTCTGAAGAAATTTTCTTAGGAACTGATAGAGTACCAAGATAGAAAGAAAAAACCAGTGTTGTGCACTCATTATATGTATTTTGTAATATATTATACAACAGACTTGTTTTTGTACATATATATTTCTATTTTATAATTATTCAAATGTTGAGATGTATTGAACTCGAAGTTAATGCCAATTTTATTTAATTTGAGATGTTTTGATATACTGCTGATCCCAGCCTAATTGAGAACAGGCTGTGAAAAATATCGTCTCTATAAGGCTTAACTTAGATTTAACATAATTATACCAAACACTCTGTGATACAATGTTTGTTGAACCGTAAATAATAAACAATTTTAAAATAAATTTTGAATATTTAATTTCTAGCTAATATGTACAGATATTGTAAATGCCATTTATTTCAAACTTATTTAATTAAACTAAGTCACATTATTGTGTCAGTTTGCCTCACAGGTGCTCACCTCACTTCATGCAATTATTGGCTACTAGTCAAGTAATCGGGGCAGGCTGTATAATTATTTATTTTGACAAAATATAAAGTTTGTGTACATGTTTCTGCCATACATATAGCCTGCCCTCGATTAGTTTACATAACCGTGTATTGTTACCTACCTATAACAAACGATAGAGTTGTCGTTCACAAAATATTCCGTCCATGTAGGTATAATATAAAATATTTCTTGCGGGTACTGTCTCGTACCTGTAGGAAATACTTATATGAAGATAAAGCGCAGTGCTTACATGGAATAATGTGAATACTGTTTGACTTATTGACTAATAACATAATTATACATACATCTAAATGGCTTTATTTACATCGAGAAGCTAAGGTACCAGCAGACTCGCAGGTTCCACCACTCGCAAAGATTTGCTCCTGTACCAACATCCAAGTCAACAATCCAACATCTAAGTTATCTCCTAAAATGTTAATATCAGTATTTAACTCCTGAAACATCTCTAATTAACAATCATTAGACTAGTTTTTGAGATTACGATTGTCATGGAACGTTAAAGTAGATATTTAAATAGTTAATACTTGCGTTACCACTGTGTCAGTCAGAATGGCAAGGCGCCTCGAGCGACTAGCTACAGCTTCGGCCGCCCGCGTCCCGTTTACTCGCACCTACACATACTACTGCCTACCTACTTAATGTTACAACTAAACTATATACATTCGATTGGTCGGAACTCAAATACAATATTCTAATTAGATACAATACTTTTAACTAATGGAAGTTGACATTGCTAGTTTTGATAAATAGGTACTAATAGACTCGGGGTACCTAATAATGACCCAAACTGCCGTAAGTCCATCTTCTAAGGGTGAAGGGTGAAAGATCCCACTCCTAAGGAGTCGCGGGATCCTGTCCGACACTTTTAATTAAGGCCGCGGTAATCATAATCGTATAGCAAACAACTCGATCACAGCTTTAGTCCTCAGCAGGAACGGTCACTTAGAAGTGTCGGATTGGTAGCAGTGGGACCCGGCGGGCCTCGGCGAGTCCGTCGGCATCAACAGCGGGGGCACTCAGCGCGCGTCCGGGCGCTGCTACGTGGACGCCATCAGCTTGGCGTGCGCCGTCACATTGCGCTGGTGTAAGAACCCACTGCCTTCCTCCTCCTCGCTGTTGCTAAGACCATACTGGAAAGGAAAATCAGCAATTAAATTAGATCAAAATTACTAACTACATACTTAGTAAATAAATGGAGCTATTGCGTTATACGGGCAACAAGCGTACATACAATTGGTGCGGGTGTGTGGAAGTAGGTACCAACCTGTAGCGCGTGCAAGTAGTGTTGCTGCGAGTGATAGTGCGGGCCGGAGTGCGTGGGGTAGGACTCGTAGCCGTTGGCATTGCTGGGCTCGCTCTTAATGTTGAAGAGCGACGGGTTGGACAGGAAGGGCGCGGCGGGCAGCCCCAGTGGGTACTGTGCATGCGCGTGGCCAGGCTGCGTCTGCGCATGCGCATGCGCCTGCGAGTGTCCCAGCGCGTGCGCGTGCGCCGCGTGCCCGTGGGGCGACGTCTCGGGCGTGGCGTGCGACTCACGCGCCTTGGACGCGCCGTGACTAGACATGGACTGCGTCAGCGGAAGCGGCACCTCCGGCAGACTTTGTTTACTGTCTGTAAATATAAATCATTTCGTGTATATTGTGAGTTTTCAGAAACAACTTCCGGTAATTTTATTTGAAATCTATGCAAATGTATCTACTAATGTAGGTATATAAAGAGCTGAATCATCAAGAAAACAAGTTTTATTACGAGAGGAATGATACAAAAAGGAAGTAGATACCTAAATGTCAATGATGACAGGTTCAATTCCCACTAGATAGGTACTTAACTAAAATCGTGTGGTCCACGAATTTAGTAAAAGTACAGTAATAGCACTAGCAGGTTTAGGTACCTAGACCAACTTACCGTCCATTCCCGGGGAGTTGTGGTCATCTTTCTTGTTGGCGTCCTGCGGAGGCTTGGTTCCATTGCCTGACTTCTTCGGCTTACGCTTCCGCGTCTGAATCCCATCTTTTCTCATAGCTAGAGGCCTGTGAAATATATATATATAAGAAATGAGTATTGAGTAGGTACTAAATAACTGAACTAGCGTAGCCCAGTATGCGCTACATACCGGTTGATCCCGTGCAGCTTGTAGTAGAGGCCGCAGGCGTTGCAGACAGGTTCGCCGTCGTTGTTGCGCCGCCACAGCGTCGTGTTGCGCGACCCGCAGTTGGTGCAGCACTGGCCGTGTCGCCGCGCCGCGGACTGCATACACAACACGCCACGGTCAGACAATGACACTCCACTGAGCATCAGGAACTAACAGAACATCCGTCACCAGAACACACCAAAACCATGACATACTAGGTACTGACCAGTTCCAGTAACCTAACCGGTGTAGATTTGGCGGCGGATGAGAGCAGCTCAATACAAAATATGGCTAAATTCTACCTCTAATGGGAAACCAAATCTACCGACAGTTAGGTTATTGCAATCTGGTCATTAATATGTGCAATATCTACTACCTATGTACTCATGCGCTATTAAAGATTTCATTCCTACATAGGATCAAAGCTTCTACGTGTTAATAAGAAACTAGGTACGACCGCTGTCAGTGTACAACGTATTTGTTAGTGCCTGCAAATAATGTAGGTAGTTACAGCCTACCTAGGTGAGCAATACAGTAACCTTGTTACTTCAATTTCCAAAACAATATAACTAGGTACCTACCTACATACATACGTTGTTTGTCAAACGTTTTACATATTTATTACCCTCATTAGAGATAGACTCATTGTTCGTACCTACATACTTAGTTTGAAACTTAATTAAAAACTACTTGCTCCTAAAAGGTACCAAATAATTTAATATGCATATGGTAAATGAGACATAGATATATCTACAATGTACCTACTTACATGATATTTAATTACCTACCTAGGTATGTAAGTAGGTAATTCGATACTTTTTGAGAACTTTGAACACATACTTAGCAAGTATGTAAGGACAAGTAGATATTTATTCAAATAAAATAGGGATTTACTTTTGTTGAGGGTTCAGGGTTACGATGTCGTTAGGCTACTATTGTATATAATTATAACGTAAGTAGTAGGGACATAATAGGTACTTATTGAGCACTTGAAAGTCTTGAAACTATGCTCCCCACAAATCTCGGTCAAAGTACTTATATAGGTAGTAGATAATTATCTGCAAGGAGAGCACCAAAACCAAGGAAAGACAAAAACCAGACAGAGCATGCATTATGGACATATTGGACATTCACCACAACCACAACATCCACCGCGACCGACGACGCATGAGCAGCAGACTATAGATGTAGCTGACTAGGTACTCGTCCAGTTTATCTGGTCGGCAGCGAGACGGCGAGACTGGCGGCCCGCCGTGCGCCATCTTGTACTTACCACGAGATAGCACTTAGTGAGGTCGTGAGTCGCGAGTTGCATCGCTCGCGGAGCGCGTGGCGCAGGCGGAGCCGCGCCTCATTGGCCGAGTACCTGTCCCTATCACAGCGCGAGCGCCGCCCGAGATAACTAGCCGACTGTCCCCGCTAGACTCCGATACACGCGCGCTATCTGCGCCTTAACTGTTGGAGAGTCGCTCGACGTCTAAACACGACACGGCTCGTTACGGCGTGACGTCACCCTGTCGCGCCGGTTGCTCCCGCGCACACGCCGCTATGCTCACAAGCAATTATCAATCGATTAGTTATCTCGGCTCGCTGTCTTTATCTAATTCCATCGCCAATAACGGTAGCAGTGGTCGGTTGGGAGGTGTAACATTGGGTACAGAACAATGTAACGGTGAAAGCGGAGTGCTAGAAAGCGGGGCGCCTGAAGTAGGGAGCGGTAGCGTGTAGTTTCCTAACACTCGCCAAAGCCCAAAAAGTAAGGAGTTATCTAAGAGGAACCGCGTGCGTGCGACGTCGCGCGGCGGGGCGGCCGCGGGGCGGTAGGATGCATGCACTAGTCTACACGCCACCGACTCACCTTCTTCATGCCCCTGGCCATGCCCTCCACACTCATCCATCTCTGCACGGTGCCCTCCTTATAGAAGCGGGTGAGTAGGTCTGCGTCGGCACCTGTTCGCAAACAGAGCGCGTTACTAGGGTCGTGAGGCACTCACCAGCCGCTTGCTCGGCTTCACGAGCGGGCGGTTCACGCCGTTGATCTTGTGGTACAGGCCGCACGCGTTGCACAGGTAGTGGCCCGTGGCGTCGCGCCGCCACAGCGGGGTGTTGTTGGCGCCGCAGTTGACGCACTCGCGCCCCTCCTCGTACATCTCCAGCACTCCATCTGTTCGCACGCTCGTGTCAGTGGGGCATTACCTACGACGCGACGTAGCCGTGCGTCCCGTCTACCTCAAGCTCTTCATACTCACCATCAAGCTTAACACTTATATGAGATTGGTAAAAGCGGAACATAGCGACTAATAATTAAGCTATTTAAGAAAAAACATGAATACATTATAATCGTCTTCCGATTCCGGAAAAGACAATGTTAACAATTTTATCTCAGGCTATCAGAGCATGAGTTCTTGTAACCAGGTCAGACGGTGGCACACGCCGGACCATATAGCGGCCAACTTTTTTTTTTTTTTTTTTTTTTGTGAGGGGAAAATCATCAAATGACTTCTCCCGCCCAGGGCCGGGCAGGAGGGAGTGTCAGACTCTTACTGACTAAAAACCCCCCTGTTCCTTCTCCTGCTCTGTGCCGAGGTCGCGGTACCTCATTGCGCTTACCCCGCAACCCCGGCTGAACATCAGCCCTTTAGGGCCCCGTCTGTGGTGGTCTATTGGCTCTTTGAGGCGCGCGCGGAACGCTACGCGCCGTACGCTCGGGCCTGGTTCTGGTCGGGCGGCGAGCTGCCCTTACTCGCCGACCGCAGGCCCGTACTTACGGTGGCCGGAGATCGTCCCTCGATCCCCGACGCCCGTAGTGTCGCCAGTTGCGGCTGCTGGGGCGTGAGGAGGAGGATTGCTCCCTCACGCGGGCCGCCTCTCTCTTTGCGAGCATGACTGCTTCACAAAAGGAGGAGACGGCGTCCCAGTTCCTCTCACTCCGCACCATGGTCTCGACTAAGGCCGGGCGCGAGAGGTCGCCGCCGCCGATCACTTCCCTGAGGATACGGCGGTGCTCAGCCCAGGCAGGGCATACCGCTACCGTATGCTCCACCGTATCCTCTAGGTGGTCCTCACAATGACGACACTCGGGCGTTTCCTCCCGCTGAATCCGAAACAGGAACCTACCGAAGCTGCCGTGCCCGGTAAGCACCTGCGTCAGACGGAAGGTGAGGACGCCGTGGCGTCTCTCAAGCCACTCCTCAAAGAGGGGTCTTACCGCTGCTATGGTAGCGTGCCCGGCCCTCGGTTGCGACAGTCGCTGTCTCCACTCTGCCGTGAGATCTCGCCGGAGCTCATTCCGCCACGCACTTATTTGGCGCGGCAGAGGATCTTCGCCCCGGCGACGCGCGTCTGCGCGCAAACTGTAGACGCGCGCGAGCGCCTTCGCTTCTAGATCCCACGGCGGTATATAGCGGCCTACTGCTGTGTCAACTATGTACAGTACCGGGCGGCGCGCGGGTTCTGAGAAGGTGGAACAATAACAATACAGTTGTAGCGATATTGAGAGATACGTACTCCGATACTGCGGACCTACCTCTCGCTACAATGTAACATGGGTTGACGGTACTTGCGAACTGTTACAGAGACTACTTTTGGGATAATCACTAGATCGGCTTTATATTACTTTCAGTTGCTGCCTGTTTAATACATAATGTAGGTACATACTTATTCATGTTTACTCTGTTTCATATAAGTATTATTTGCGTCCCTTCTATGTGATGTGAAATGTGCTTATTGAAAACATATCTAAATCTAGCAAGTTGGTACATTCACTACAGGTATCAGTCCCTAATAGCAAGTACCGTGTCGCCGGAGTATGTACCTACAGGCTACAGTTATTAGGAGGGCCGCCGCGGCCGCGAACATCGGCGTTATCACTATCCGGTGATAAGGCCGGAGCCCTCACATCTGTGCGCTAACCCTGATACATTCGCTTACTGCGCGACGCTAATTGAGCACGACTCGTTGTTCACTCGATAATACACTTCACCACCAATTAAATATTTAGGTAACGGAATTGCTAAATATATAAAGAACAAGTTATATACAACTATACAAGAAACCGAAAAGCTTGATAAATGTTATAAGTACGAGGACGGTGAAAGCTCATAAGTATTTTCCAGAATTATTAATTTTTACATAATTATTATGTATTTAAAAGGTAAAAGGTTTATACGCGCTACGCCAGTAGTCGTAACCGACGCACGCTACGCGGGACAACTATTTACATCAAAAAGTATTTAAGAAACGTGACGAACAAAGGAATAACTATAATCTGAATATAAGCAATAAGTATAGCTTGTTAGTATAATGATTACAATAATACAGGATGGATATTTATCCTTCCTGTGCCTTGCTTAGGTAAAAAAACTATATTAGTAGATACCTACTTAATTAATCTTGTCTATTCGTCACACACAACACACACACACTTCGATAACAGCTTTCCGTAAGTTTCGTTCCTTTTTTTACTTCGGTATGTTTTGTTTATTGTTACACACATTGTTTACATTTTGTTAAGGAAAATGTAATGTCGTTATGCTGCTTGCGACATACAAGGCATATAATATTTATATGAACAAATAAGTCAAACTGGACTTATAGGGTAACAATATAAAGCCAGTCCATTTCTCAGCATTACAAATCTGGAAACACTATAACAGGCTAAGTACCGTTCTGTACATAGGTACTGTAAACTTGCCTAGTACCTACATAAAACAACATTACGACACATTAGGAACAATTTCTACATTTGTGTGATTGTAGTGTGAGGTTAGTTAGTACTCAGATAACGACATATTACAATGTTAGTCAATAGATTACAAATACCTACATAACACGAATAAGTTTTAAAGTAAAGAGGTTTGTAAGTGGTGCGGTGCGCGCGTGATTCAGCCATGCAGTTATCGGGCTCTGACGTCAAGCCTTCATGTTATTGTCTCCTGTGATGAACTAAGCTGATCGCATTCACTAAATATAGGTTGTAACTACCTACCCTACACATATAGCACACACTTACGAAGCAACACACACACAAATATGCTTAGAATAGATCATAGAATTATTAAGATTGATGTCAGGAATCATCTTAACGTTTTATTTCGACGAGTAAGTACCTAAAACCCTTCTCTTTATACTATGCTAAAACCGAATCGTTGGAATAGTTTTGTTCAAAAAGTTGTTTAGAATTTGATTTGTATCAAGATGAGAGGTACCTACCTAAGTACCTACATTTGAACGGTTGAAGAAGGTTTTTATTGTAATTTTGATTTACAAATCTGTGATCCACAACAGTTATTGATTTTTAACTTCTTAAATCTTTTTGCCGTATGGAAGGAATTATCGGATAGACATACGAAAAAAGCTAGGTACGAATATGAAGTTCCGAGTCACAATGAGAAGCAATTATCTGATAAATGCTTTGTCTTTTGAGTTTGATTTCTGACTGCTTGCATAAGGGAACAAGTGCAATGGGATAATCGTTATATGTTTTCTGCATTATGTATAGTTTCTTGCAAGATTATTGCTTATAGTAAATTGCTATAGTTAGGTAAGCTTTATTATTTTTAACACGTCAATACAATAAAAACAAAGTGTTAAAACTTTGCTTTTGATAAAAAAAGAAATATTTATGACACAAATTCAGCAGTAGACAATGCGGCAGGTCACCAAAATTATTATGAATACGTTTCAATAAGTTTACAATAACTCAATCATTTGGAAAGTCTTGTACTCGTGTGCCACCCTACGCCCATTCACACGTTACGTTTCTTAATGTAAAATCGGTTTTATTGAAAAAAAAACCTTTAGTTTCTATATTTAAACAACAAAATACAGCCTGTAACAAGTAACTCCAAGTAATACAAAGCACAAATTAGATGAGCAATGATAATAATAAGATAATGGTACAATTAGTGACATTTTGTTAGATTTGGAGCTAACCAAGTCAGACAAGTTAATTAGTTAGTAAACTGAAGCTTTGTAAAAATGACTTTGTCAACTCCATGGTGGAACAGAGTGTAAGTGGTAAAGGTAAGTTACCGTATGCGGTGGGTCTCTGCAGCGCGTCGTAGGGCGCGCACCACGAGCCCATCACCATGTTCTGCGAGTACAAGCCGCCCGCCACGCCGCCCACGCCGCTCACTGCGCCGCCACCCGCTGCACAACAACAACACTCTTTACACATCACCTTCAGTACACAGCTTCAGGACTAACAGACAGACAGATTGCACGCAATATGACAAACCCTGGACGTGGTGAATTTCGAAAGGCACTGCCTTTCCGATACTGGAGATCCGAAAAGATTTCTGATTCAAACTGGGAAAAACAAGGAAGCAAAGCCAAACATCTCTCTGCGTGGTTTAACATCCGAATCAAATATCCCACTTCACCAAAATATTGTAAACTAAGCAGTGGTCATCTTTAGAAAACAAGGAGTAGGTACATAAACATTTGAGATGTTACAGCTAGCGATGTGATATGACGGACCTGCAAGCAGCGCCATGTTCTGTAACCAGTTGACGGGCAGTTGCATCGCGTCCATTGTCTAGTAGATACTGTGTCCGCGACGGCACTCGATAACACTTGATTACTTAGTGGCGGCGATTGATGCGAGGTGAATGTCGCGACCTGCGCGGTCAGAGGTCACGCTAGGACTGAGTGCTGCGCGCGCGCCGCCCCGAGTCACCCGCCGCACGCGCTTATCTTTGCTGATTCACGGCAACCTTCTGCTGTTTACGGTGACTGACAGGTCAATTCATAAACTTTCTGCTTGGATAGTACGTTGTATGTACGCTAACTGATTTCCTGTTTTGTTGTTGATCCAAAATATATATAAACAATTATTTAAGCCCCCTATATTTCGAAAGCAGGGAAGTATACCACTGACACGTAATTAGCTACTCTTATAATATCGGTAATATACAGAAATTGTGTTTTAATTTGCTTATAACAGGTACATAAGTAAGATGCCATATTTTCCCATCTTTCATTGTATCTTTGTAAAGTTAAGGCGATCCTGGTAATGAGAAACATTTTTTTTTCTTTATCTTTATCATTTATAAAGAAAAGCTTCAAAGAAGATCGCTGTCTCTCCTGGCTCGGGGCACAGACTGCTCCCGATCAAACAAAAACAAGTGTTTATCCTGTATAGGGGAAAATCATATCGGAATAAGCTCACGATACTGAATCATTCTGCGGTTACAGACTTCGCGTAAATACTGATAGTGACGGACGCACGCAACGCCTTGTGCTGGCCGCGCGACCCGCCGCCCGTGGTTTGTAGCTAGCTAGCACAGTCTACCTAAACTTAGGTGATGGCATCATGTCACTAGTTATATTGGAAGAAACTAAAATAACCACTTACTTAAGTACATTAATTTAGGTACGTATGATGGAAGCGATCATTTATTTATTTATACACAGAGCCCTGGCTGGGCTGCGATAAGATACCACAATTATGTTAAATATATTACTGATAACAAACTATCTGACAATACGCCGCTATCGAATATTTTGTAATTACCATTTTATCACTGTTCGTAATTCATTTGTTAATTCCTCAAGTAGCGCTACGAATGTAATATAAGTACTTACAGCGGCCATTGTTACTATTTATTTATAAAATCACGTGAATATAGTAATTTAAAAATAGAATCTACTTAAATGTATGTAAAAAGTGTGTTCCTTTGGTGTAATAATATGTTAGGTATTAGTTTCAGGGTAGTAAAGATTCCCGTAAACATAATATTACAATGAAATATCAAGTATGTAGTAAAGGATCTTCATTCATAGTGCGGTGCCCTCGTTTGGGGAGTACGTGGCCGGCGCACGCGCACGCGCCGCTTCTGTAGTCGGGTAAATCCCATCTTGGATCACTGAACGAATTATCCTGTCGCGTCAATCGCCCGCTAGTTAGGAATTGTGACATTAATTATAGAATTTTAGTTATTGTTAACTCGCTGATAGGGAAAATTCTTGGTAACAGTTGTTATTCAGTTTTTTCCTATAACATTTTGTTTTATATGAATTACCGTCTTTGTTAGTGGTTTTACAGTACTATCAATAGAGTGGGACAGCAACACCTTAGGTTATATTGTTGTTTCATGTACAGGAAGAAAGCAGAATCTAGTCAGATGTAACAATTTTGTCGGCGATAGTTAGAGTGACTATAAAGTTAAGCGGGAAGGATAGTAATACACGTACACTCTGTACGATTATTTGGTTCCTAAGCATGCAGGTAAAATAACAAATATTGATTCATTACGACCTATTCAACGACTAGTTACAAAAGAAATGTCCTTATTTAAAACCTTACAATTTAGTGTATCTAGCTGAATATTTCTTATCATATCATATGTTATTTTGATCCTTAAATTGATCTGTAACACGGTTATTCTAATTACAGACTGAACCTCTTACAAAGGATTGAGGAAAGAGCTCTACTTAGGTATTAAGAGGCTACGTGAAGTGAGAAAATAATTTCCGTGATTGTGCGTGGCATACCTAAACCTATCCCTAAGGCAAGTGATGTAACTGTCTGTATTTTTGTTGTTTGTTGGTGAAGACAAAATTAACCATGACATTATAATTTCGTTTGACTAATCATTGTCTCTCTCATTTGTCTCCGAGCACTAATTGATTTGTTGTTATGACAATAAACGTCTATTTATTGTGTATTTAGCACTCGATATTGTATATTTAACAACCTAACTGGAGTTGTACCACCACTTTTTTATTAACTTTAGGCTACACAGTTTTCCCTTTCTTTTTAACACCGTTTGTATAGTACCTATTTAGAGTGAGATTACCAGAGACTTCTCTCTCCCAAGAGAGCGACAACGCATTTGTAATTGTTTTGTTTTTCTAGCGATGTCGGTGTCTATTGGTGTCTATAGGCTGTTATTGCTTATTCAGGAGTTTTGTATATATGCATATTTAGAATAATACTAAAGATCCCCTGCGCTGGACTACCCACGTTGCAAGGATCCTCCCAACAAGTTCCGTTATAAGACCGAAACCATAGTTGAGAACCCAATAGACTGCTGCAACTGGTAGCAGTGGTAGTGCAGTAGTGTACTGACCGTAGGTGTCGTGGTGCGTGGGGTGGTGGTGGTGCCAGACGTTCTGGTGCGGCGCGAAGTGCGCGGCGTACTGCTGCAGGCGGCCGCCGCCCGCCACGTAGCCCAGCCCGTACCCGTCCGCGCAGTCGCCGCCGCCGCCGCTGTACCCGCCGCCCACGCCGCCGCTGCCTCCGAACATGCTGAGCGGCTGCGCTCAGCGCGCGCGCATCACACGAACACCTGCAACGCAACACTTCGTTACCAACATGCGACAACTAGTATAACAGTGCCAGGTAAACTTGAATATACAACGTCAATTGTTTAAGGTGTCTCTCGCCCTAAATGATTTCTAAGGAACATGTATCTTAGTATTGTCAACGCTTTATCCAGTAAAGTGTGATAGTTATTGTAACACTACACTATCATATTATATATGGATACATTTCACAATTATTTATCGAATTTGACTCTATCTCGTCTTATTTTCAGTAATGTAGCGCGCCGCGAAATTAATTAGGTAAGCCCTGTGATGAGGTGACTAGTAACTATAGATTCCAAAAACAATAAAGGTGCTACTATCCGCCGCAGTCAGGCTGCAATTATCACAGGAGGATAATGATTGGGAATTTTTGTTTTTAAATTCTCAATCCCTAATCAGTGACATTTATTAACTGAGTCGGCATTGGATCGATATACTTATTATGCTTGTCATTGTATTTGTAAGGCATAAATATCAAAACTGGGAATAGAAAGATAAGATTCCGTAGCATATACCCTCTGTACATGCAGTACATGTATCTAACCGCTGTCTTCCCGGTCCACGGGCGTGTTGTTAATTAAGGTTTGTATTTGGTAACAGAAACAATAAATAAAGTACATAAGTAGATATAGTTCCTGAGAAAATTATAAATCTTTCTAAATATTAATTCGTATTTATTGAAAATATAATTTAGTGTTTTTTTTTTTTGTTTAGTTTAATATAACGGCAGGAGAAGATGATTCTCGTCGCATAACTCCTTTGAGAGGATACTCCACAATTCTTAGATTATTTGTTGATTGCCGTTTTAAATATGCTGCGGCCCTCGTCATTGGATGGCTCGGTGTGAGGAGGGATCTAAAGTAATTGAGGTAAATGCTCAATTAACCGATATCTCGCTTATAGCACACAGTCACGCGCAGCGCGGTAAGATAGTGTGGGCACAACAACATTATGACGTCATCGTGCCGTATCGGGGAATACATTGACGTATGTAGGGAGCCACACTTACACACAATAAACAAATACATATACTTAATATTTGCGATATTACAGGTAGGTATATGTAGAAGGCTAATTTATTCATTGCATATTCCACCGTTACTCTGTATAAATGTATTTACAAACAATATAAATAGTATCTGACAACTCAAGTTAGTGAGCTCGATGTCACTTGACATGGGCACTGAAGACAAGTCATCGTTTTGATTTCCTCCGCAATAACTTACTATCTGGTAACAGGTAAATATGTCGTGATTATAACAACTTCGAATGTAAGTAGGTACATAAATAGTGTAATTAAACGCATAGGTGATTGTTTAAGGTTCAGAATCTATTAACGATACTAAACACTAGTGTAACGTGAACCAAAAATATAATTAATAGCGAATTTCAACGCGAAACAAAAAACGTGAACAACATAATTACTTTGTAAAATTAACAACCGAGTTGTGGTCGTTAATTTTAATAAATAAAGTAATTAAGGATAAGCATTGGAGTTGGTGGAGTACAAGTAGATATTGAGCGAAGGTTAGATAGGTATTAGGTAGGTAGTGGTGTAGGACATTGGCGGGCACGTACGGGGGGAGATACTGTATTGTGTTGGTATTTCGTGAGCGGATAGTGCGCCTGCGCCCGCTTGATACATCGCATCGATAGCCGCGCGCCGTAACTGCTGATACGACACGTAATTATAACACCGCCGCGTGTCACCATCAGCACGTTTGCCACTGCAATTTACACCTTGTTACAACGCACTACGAGTGTCCATGTTGTCACTACACCGCACCCGTTATGTTGCAGAGGGTATGGTCTTACACAGTGACTCCGTTACTTAACATCGCAGTGTATTCAAACACTATCGTTGCGACAAACTGTGTCAGTAATGACAATGCTTTGTAATTAATGATTGCATACAAATTAATGGAACACATGAAATGTGTAGGCACGTGAGTACCTATAGAGCGGGAAATATAGAGCTGCCGCTGATTAACTAACTATTGATAGTGTAAAGTGTGTAAGTATGTGCACACAATCATGCAAGCACTTACATAGCCAAATGACTAAAGGAAGCGAGGTACATAGCTTTGCTGTTGCTGAGTTTTACAAATTAAATCATCAAAAACATGTGTAAAATAAACAAAACAAATACAAACAAACACACGCACAGGTACATGTATAAGCTTTTATAAAACAATACAAAGGTGCATTTAAGACATATTTGTCAGTCGTCATGGCATGCACATTTTTAGACTTAGCAATAAAGTTAATATTTATACAAATTTAACTTTAGGTAGGTAACATTTTTGTATGTCAGAAAATTTGTAAAAATATCAGAATCATAGTAATGTTGATTCAAATTAAAATGTAAAAAATCCTAACTCAACCCTGGAGCCACAACAAGCACAAGTACTATCACGTCAAATCCGTTTAAGTATCGTAAACAAAATTAAAAAAAATAATCAGCACTAGTCAGACAAAATTAATGTAACTTAATTGTCATAATCAAAATAATATGTCAATAAAATCTAGAGTCAATGACATGTCTAATGAAATGTCAAATAAAAAAAAAAGTTTAGCATGATAGTCAGCTGTTTATGTAGTCCTGTGTAAAATCCATAGTATGTATAGTATAGTATAGTGTAGTATGTATAGTATAGTCCATAGTATCCATGCTGTAGTAGCTTTACAGGCGAGACAGTCCTTTAATATATGTATTTTGAAATATGATGGTGTTTGTTTCTTTTCAGAGTTTTCGAATTTTATTGTACCTGTATTTTTGGCTTTTAGTTTGGACCTTAGCAATATACAATAACGCTAGTTTTATGTTATCCTAACGTATATCAGCGTAAGATCAATATTACTCCCTAGTAGTAGGTAGTAGAAGAAATGTAGGAGGGAGTTATAATTAATTTGTCGTGTCAATATTATGTCCTACCTATCGTTTATTAGATGGATAAATACACTGGACATACTTCGTAAGTATCAGAATTCCCAGTAGGTACTTATATTGGCAAGTTATTGAAAATAAATGTTTCCATGGCTATTCTCATATTCGTGATATTTGTTTGGTATTAAACATAAATGTGTGTGGCTACACTTGGGACTGGCGTCATCCGCAGTAATCCGAGAATAGTGAGTGTACGGCACAAGTGTCAGGTGATACAGGCCGCTCGCGTAGGCCGCGGCGCTCGTCACGGACATAAAGATCACAAGCGGATACATATTATCGTACATTTTTAGCGTGTTCGCTAATGTAGTACGGAGGAGGGCGCGCCGCGCGGTGATGGGATTTGCATGTAAAGTGCGGCGCCCGCGCCGTCTGTCGCGCACTTTATTGTGACTCAACGCTGCACTACTGCACCGCGCCGCTAGGGGGCGCTGCACGACGCATTGCATTGTGCCTCCGTAATCAATACGCGGATGGCCGCATGGTAACGACACTTTCAATCATTTGGAGGATTTTTACTATTATTTACTTCCTATACCTATCAGAATGATACTACGATTCACTCCTTTACTACTTTAAACAGGTACCTACGTATCTATAAGTATATTTTACTTCAACTAATCCACATTGTTTACATGAAATTATTTATTTTTATCAATTCTTTATACTACGTGTTTATTTACGCGACACAAAGTAGGGTAAACTTGCCTAATTCGTACCACTTAAGGAGAACCTCGAAAATTTTGAAAATGAACAATTGTACACATTTATTTATATTAAGTAGTTATAATTAAACTAATGTTCTATTAGTATTCCGATAAAAAATAACATAAATCTTATAAACTTCTGAGAAATAAACAATTTTCAAAAACTTAAAAAAAGTACGATTTAAGACCATTGATCTTAAATCGTACCAGTATATTCTTAAATCGTACTTTGAGATCCTATCATTGTTTTACAGTCTTAAAAATCACAATCTTAATAATCTTCTACTCTTTTTTATCTTAATGTTCCTAGATTACCTAATTCTTATTGATACAGCGGATGGTCTTTTCCAAATCTTGAAAGTCATCGCAGTAATAAAATTTTTTTTTTTAATTCGTCTTGCACATAGCTCATGTACCTACCCATACTTCACAATTACTGCATAAAATAATGTTTTTTTTTTAGTTTTATTAAATAAATACACAAAAAATAATCAAGTAAGTAATTAATATTTACTGTGATATTAAACATTGTTTTCCTAAATCGTAAGTACGTACGTTTTAAGAAGTTGCTGCGAGTACGAATTAGGCACAAGTATCAAATGAATTTCAAATTAGCCGCAAAAAAACTGTCAACGAACAAGCCAGCTTTACCATGTGAAATATATTCACAAATATACGTATAAATATATAAGTAACAGTTAAACAACTTATGAACGGTATACTTGGAAGACAGTTCTTGTGAAGTATGCAAAAAAATTACTCAAAAAGTGAGAAAAAGTGAGAAAAAACTTACCCGTTCAATATTTTTGTCGGGAGCAACGTAACAGGTGTTTATTTGTCATATGGCAATCTGGCCGACTATTATTGACATTTTATGCCATCAGAGGCGTTGGTAACTATTACCCATGCCGAGATATAGACGCGGTACGATTTAGGCGCAGGTACGAATTAAGCAAGTTTACCTATACCTAAACCATATTTTAACTATGTATTACCTATATTAACTACTTTCATTACTGACTACTTTAGTGAATTTTCGAAATGCGATGAAATGCGACGAAATGCGTCCGAGGAGTCGCCGTTGCATATTAATGATGCAGGATTTTTGTACTTGAGTTACTCGATTACTTGTTTAGTGTTGTTACGAGGTGCGCGTGGGCCTTCTCAGTGTGGCCACTGCACTGCTTATGGCCGGCGTGTGTCGTCCCGGATGGATCATAATGCCCTGTTTATGAGGCGAGTGCCTCGTAACAAACGCTATCGGATGACGCCGCTCGGGACACTAGTGCCGCACTCTCGCACTCCACTTAACACTCACACAACGACATGCAGCAGCACACTACTTGTAGGCACGTCAACTGCAGCTTTTGAATATAAAATGAGACGTATGTCACAATACTTCTAATTATTATTATAATGATCTAGTGAGTGACGAATAGTTTGTAACAAGCTAAAATGTTGTAGGTCCCTCTATTCTTTTATGTAGAGGTTTTAAAGCGCGTGCGGTAGAATATTATACAAATAGACACTAAAAGGTGTCCTGTAGTCACTCTCCGTTGAAGTTATATTTATACTCGAGTTTGATGAATGTTCCTACTTTGTATCTACGGACAGAATGTGATAATTTCTCGACACCGCTCCAGTCATGTTATATTTCGTCGCTCGTGTTAATTATGACAAATAGCTGGTAATTAAGGCACGTGTGATACTGCGAGCGTCCCACGTGGCGGCTCGGGTTGCATGAGCCGCGCCGCGCCGCCGCAGATTTATGCGCGGTCGGCGCGGCGCGATCCACTCCTGCGCAATTTATAGCGGTCGCCGGCAATTAGGCGCAGCACACACACTCCGCCTGTGCCTCCTACCTGCTAAGTATTACTATTTGCGTCAGATTACGTACTGCTACGCGCATGCGCATGCCATTACACACTTCACAATATTCAGAGATTATTATTTACAGGTGAGTCAGTAGTCGTGCCTACTCGCTGTTTCAAGTTATTAATACGAAGGTATGTGCGAGGCCGCGCTGCCAGCACGAGCTCACCATGTACGAGAGGCCACAAAGTATGGGAGTGGCGGTTGTTAACAATGTTTATGGCTCAATCGCTCCATGAAGTTGTACCGGCGCGTGTACATTGCGCTCGCATAAAGTGTACTACACCCGCCCGTGTCCCACCGCTGCGGGCCCACGCCCACGGCCACTGCGCATACATTCCACACATACTTGCTGAGCTCCCAGCATGTGTGCCATAAACTAAATACTTTTCCTACACCGCTTATAGATAACACCAAGGTGCGATGTTGTCATGCTGAACATTGCGACGAAGACGTTACCTTAGAATTAATCATCATTATCATCAAAAGCCGGAAGACGTCCAATGCTAGATAAAAGCCCTTAGTTCTCCACCTCGAACCGCAACTCACCACTCACAACCATTGTCTCCCCGTAACTCTGTCAATTTCGTCAGTTTACTTAGCGGGAGGTCTGCCAACGCTTCGTCTAACGGTCTATGGTGGTATTCGAGCACTAATGCTGGCCGTCGGTTTTTCTAGCGAAGTGATGAGCTTTCAGTAAAGAGTCAAGCTCTGTCGGTAGGTAACTGTTTTTTTGTCAAATTGCCACATTTCGGATTTTGTTCGTTATTTGATAATTAGAACCAAGAGGAACATTAAGTAGATTAAGTAGTTGAGTAATTACTATGAGAACGATATACAATAATTAGGCGGCAGAAATCTGCTGCCAAGTATTTGGTGGGCGGGCGGCGGCGCCTAACAGCGCATTCCCGGCGTGCCGCGCATGCGCGGCGCGTGCCCCGCGCTACACGTGTGCGCCGGCGCCGGCACCGCGCCGCGCTCACATTACACCCCGAGCCACTCACGTATACTGCAGGCCGCAGTAACGCCGTACATACTCCCCACACAACTGTCGCACCAGCAACAAACAGATGTTCAAGCAATAAATAATTTTATGGTACCTGTCCGCAGCTTACATAAAATACTTAGGTACCTACTAAAACTTTTGCCCTTGCCATTTGTTTTTCTAAACTTATACTTATTTCAGACAAATTTATTTATCTAACGAAATCAAAAACCTATGTGCCTATGGTGGACCCTACTCATAACAAATGTGAAGCTTCAACTGATCCCTTCGCCTGTGTGTGAGTGGCGCGTGTTATCTGTGGTCGCCCGTGTATTCATTAGCTCGTCATTAGGCGCGAGCGCAGTGACAGCGTCCTCCGATGTACATCATAGATACCATACACCTCCGCTGGAGCCATTGCCCTTGAACTACGCTACGAATGTTGCTCACTAAACTAATTACATTGCACACCAAATACCGATTTTCCGCCTTATGGCGTGCACATAGAATCCACATTGGCACGGCCCCAGTGTCAGCCGCACGGCTGGTCGGCTCGCGGCTGATTTACGCGATACATTAGCGTCCGTCCGGACGGACGGCCGCGCGCTATATTCGCGTCGATTTATTGCCGACTCTGAAAAATTATGCATCGAATTTATATTGCTTTCCTGTGGTCCGGCGGGCGGCGGCCGGAGGGCGGCGCCGGCGCAGGCCGCGCGGGGCGTGCCCTTGTATCCGCTACGGCGGCGAGCCTGCGCCGGCCGGCTGCGCATGCGCCGTGCCGTCCAGCGCCAACACTCGCGGCGGTAATCAGTGACTGCGGCGCAATTATTTAGCTGATAGTTTATTGTGGCATTAACTACTTTGATTAAACTGTTATAGCTTAGATAGGGTTCGGCCAATTAATGCCATTCACTGGTTCCGTTTTACGACGTACGGCTGCGACAGAGCGAGCTACTCGATGCCTATTCACATTCTTATAAATCATGTCGTGCTACTTACATAGGTATCCGATACACAAGCAAGTTTCATTTTTCTTACGAGGCAATTAATTTTATCTTGTGTCTCTTTCTACTAGCCTTTTCCTACTTATTTATTTTGTTGTAGATGGGCGCCGAGTTTTCGGTTGAATATCAGAATGTAGTAATAAACACGCGGAGAAACTGTTATAAGCAGTGTTAAAAATCAAAGTCAATTATTTCAATTAAGTAGGCCCTTACAGACGCTTTTGAACGTCAAACAAAATGTTAAAGGTACTTATAAAATATCAGTCTGTCGGTCAGTCCTCTAAAGCTATTCGAGAAAGAGCAAGAAAGTCCATGGTTATTCTTTTTAAATCAGTTTCACATAAAGATTCATTGGTTGGTACATTATTTAGTGACATTGATTATGTGAGAACAACGTAACACTAATAGATATTTATTCAGAGAAATATAAAAAGAAAATAACTATCAAAGGTCAAAAGTCAAAAATCATTTATTTCAATAAGACCCTTACAGGCACTTTTTAACGTAAAACTAAATTTAAACATATAAAGTGTCAGTCTGTCGGTCAGTCCTTGCAGTGAAGCTATTTGCTCGTTCCAAAGTGTAGATTCCGATGGAGAAGAACGAGCAAGAAACTCTAATAGACAGTCCGGAGCTGACCAGTCCCAATTGACGGGGCCCGTTTAAGAACATGACACGTACACAAGCATCGCCCAACTCAACCGTAATTATAGGGAATCGAGTGATCCAGCACCCGTGCACCGCCGATGAAACCTCTGAGTGAGCATGACTACTCCCAGCTGATAAGGGCCGATATTCTGCTATGCTGTTAATTATCTGCTCTCCCCGAAGGGAGCAGCTACCTACTATTTTCTTGTTTGGTAGGTGGTTGAGTCTTTTAATTAACGATAAATACTGTTGTTATAGATGTAAGTGAGTCATACTTGACAAATATACAACCTCATCGCCGACCACTGCTTAACCCCAACTCCAGCCAGATACGCCGATTGCTTCTAGCCGATTGGGAAACGAAAATTTCACAAACAAGAGTAAGAAATAAAATAAAACTTATTTAGAACAATTTCATCACATCAACATGATTTCGATCGAGAATTTAAACTATTAGCTAAAACTTTAATAAAAAACCCTATATATTGCCTTTAAACCTAAAAATACCTAGTATACCAGGCATTATTTATTTTTGTTCGTCAATATCTGTGAAAATATATAAAGTCGTTATAATAATTTGTTAACTACAAGATTAGAATTTTTGTCTAGGTGTGAGATTATGCAATTAAATTACAAAATTTATAGATTACGTCGGTAATACTTAAATAGATTTTTATACCAATTACCTATTTATATATGTTATCTTATGATCTGTAATCATTAGATTCGCGCTGATAACATTGTAGGTATGACACCGGATAGCCAAACGTCACTAAATATTTGCTAAAAACATCCAAACAACATACTTTTGTTCACAGATAATACTTGTTTAGTAAACAACGTGTCATTTAATTCTTTAGAGCTATAATCATTGTGGGTAGATAGAATAATTTATAATATTTTGGCTGTTTGCTCTCACGATAGTTTGAGTGCTTGCTGCATGCGTTTGCTCGTTCTTTACTTTATCTTACAAATCGATTATAACTACTAATAAATACTTGTTTAGATACTTTTAAAGAGAATAGAAGTTATCGGGATAACAACTAGAAATAGCATTTATAAATGTGAACGTTAGGAACCTACTTATGTAAATATATATAGTACAGAGTTTTGTGATTCTGTGCTAGATATTCATAATGGATTTATGTTGGGTTTGTGCAGGTACAGTTAGTTTGTCACTGCATCACCCAAAGCTTTGACATGGGGAGACTGCCGTGGCATTGAGTCCACATTAAGTTTGTAAAATAGATAAGCATCATATAACCAATAGGCCTCCACAGGCAGAGTCATATAGGGTTGAAGTTCAGCCGGGGTTGTGGGGCAAGTGCAATAGGTACTGTGGCCTCGTCCTTAAAGCAGGACAAATTAAGAACAGTAGGGTTTAGTCAATAAGAGGCTGACACTTCCTCTCACAAAAAAATATGTAAAATAAATTTTATGCATGAAGCGAATTAAATAAATGAATGCACGGCATGCGTTGATTTGACCATTCTATAATTGAAGTCAACTGAAGTGCCCGATTATTTATCAATAATTATTTGTGTTTCATAACTTTCCGTCTAGGTACGTCATAGAATTTAAAATTTTGCACTTTGCACGGCTCCATATCGTCGGAAGAGCTACTTCCGACGATATGGATATATGTTATATAGTTTAAGTATGGCCTTCCTCGAAATCTTACTTACAAAAAGTATTTATTGTCCACTTCGAAGTTGAAGTTCCGTGATTAGTGCGTCCAAAAAAGCAAGCAAACTACTTGCCAACTTTAAATCGACAATATCTTACTTATATGAAGTTTTATCAATGATGTCCGAGTAGGTACCTAAGCATGACATTCGGATATGTCGGCTGCCATCATAGCACAAGACATTTGTGCAGCTCGTGAGCATGTGTGTGTGTTGCATGTAATTGTATCTGCTGTGCCTGGCACACACGCCCGAAATAGTCTTGCTAAGTGTAGTATGTATGTAAGCATATTAGGTACATGACCTTCACCATTCCATTCTTAACGTGCAATACCCATTAGATGAGATGTTAGCATGGATTACATATATTACAATAGGTATAATGTGGTTGGCGACCCGCCCAGCGCACCAGCAGCGCACCGCATCGCAATATAAAGCTTTCCAAGGTGTAGCCGATAATGAAATAATCTGTTGTCAATAAGCCAGCAGTGAGTGCGCCGTCGAGTATCGGGGCGCATCAGTTAGAGATCTGGTGGATGTCCGACCTAGGCCAACAGGCGCGCGACCGTTATAGAAGCACTCGACTCGTCTGGCGCCGCACTCGCACTCGATAATCAATCAATGTTCATTACGTGGCTATTACCGACCACTACCCTCCCCCCCACTCCTCTTACATCTGGTTTGTATACTGTGTGACTGAATGCATTCGTCTATTTCCGTTTGATGTTTCGCTAAGTAATGCGATATTGTGTCCATCTCCACGTATACAGCGCTGTCGCTGGGCTGACACTGGCCGGCGCGACCTTGAGCCGCAGATATTGTAATATCTTCATTAGCATCGATAACATCGCAGTAATGTTTGTTATCTAAATAAGATCAGATAAAAATTACTAAACTCGATAAACTGAAGGTTACGCGAAACTAAAATAATTTAATGGCCGTGAAACAGCCTTGTGTAACCGCTAATCACGTAATATGCATACATAAAGTAGTCAGTGGACAAACAAACAACTCGACACATTTGTAAACCTGCCAGCGTGGCCGAGGACCAGGATGTGACACGACGCACTGATGCTGGACTTCACTGAATCATTGTCGCCCGCAACACAAACATATCTACGATAACGTAGTGATCAATATAATATATCTATAACCAGAAGTTACAGGTTGATATTTCGAGACATTCAAATAATAACAAAACATATTTTTACATACCTACGTGTTTTTTCATATAAGTGCATTCGATTCCAAGTGCACAAAAAGTGCGGTCTGTCTGAAACGTTGGTTTCAGTCCGCGACGTAACGGTTCCCATGCGTTCCGAGGGCGGCGCCATGTGGCCTCAAGTGGGCGCAAGTGCTGCCACCTGCACGCACTCAGCGCCGCGGCTTTTACACACAATACAAAAAACGCAGCGACCCTCACATGTGCAGAATATTGCACTCACTGATCACTGCCATCACCGGCGGCGGGCGGCGGGTGCTATATACCCACTAGCATGTCACTCAGCGACGGGGGAGAAACATACATCGTGGCAAAGTACCGGAGTCTACGACAGGCAACTGGTGATGAGTTTTTGAGGACATTGAATACTCGTCCTGTACAAAAGAAGCTTTGCGATGTCATTGTTTCTCATTCATCTATCTATTGCAACCTGTGAGTTTGTTTTGGTGTTAATACTAAAATAAGTATGCCGACGTAAGATTGGATTGATTTTAGATGACTCTGATTGCCATACGCCTGAGTTCTCTTTTAATCATTTGGCTAAAAAAGGAATTACGAGTATATACGATATTTCTGGATATTTATATACGAGCATAATACATTCTGTATGGAGTTAGAATCGTACACGCGACATAAGGATAAGGTACCCTCTCATGTCGTGTCTATTGTCTCCAAAGAGAAATAATTCAGTTATAAAATGGGGATTACCGCGAGTAACTAAATACTACATATTTGCTTGCGCAGGCACTATAAGTAAATAATAGAAAATATTGAAAGGAATTTCACATTTTCTACCTAACGTGTTGGCATGTAAGCAGTTGAGTAACACCAATGCATTAAGTTTTGTCCTTAAGGCAGTCAATGATTAGATTGATACATGTACCGGCGGCGACCCATTAACTATCGACATGTTCCCGTCATTAGGGCTGCGCTGCTATTTGCTGGCATTAGATTGGGACACGAAATAATTACGAGGGCGTTATCTACTGCCGGCGGGACGCGGCTTATCTCCGCATCATCGGAGCCTCGCGATACACGCATTAATAGGTGTCGGCAAAAAGTGCGGCGCGTGCGCAGCGCTGCGTCATTAGCGACATCTGTCGGAGACACAGCTATTATAGGGAGGCACCTCTCGCGTTAGATAACGCGCTAAAATATTAAAAGCGAGCGATATTTAATAGTCTGTCCATGTCAGTTTTTTTCGCCACTGACAAAGTGATCAAACCTAAGTTGAATGCATTCATAAAGTAACATTGCGTTAATTATTTGAAATGCGTATCTATTAACTAACTAAACTAGTAACTCGACTGGTAAGGTAATAATACTGTAATAATAGTAATGTATGTCGGTAAACGAACAAAGGAATGATCTGATGGTAAGCAACCGGCCCACCGATCTACATTGGGTTGCAGGGTAAGCGCAATGAGGCACCGCGGCCACGGCCTAAAGCTACTCATTGCGCAGTGTGTGACGCTTTACTTACACACGAGTCACAAGACCCACCTACAGCACTATCTACCTAACATTCAGAGAATGATTTAGTAATTACCTAGGTAGGTATGTATATGATTTATACTCGACCATGCTTGATTGATAAGTAGGTAGTTTGATAAAAACGCACATTAATTCATTGTGTGTGTTCTCAATGCCGCGCTGGGAGGGACGGAGGCAGGGAGGGATGATTTAAAACATTTCAGTCTATCTAGGTATCGTTAACGTTACTTTTGAAAGTTAAAGAAAACATCTAGTTTACAAATAACCGACATTGTTCCTATGTATAGTATATATACCTGATTATTCCAAGTTAGAAGGATGTTTATTTTAAAAAGAAACAATTAATTGGGTTGTATAAAAACATTCCCGCACTAATGACGGTGTAGTGGCGCTCGACATTTAAGCTCCCAATTACAAAACTAAAATAAAAATGTAAACTTCGTCGACATATCAAACGAGCAAAAGGAAAACACGTTAGTGGGGAGGAGACCGCGGCGCGCCGCCCCCGGGAGCGCAGCCTGCGCCCCGCCCAGCGACACGCCCCACCCCGGGCACAGCCTGCCCCGTGCTCACGTGCACAGCACGACCTAGCTCAGTAATTACGTGCGGCAGTGTCCGCACTGGACGACCATAAACACCGCAACCCTTCATTAAAATAACTAACGAGGGACGCGAGCGCGCAGCGTAGCAGTGCGTGGCGCCTGGGTCACAACTTCACAAGTGCGCACGCAGTACGGCACTAGATCAGAGTATGTCGAGTGTGTCTAGTGATTACAGGGAGTACGCGATGTAACCGGTTCGTGACAGTCGCGCCGTGGTCAGTGACTGCGCGCTGCGGCCAATGGAGAGCCCCGCGTTACGCAACGTAGTGCAGCACGGCTGTGATTGGCCGGCGCAGGCGCAAGCGAGCGACCTGCTCTAGCAAAGACACCATGGCCGAGCTCTGGTTGTGTCTGTTGCCCCCTCGGCTCACTTGTAAATATGACCAGCTTATTGCGATTCAAGAGGGATATACTCGTAATCGTAGCTCTAAACAGTTTATTTGACGTATTAAATTCAGACAGGGCAATAAATAGATAAGCCGCTGCCCGCTACAGCGCGCAGCGTATAACAAAGACATCGCTCAGTATGCGCGCCTCATTATGCGCATATTAACAAGCAGCCAGCAGCGACACTCCTCCACATCACATTACAATGCGCAACATGGCGCGTGTCTCCGCCCGCCGCTCGCCGCGCGCCGCGCGCCCTCTCTGCTACAATACCGATTGTAATGATGCGCTATAGTCTAGTTACTTAACTGTTTTACTCACCATCGATCGGTCAAAACGATACTTATCTATGTGTATGAATTATAGAAGCTATAGATGGTAGGTAAATAATTACTTATATCTACACTACCTACCTACCTATATCTAACAACTGGTGAGTCGGGCGACTAAATGATTGATAGACCACGCAACGTACATTCAAACCCATTGTTTTAATAGATAATACCTACTGGCCAAACAGTAACAAACACGTCAAAGGTACAACAGGCAAATTATTTTCATTTAAACTAGTTGACTCCCCATGGTGCCAATGTTCAACAGCGGAACTGCAATACGAGCAGTCCGCCCATCATAATATGCTCTGGGAGTGTTGTCTCTGGCAATACGAACGTTACATTATGGTAGATCATTTAAATGTCTCACCAAGTGACCTGATCAGACATTTAAATGACTAAACAGACGTTGTAATTTGAAAAAAAATTTTGCCATACCTATTACTGGAAACAATTAGGTATAGGTAGCAGCTTCTTCCGTGGTGTTTGATTACTGGCCTTTTCCCAGGTAGTATAGTCTCTTCTGTGCCTTTAAGACTTATGTCATTTTGTCTCCTGCATGTGTAAACTAGTTATTTCCTTTTTTTTTCTTCTCCTTAAATAATATCTTTTGATTTATTTCGTTGCTGGACTTTAATGTTCCGGTGTTTTTATGGTTGTATCTAGTGTAGGTCCTGGCGCACAGAAGTTGCAGCAGTTTTAGGAGGTTGCGACGAGCTTGTCCCATCAAAAAAAAAAAAAAAATGTCAAATGTTACACAACTTGTCAGGAAAATATTTAAGTAATAAAATTCTAAACTAAAATTGCGTGACCTTTCTTTCCTCGAGTGTTGTTAGTTTATCGAATGTCCTAGTTGTGTGACTTTGTAAGTTGATTGTTTAACTATAAATTAGTTTCAAGGCTCACTCAGTGAACTGTATAACTAAGTAATTAGTAGATAGGTACATATAACTACTTGTTTGTACTACAGCAGGGAGCATGAGGCGTGTACGAATCGAGTCTAACTTATTTAACTCGTATGTTCGGATATCACCAACAAATAATTGTTCATTTCTCATTTTTAAACGACTTCAAAAAGTGAACTTTCTCAATTCGAGGGATATTATACTATGTAGGAATGGATGTAAGTGTGCATCAAATGTTATTAAATTAATAACGGAAACTCAAAAGAAACAGCATTTAAAAATTACCAGGTCATATTTTCTACAAGATAATTAGCTAAGTAACTAACTACTAATTCTGAAATCCAATCAAAATATACCTAACCTACGTTAGCTAAGAACCTAGGTATGTGCTGGAATTATGCACTTTCAACATAATCATAATAACTTTGTCTACAGCAATATTTCAGGTAATTAGTCGTAGAAAAGATTTGATTGTTTGTATTAATTAAGCTCCGAAACAAATTTTCCACTGTCGGGGAACAGCACTGTCCAAGGTGAACGCAGGCTATAGTGACATGGACGAAACCGAAGGTCACAACTAAGTTATAAGTATTGCAACAAAAATGTCCTGGTGACTCGAAAATACTCTGTACTCGAAGAATAATGATTGGATGATTAATTGTAGAAGTTACTCGCTTCTTCAGAAGGTGACTTGCTCGTCACTTTCTTCTGTGGATTTTATGCAGATAATTAAGTGATAAGTATGAAGCACTTAATATTTATTTAAGCAATAATATATTGTTGCATATCTCTAGGGTACTTAATTGTTGTAAAGTAGTGTGTAAATGCATATGAATGTAATTATTTTTCTTTAGGGTAAACCTGGCAAATGTGCCCCACAATTCGAAAAATTGAAATAAAAAACGGTGTTATTTAAAACTTGTTTATTAAAGTAACTAATCTTAATCTCTGACTCAATAGGTATAACAAAAACAAAGAAAAAACGTGTCAAAAGTGTTTAAAATAGCTGAGATCAACGATTTCTTAAAGTCTATGGTAGGGCACATTACACGGATATATCAGTCATATGTGCCCCAATAAATTTTATAAGAAAATCCGAAGGATGTCCTTATTCCGAAAGTCTACATATATTTTGCTTGCTATCCCAGCCTTCCAGGATGGGTCTATGATCTCATTAAATTCTTGATGTTATTTCATATATGCGGCTAGCTTCATTAACTCCCATTTTCTTGGTTATGACATCTTTTATAACTTTTCTCATATTTTCTCTTGTCTATCTTTTTGGGTTCGTAGCTTTTTCCTACCCCGTTCATAAAAATAAAAAAATCTGTCAAAAAAGCTTTAAAATAAAAATATAAAACTAATACAGATGTGGGGCACATTATCCAAAAGGAATCGGGGCGCATTAGCCAAAATTCAGTATATTGTGCCTCACTTGATTTAAAAAAAATGTTTAAGAAACTAAAAAAGCAATTGTAGTTACACAATAGTTTAATGAGGTTACCTTTATAATAAAACTTTAAAAACGGAAAAAACATGAAGCAAACGTTTTAACTCAAAGTTGCAACAGACACATAACATTTTCAGACTACGATACATACCTTGTGACCACTTTTTCTTCGTAAAAACAAATAAGTAACAGCACTGAATTTTTTACATCAACGACATGCTTCTGCCACTAACCTACACGGACAAAATTACCGCCAAATTCAAAATGCATCTGTCAATTCTGCGAGTGGGGCACATTATCGACTGGGGCACGTATGCCTGATTTACCCTATTTAATTTGGAAATTAAATTTTTTTTTATAAAGAATGGCTTCAAGAAGGAAAAACCTTTTCATCCAAAACGGCATTAAAAACTTATTGAAAAACGATTTATTGGTCATCATTCACTATCGTCGTCTTTCTTATAATTATTTAGATAAGTGTTTTATAAAGAAATCGTTTGTTTGCATTATATTTTATACCTATATCATTTGTGATTAACTACTATACATCGGTGGTTTGCCGAGCTTATTTTCTTGTTGTTATGTGTTTTCGTGTGTGTGACATTATTCTGATTATCGTAGGTATAAAATCTGACTTGAGAATTTAAAATCTGAATTAGAAAAAAAAAAACAAAACTGTCCGCTTTTTACTTACAAGTTTTGTGTTTTTGCTAAAAGTAAGATACTTCATATAACTTTTTTTAATATAGGTATCTGCAATCTATTTCGAATGACACCATAACCATAATTTTACGACGCTGCGGTTGCAGCAAAAAGTTGTACAAAAAAGCACTTGTAGACTATACACACGTAGGTGTACCTATTACACATTCTGAACCATGTGTCGGGATTTTGTGCGTAGACCGTGTATCATGTATTCAGACACATTTTTAGAAAGTAGTGACGGGATCCATCGACCAGACAACGTAACGCGGGGAAGCTACACACTGTGTGCCGTGTGTGTTCAGTTGTTCAGTTAAATGTTAACCAGTGTTATTCGGGGCCCTTAATGGTGGCTGTAAACCGAGAGGCCATAAACGTGTTGTCCCGCGCTCCACGAGCGGAGCTGAGCGGGTGCGGAGCGAGGCCCGGCCGCGGTCAGCTATCGCGGCGCCGGAACTGCACTTAACTCGTTATTCATAGAAGTTCATTAGACGTTTCACATCCACGTATTAGTGGCGAGACGCGGCTGATAACTCGGGTTTTATTATTCGTTGATGTGATAAGAGGATTCGGATGGGAGGCGTTGGGGACAATTTCCCATGCGCGTGCGTCGAGTGGCGCCTGTCCCGCGCCCCGCGCCCGAGCCCTGCGCCCCCGCGCCGCGCCCTCAGCCCGGACCCTGTCTCTGGCGCCGCAGCTCTTAAGCCGCGACAAGTTTCTTTTTTTTGTGGCTCTCGATGTAGAGGTAATTAATTAGGCCGCGGCCGCTCTGTGAGAAAGCAACGCGGACACTTGGCGACAGATTTGCGAGCGAGACTCGCGACCTGCTCGCGTGAGTGCCGAGCTCTAACTACCCGCACTACTTAAACATTATGCTCAAGTGAATAATAAATTAGGAGAGTTTAGTGATACTTTAATAATTTGGTTCTTGTAGCTATTTGAGATTTATTTCAGAGAGTTGGTCATTCGTTAGGTTTCGTTATTGCCATTTAGACTAAGATAAGCATGTCCGGAATGCTATTGTGACAAGCATGCCGAGTATTGGCGTGAGTGTAACACCGGAGTGGCGCCCCGCGGCGGCAGTATGCGCGCCTGTATTGCGCAACGATCCCTTACTAATGAGTCACCCAAATAGTCGAGATGTGCCGATAAGGCTGGCAGTGGCCGCTCGTTACTGCGGGCGCAGCGAGCGCGTGGAGCCCCCGAGCGCCCGGTCGGTGCTGGTGGCGCGGCCGAGCGAGACGGACGCCCTTTGTTGGCTATTAATAACAGAGAAACAAGACGATCTGAGTGGATTAACACATTAACAGTCCCGCGTCGCACGAATAAAAGCATTCCCGCCGTGTGTCGCCAGGACTACACTGAGAGAGCGGCGCAGGCGCAGCAATTAGTAGTCAACGTAGCGCCATCCATAGTTTATACTTAAAAAATGGCATGCTTACATTTACGTTAAAAGGTCACGATTCTTTAATGTTCTAACTAACCGGTAGGTAAAGAGTTCAATTTGTATTTGCTAATACTTATTTACATTGACCTCTAAGTTGTTTATATGTTTCAGTGAATATTGGTAAAAGCTAAAATATTGCAGAATTTAGTTTGTAAAAATCTACACTATAGGAAATTAATTGATAAAGTATCGAATAATTATTTTTTAGCTCAAACTACATGATATGTTTAAACTGTTGGTATTAAAGAAAACGCACATTATGTAGGAGGCACTTGATCCAGCGAGCAATGACCTACAACGCGGACCTAAGCCCCGCGACACACTGCACTGTCACACCGACACACACAACCTGACCGAGTCGGCGGCGATGACATGCGAGCTCAAAGTAATAATGTAAACTGTTATCATTTGTGTATGTGTGGAAATTAATAGTAAAAAGCAAAAGAACGGATATAGGCACACTTAAGCATAATTTTATTAAGGAGTAGTACTAGTCTACTCCTACATTATTTTCGTTTTGATGCCATTCAATCACGCTTGAGGAAAAATTGATACTATGTAATTTGTCAGCAATGTAACAGCTACAAATTTGTTTTGAGGTAAACTCAACACTTTCCGCTAAACATTTACATACAATGGGTTGGTATACAAGTGCCGTCGATTGATTCACCCGTTATCACAAACCGCTACTCACTGAGCATTTCATAGAATTTGATTTATTTGATGAGGAAAACTGGTTCATCCATGTTCTTATTTATAGTATTTGTTATCCTTGTAACGCTCGGTCACTATTGTTTTAATTAGGCAATTACCTGCGGACTTTTTAAAGTGATACTGTATTTAGATATGACGATTAACGGTATATTTTCTAGGATATATTCGCAGTGGTTTGATAATAACTGCACGTGCGCAGCGTCTATTCAATGGGCTGGTTCATACGATGGTGATCTTACAGGACGACTGGTAGGTAATCGTCAAACAATATACACAATAATTGTATATCGCTCATCAGGTTTATGCAGACAGCACATTTGTAGAAGTAAAAGTAATATCAGCACAAGATATCCGAGGAATTTTATAATTGTCCTGTGAGAAGTACTGGTTTGTATCATTAAAGGTGGAACCTCTGTTGGAGGCCGTGAGGCCGCAACTACGTACCTAAACATTACAAAGTACGCGATACAAACCCGGCAGAGTTCCGAGTGTTTCAAGGTCTAACTGTGAGTTACTTAGTCGCGGCTGTGGTCATTTGATTAAGTTTGGATATTTATCGGCGAGTTTAATTGCGGCGGCGGCGGGCGGCGGCGGGTGACCGGCGGGGAGGGGAGCGGGGGCGGGTGCGGTACACGGAAAGGCTTTTGAGCCGGCGCTTCAGAGACACCGCGCGCCGGCGAGACACACCGCGCCCCGGACACACAGCCTCGTACTACACACTGCATACACTGCATACACTGCACTCCCTGCTGCAGCTGAGCCAAGCACCCACTGAATATTACATGCATTTGTTTACATTTAGAAATTCGTCGGCTCATACGTGACATTTACCAACAGTAACTAGTTCAATGATTTTATGAATGAAACTGTATTCTGAATATTAGATGGCGTAATAAAAAGATTCATGCTGTAAGTAAAGCAATAACGCGGTTTACAGGTAGCAGTGCATATTGCTGTCACCCGAGGAATGTGTGCGTGTGTCAGGTGTGTGACATAGCGCCGGCGCCGCGGCCGCGCCCGCCTGTGACACACGGGATTGATATTGCTCTTAAATTAGGAGCCGGGACGGTGCGCCGATGGGACACGCAGATAACGCTAATGTACTTGTACTACAAATGTGTCGGCTCTCACACCCGCCCGACCTCAGCGCTGTCTCTGCGACTAGCACTGTCACAGCGCAGTGTCTGCACCATTGTCCACTGCGTAAATATAACAGCGTCTGGCAATATTGTAACACAACATTAAATACCAAAACTTTATTTTGAGAGTTATGTATATGAGAATTTTCTTGTGATATGGTCACGGCCATTGATCCACAATCTAATTGAACAAAATATCAACCCTCAACATCTGTATGACAACAAGTGTTGCACCAACCGCGTTATAAATATATGAAGAGTTTTGTTTGAATCGCGGCGGCGATGTAGTCAGCACGGGCTGACTGTAGTCGCGGTCGCGGTGACGTCACGCCACACTCCGCCAGATATTCGCTTAGTTTGGAACACAACGCTCCTTATTTGTCTCAATAGGGAATATGCATAAAATTTGAAATGGCCTAAAATATTTTTTTCTCGAATACTTATTATCGTAATATTATAATGAAAAGGATTTTTTTTTATTTACTTATTATTTAAACCCCTAAAAAAATATTCAAAAAGTGCAAAATAAGGGAGCGAAATTCAAACTTCCAAAACGCGCCACCATTGGTCGAACGAAATGTGACGTCATCTGACACGACATTGTATTCATCAGCGTCGAAACTCATACTGTTTTACAAGTTTTTGTGAAAAAAATAAATAATTTAAACCTGTATTCTTGTGCTGATTGTAGTGAAGTTTAGTTAAGATTTGTAGTGAATCTAGGACGATGACTGAAGCTGGTTTTGTCAAAGCACAATCGGACAATCTACCGAAAATAGATGCTTTCATGATGACAGCATATTTTGCATCAAATCCCGATTTTACGAGCGCAGAGATCAGAGGAGTGAAAGCTGCAAGGTAATTATTATGTTTCATAATACATTTTAGACCATAATATAGATTTTTATTCATAAATGCACACAGCAGTTTACATATATTAGGTTCACCAAAACATAACCTATACATATCCAGTTGTCATTAAAATTACTCTGAAACTCTTATTTTACGTCTATAAATAAATTTTTTATTATTGAAGTTCACCCTAGTATAATAACTTTGACTTTGTGTGTATCTGAGATAAATATATAATGATTTAATGTTTATAAATTGATACCCTGCTTTACGTGGACTGTTTTGTTTGAGTGTTTATAAGTACTTGTCTATTTCAGGTCTACACGAGAATCTTATGGTGATTCAGCAGTTGGATATGTCCAAGTAAAACGAGATGGCGACATATGTGTTGTTAAGGCTCGGATTACACCTGAACATAATGTGCGACAAAAATGTTATGCTGTTATTTGCACTTGCAATGAAACAGAAGAAACTATTCTCTCTGTTCAATGTGAAGATTGTGCTGCACATTTAGGTAATTATTTTTTACTTGTTTAGGTTCAGTGACCTGCACTTAGGAACTTGATTTTTTCTATAACTTTTTTGTTTTCTCATTTCTTTTGTTTTAGGTGGATGTAAGCATGCTATAGCTTTTTTAGCATGGCTACATCGGCGTAGTGAAGATCCATCAACAACAAGCATTGAGTGTTATTGGAAAAAATCTAAATTATCATCAATTGGTACTAGTAAGAAGTTTATAAAAGCCAAAGAAATGTATAAAACACCTAAACATGAGCTTGTGCCAACATCTTTGAATACTGAAAGCTTTCTCACAGTAGTAAAAAATAATTGCACTTTGGTTGGTGATACAAAGAATCATTTGATGAAGTTTTATAGAGCGCCAAGCACTGTGGAAAAATTGTCAATACACCATCTTCTGTCTACAAGCAAAGCTACAAACCCTCTTGATTTTATAGAATATTGCAAACTTATAATGACTGCAGATGCATGCAAAGGAGCTGCAATAGCTACTTTGGAACAAAATGACTGCCCATTGTGGCATGAGTTGAGGTATGGAAGGATCACAGCTTCAAAAGCTTATGATGCTGCACATTGCAATACTCTTGATGGAACGTTAACGGAGACCATTTTGGGAGCAAGTAAATTGAGGGACACAGAGGCTATGGAAAGGGGTAGATTGTTGGAAAGTCAGGTTTTAAAGGAAGTAGAAAAAATTTGTAAAATAAAAATAAGTAAATGTGGATTAAAGTTAAATAGTACACATCCTATTATGGGTGCTTCTCCAGATGGTGAAAATAGTGTGTATAGTATAGAAATAAAATGCCCAACATCAGAAAAAGCAATGGGACGATATGTCAGTTCAGGAAATAAAGTGACTGCCAAATATATGGCACAAGTGCAACTGCAGATGCATTTTTCTAATAAAGCAAAGGCACTGTTTTGTGTTGCTGATAAAGATTTTGAAAAAACAAAAAAATATCAATCTTAGAAGTCAACTACGACCAGCAACTGTGTGAAAATTTGTTAGAAAAATGCGACATTTTTTGGAATAAAGCCATCTTTCCTAAACTAAATATGTATGACTAGATAGATTTTTTTTGTTTATTGTAGGGGTACTGCATTTGATTTCTGTCTAATTCTGTTAATCTGTTTTTTTATGCTATGAAAATAAAACAAATGTAAATATATTATATTCATTTTTTTATTAAAACATCCTGCATATTTACCAATCCACAAGCTACTATTATTACATCATCTATGATAGGAATTAAATTATAGTCTACACAAGCATGAGGCAGTAACATATGAAACTCTCTTAACCTATTTATTACCCGTTCAACATGTATTCTTAATGCTGCTATACGTTTTGATAGTTTCACTTCATTTTTAGTACTGGGGGTAGACTTTGATACAGAAGGTGGTCGTATAAGGGTACATCTTTTAGCTTCTAGCAAACATGATAAGTCTTTAAAACCTCTGTCAGCCATCACTGCTTTATTAGGAGGTAAAGCCTGTAAGTAACTACTATCTTGTACTATCATAACATCAGTAGCCCTACCACCATATCCATCAGAGATAAAATTGATCAAGCCATCAGGTGTACATGAAATTAAATACTTTAAGGTGTTACATTTTTTATACTGTGACCAAGTAAGTGATTGATGAACGGCATTTGATGGTTTTTCAATCTGAATTTCTAGGCAATCAATAATGGAAACAACATTCCCATACCTACGCCTAAAAGATATGGGTAAATTATTGTAAATATCTGATGATGCTGGCCACACAATCAAGTCCTTAAGTTTTGCTGCTATAAGAGAAATACTTCTAGAAAATATTCTACAAATAGTACTTTGTGAACATCCAAATTGTAGTGCCAAGATGCTAAAGGACTCATTTAATTTAATTTTCTTGAGGGTTATTAATATGTGTTTACTAGGAAGCGGAATATTATCACTTAAAAGTTTTATTAAATGATATGATTGTTTAGGTAATCCTAACAACATTTTTGGCTCTTTTTCAATAGCAGTTAGCATGATACTACACATTTCATATTTAAACTGTTTCTCCTTCTCTGAATCACTTAGAACTTCGCTCGACTCAGATTGATAACTTGGTTCATAATCAGTAGAGCTCGTAGAAAAATAAGATGATATAGAAATAGTATCCGCTGTGTTTTCAGTAAACAATTTTCTTTTTAAAACAGATAGTTTTACTGGTGAAGTTCCTATATTTTGTGTTACAAAAGGAAATGGTGACAGTGCTACATTTTGTTTTTTAGTAGGTATATTTACATTGACACCTTTACTTCTATAGTTCGGTTTAATATTAACTTGCACAGCTTTGTCACAATGCAATGTCTTCTCAATATGAGAAGTGGAAAGCTCTACCTGAAGATCATCACATCCAATACGGGAAGTACTGCATCCTGGTTGATCACAGACATTTGTGTGGGAAGTACTTGGACTCACTTCGTGATCACTTCTTTGTGAAGGTTCGCTAACACTACTTTTGATAGCTATCTCTGATGAAAGGGCTTCATTGACCAGTGTCAATCTTTGCATTTTAACTACAGCCATTCTCTCCTTTGGTAATGGCATCCTCCGTTTTTGACACAAAAATATATGTGGCAAAACTCCTTTCTTCAACCGTAGAGTACATTTTTCTCCTTGCTCTTTCATTAAATTGTATTCAATATAATTTTCTGTATCTTCCTTAACCTGGAATAAAACAATAACCATTAAAATTTCGTAAAAGCACAACAAGAATAGTTTTTATAGAAAGTTAGTTTTTATAACTGAGTACTGAACTTTTCTTATAGGTTAGGTTAATTTTAAACTTCTAATGTTCAATAACTAATGCAAAACTTACTTTTTACTAATTCACAATAAGCTATATATTATATAGTATATAAATAAAGTACACTTACGTTAAAATGATCTTCACAACAATATAAACACGATTTAGGAGATATATTATCCCTTCTCATCACCTTACACCACTGTTTTCGTATTTTCGCATCACTTGAAATACGAAAAAACACTTTGTCGGGTGTTTTTCGAGTAGTATTTGTGCACTTCGGTACTATACAATACTTATAAGATAATTTTTTGACTTCTTCCATGGTTTTAAAGTTATTAAAACTGTAAATATTACGAAGTAACTGAAAAGTCCATAGTAAAAACTAAGGTAAACACCCACTGGACGTGTCATGTGACGTCACGCAAAGCGCGCGCAAAATGGCGGCGTTTGAACTGCTTAAATTTTTTAAAAGTTTTAAATTTCATTTTTAAAAATATCTAGAGTATTTTGAAACCCATTAATATTTTTTTCTACGTTATAAAATAGTAAACTATTAATTTAAGACAAAAAAGAAAAACATGAATATTCCCTATTCGTTGCTAGTATAACATACCTAAAATATTAATTGCCGATAACTATGTATGTATGTTTATAAACGTTATCCTCTCAACAGATGTTATTTTACACACACGTCTCTTTGTATAGGATTGAATGTTTATTCGTGGTATGAGTTTTGCCCTGTGAAATGAACTTTAAAATATTGTATAGTGTTGTGTTGCGTTTGCTGGAATATGATTGCTCTAAAGAGGAGCATTCAATTATAAATGTTTTAATATTGTATTTGTGTGTATTTACACAAAATTATTATATTGTGTGTGTTTTCATAAAAATATTTTAATACAATGATAATTATGAACCACTAATCAATAACATGGAACAATTTGCGTCGCATCAAAGCTCTTTATAAATTAGAATCTATTCAGTTAGTTTGTACTACGCCTCGTAGTCAAAGTGTCGTAGCGTTCTCGTAGCCACGTAGCCGCTCTCTAAGTCTGTGAGGATTTGTTAGGTACGGCATTAGCCAAAAAATATTATGTCAAACAAGTGGTAAAATGATCATATTGTTCAAAATTTAGTTGAGTATGTATAAGTGACTCTGTATGACCCTTGGTGTCATTGTCCCGCAGCTCGTAATCACTACAAAAAGCCAGATATTTTTTTGGCTTTCATGTATCATACTCATAGGATCTTTGTATATTATCTGAACTATATTTTATATTTCTGGAAGAAATTCCGATAATAGTACTTAAATAATAACAACTGATTAGCTATTTTGCGTTGCACAACATGTGTACATTCTATTTCCCTTTACAGAACTTTCGAAATATTTTTATTTTGATGTAAAGCTCTAGAAGTGATTTGAATGAAATAACTGTAGAAAATGACTTTAATTCATTACTGCAGTCACTTTGTCATATGTTTAGAATTTCAGGGCTTGTCCTCGTGAGTCCTCGTTGAAATTTTTTGTTGTTGTTGGCAAAATGGTCAGTTGTATCACAAAGAACTGTGTTCTGCCACACTCTGGCGGGTTTATTGGTGGCAAGTAATTAAATCTTCTGCAGCCTCCCCATTATGAAATTACAAATTTACAAATAACACCTTTAACTGTATATTAGAATAAAATTGCCTTACAGCCGATGCTTCTTAAAAGCTTTAATAATGTTAGAGATCAGATTAACATTAGTTTCGTATTCAAACAAGAATGTTCCAGTGAACGAAACGCGAAAACATGTCGTAGGTACCATTAAAGTATTACAAACAAGCAAATATATTTAGCGATTGAATTAGAAATTAGGCCTACAACTGTTAATGTGAGAAACGAGTGCTATTGAAGGCCGCGCCGGCCTACTCGTATGTCGGCCGTAACCGCGTACACATTAATATCGTCGTCATTATCACGGAGATTAGATTAGATGCGGCTGATAAGATCGCCATCTCTCGCGGAATTAATAACTCCGACCGAGCCACAAGACAAATTGTCTCACGTGTGTATGTGTGCACACACACATGCGCACATATTACTAAACTGTCATGTGTGTGATGCACGTGTTCTCTAGCTCTCTGTGGTGACGACATACAACCGCTTGCTCTACTAAATGTCAGCCAGTTGTTTTAAATGCGAAAACCGTGTGATAGCTGCGATCTCACGGTTACAATGTTAGATCAATGAAACCGATGCTTTATGCGGGAACCATTCGTATGGGGTGTGTGTGAGGGTGCAGGCTGCTTGCTTTTTCATGGATTTATTTGTCGATGACCGATGTTACGATAGTTGTCTATTCAAAATAAGATGGTTCTAGTTATTTCTACAAACTGTGGTAAAATTGAGGGAGTGTCTGCGTGATGAAGTGGTTCTTAAAAAGTTTTAGATCGTAATCAAAATGTCAGCAGCCTGTCTGTAGCGGCCGGCGGCGGCGAGCCTAATCAAACCAGACAATATTATAAATGATTTATGTCGCGAACAGGTGACAGGAGCCCTCGTACTCTCCTCACTTTTCAGTCATAAAATTCAGAACCTGAATTAAGCCAACTTTAAATTAATTTCGGTCGAAATATTCGCGTATTTCATTACACACTCACCTGTTGTTTTTATCAATAAATAAAAATTCACGAACACAATATTAAAATGATAGAATTAGCATTCATCGCCTGAATATTAACTAGCTAACTAGTTTTAGAATATTTATTTTGGAAACTGCATCTTAAGCGACATTCATATTTTAAATAAAATATTTTCCCACGAGAACGTCGGACACGTCGAGTGTATTTTTAGTGGAAACCTTTATTTTATGATTGTATTATAGAATAGAAACATAAGCACAGTGGAATATGTTATTGTTACTCACTCGTAGTACTGCAGCTTACTAGCTTAGCATATATTATATCAACTAATTTGAAAAACAATTTTTAGTTCCGAGTAGGTATGTTATGCTCAGTAGATTAGGTATGCATGGATAAAGAAATCCCGATGGGAAATAGTCGTCACGTTTATATGTTTGTTGCAGTTTGTATGCAGTAGCTAAAGTTCAGTTGATATATTTTATTTGTGAGGGAGTCCGAAGTTGGTCTGCCCGAAGGACTTAGTACCCCTCATTGGCACTGGCATGGTTTTAGCGAGTTATTAGTTTGAAAACCTCCTTTCTCCTCTTCAAGTCTTTCTTAGTAAAACAAGGTGTCTATGGAAAGCTTCCTCCCGAAAATATGAAATAACGATTGTATGTAAAGGGGTGTACAAGTGTTAATGCTATCGACGTTAGTCCAAGTTATATTACAAAACAGTTGCATGCATTCAACCAGCCTCACATACACGTTACTTATTGCACAACTGTGTTTTTATTAATAAATGCTTTATCTAGTGTATAGTGTAGTGTATCTAGTGTATTATACATAGCTATTAATTTATTTGGATAGATAAAAGTCAAAAAGTTTAAATAATTATTTTATATTTAAATCAGTTTCACGTATGGGTTTATTATATGGTATGTACAACAGTAAGTTTTGTTCCAGATCCTTACATGTTAAAAATTAAAAAATAAGAAGTCGCGTGTGTTTGTCTGAATAAACGCGGTAATCTCCAAAACTACTTAACGGGTTTTTGTACGGTTTACATAAATAATGCGATGACAGGGGCAGATATTGGTGAACAGTTTTATGACTATAACCTCACGGCGAAACCGTTGTCGGACAGCTGGTCACATTTCTTCTATTTGTAGTAAGTAAGAAGAGTGATTTGCGCACATTGCGCTCTTCTGCTTATGTGGTACACAATGTGCGTGTTACGTAATGATTTAATGAGTACCTGAATTGTTGGTTCTAGTTACTTCTTGATAATACAAATATTGTCTAAGTTCTAAACCTCAAATCGAACCTAAACTGACAGAGAAAACTTGCGCTTTAGCATTTTTCGCCACAAAAAGGTTTGCTTGGAAATTTTGTGATGACCTTTTTATAATACAGCTTTTTATACTATACCTACCAATGATATACGAATACATCCGCTCCAAAACGCACATTATTATATTCTGTGACGTATATATACACTCATGCATAACATTGTTATTATAATAATAGTCTATTAAGTCGACAATGACATTTTGAATTTTTGAAACAAAGTCAATTTGAATTTCAGCTATTGCAATAAATTACAATTTAAATGATAAACAGTAAGAGTCGGCGCATTAATTATAAACGGTGAAGTTAAGTAGAACATCTTATCTGATAATTATTATAAATGTGTAACTTTCGGTACTTATTATTCTATCTTTGCCGAGCTCAAATTATTTTATATTTACAATGAACGCTATCACACGAATCAATTAATATTGTAGAGAAAATAATAAAATTGTGGCAACTATTTAATGCAAATTGTCACAGGTCAGTTGTCACGTAGTAAAGACATCAACGCGCCGGCGCGTGGTTCTGCAGGGACTTCTTAGTAACGCACTGTTACGGTGATCAATTGATAGTGATAGTAGGATTATATTGCTCAACATCATCAACTCATATGTATATTGAATAATACATACAGTGTTAATAATGAAGAATATTATAATTCAAAATACTTTACTAAAATCCGCGGGAACATTTGGGTACTCAATTAATGGTTCCTAGTGTGTGTGTAAAGTACAATAAGAAGTAATAACATTATGAAGTATAGTAAGAAGTTGGATGGGTTCCCTATATTCTCCAAAACGTTACAGCTGTGCATTGTCAGTCAGTTACCTACCTAGTTACGGAAAATGCTAATGTTGATTATATTTGTCGTTAGGTAATAAACATAACGTGTAGTGGAGAGGAGAAGTACAATGTCGCATAAATGATGATGGCTTCAGTGAAACGAGTAACAATGCAGCAGATGTGCAACGAACAGTATTAATTATCATCCATTTATAATACCTACATATTATTTATTATTAAATACCATTTATGACTTCATGTTCCTTATCTTAATATTTTGAATACTCTTATCAGTCCATCGTTGGTCAAATATGGCGACATTTCGACACTGGCAGAGCATGGATCGGCGCCGGCGCACGTTCCCACGCTCGTGGCTACTAATTATCTATTATGTATTGTAATGAACGTCTCTAGAAGTGGCAGTGACTGCGACCCCAGCCGCTGCTGGCTGCAGTTCACTAAGCGCTATTGTTCCTGCTCCGCACTATCAGTGTTATCAGTGGCCACACAATGCCTGCTTTGTTCCCTGGCGAGACACCGCGCTCTGCCCGCGCCACAGTTCCTGCCTGAGTCAGCGTGGTGATTGCTTGTTGCCAGGTCTGACCTGCATAACTACCACTGACATTACTTATATATTGGAGGCTGATGAGAACCACCGCGAAATGTTTCACATGTTCACTAGATCTTCTCGGCCTATGTACCAATGCTTCATTTATGAAACAAATTAAGTAGTCTTTATAACTTGTTGAAATAATATTTTTATAAAAAAATAAACAAATTGTTTGAAATAACGGTGCGACAGACGCGGAAATAGTGTAGCAGCCATTGTATTAATATAACATACATAGTTAACTGTTTTAATTCTGCACAAAACAATGTGAAACTGTGCAAGGAAAGAGTGTGATCGGTTTCAATACTTGGTATTAGTTTAGTATTTAGATATGCAGATATTCCTCTGTAAATGACCTTGTGCACTTGGATTCCACCAATTCCTTCAACAGCTGTCAGTTACTCATTCACAATGTTAACACAATGTACAACACGACGTACTACAACGCAACTTGCTAAGTTGTGTAGTGACTATTGTTTGTCTGATTTATCTTAGTAACAAGTTGTATAGCAATATGTATGTATGTGTAGTCATTTCAGCAGCTGAAGTTAATTGATCCTATCAATTTCTACAGGCACCTATACTAGATGCAATTTAACTATTAATGCTATTAATTATACATATGTTAAAAACTTCTTGCAGTGTTGTATGACCCAGGAAAATAGTGCAATATTAAGTAGTCATCAAATTATATTGATGCTCTCTATGCTACCTACATCTACATAAACATGAAAATAACTAAACACACGCGCCGCTACGCATATCTACGCGCGTGAGGCGAGTGTTAGTGTGTGAACCTACAGTGCTTTCATAAGAGGCAATAACACGTAAACAGCCACAAAAAATGTTTGATGGGGCCCTAAAATGGCACAGCACGAGCCAAGCAGGGACATTGTGCAAAAGTGACGTCCCGGACCCGCGCCACGTCAGCGCGTCAGGTATTGTGTGCGGTGTTATTGAGCTATCTGACAGGCGGGGCTCGGCTAATTGTTCGAGCGACCGAGACCGCCATACATCTGGACGTAAGTGCGACAAGGACGCAACACAACCCTATTAATCCCCCTATAAATAACCCGGCTCTAATGTCGAGGCGCCACGCTTTTTTATATGGACTGCGACCGAACTGTCTTGATACTTACGACCAGTATTGACTCCACTCAGTGGCCGATAACGCAACGATAAGTGGATTAAACAATGAATGCCAGTGAGTGGTCCGTCTGAATGTTCGACTGCACGACCAATACGTACGTATTGGTCGTGAAGAAGTACTTTAATGAAACTTTATACATGTGTTGCGCTCTTTACTGCTGTGTGTTCCAAGTGAACAAGTAAACTAGTTTTCTATAGTTTTTTATGACTCTAAAATATTTACTGGTGAGTATCTATCTATAGCAACGATATAGCTGGAGCCGGTCCGCTTAGTACTTATGCCACAACTCTGGCACTCTGTTGCATGTGTTTGTGTACATAATAATAATAATACAAACTACACACAGTATCTATACACACGATACACCGGTGTGTAGTTATCGCAACACGAATACAATGTTACAACTGCTAGACAGGACTCGTGTCCACAATGGCGGCGACCAATTTGCCGATGTTTCATTTAGTTGATAGCAGTCATTTGTCAACATATCAAGACGGATGGCGGAGGGTGGGCACTAAGTGCGAAATGTTCCCGGCCGATCCACAGTTTTTTGTTTGGTTACGGTGAGCCTAATCCGATGACGACGGATGACAAAAAATCCGGCTAATGGTCCGCTGATGTATCAATGACAGTGACGACCCCGTCCCGCCCCGCCCCGCCCCGCCCGGCGTACCGGGTGTGCGTGCCAACAAACAAACAAACATATCATGATACGCCGGTGACGTGTGTAATGGACTCGAGTGGCCGCCGCTTTGTGTTGCTGCACGGCTCGGAACTACGTATACCTATATAATAATATTATTGACCTATCCTATTATTACTTAGATACTCACATACTGCAGGGCCCTGTTGTTATCATAATCCCTTATATTTACTTTTTGTTAATCAATAACTCCGTCCGTGTAATGTTATGAATATTTAAGAACGCTGTAGTTTCAAGAATCTATTTGCAGCATCTTATTTAATTATTACATCTTTATGTGCCATCGCATTACATAAGCGTACTTATTGCTATAGGCGTTGTCAATAACATAATTTTAAGAGAGGATCTGAGAATAATGTGTAACTAAACAACATTCTGACAATATGACGGCAACACATTTGTGTTGCCTGGTTGCGGAACTATGTACTAATACGGAATTAGCTTAATACTATTACTTATTAAAATATGATTTTTTTTATATTTTGCGTTTCTGTGTATCTTCTAAATTACATTCCTGGACTTTTTGCGAGTGTGTGAGTGGAGGTGGCCGGAACTGAGTGACGCGGACGTCGTAAATTGGTGCAATGTCCGAGTGGTCGAATATTTTGCGTTTTTTCTAAGCAGAGTTACCTGCGCCGGCGCCGGCGACACGTCACCGCGTCTTTATTGCCGTCTGACGTCTGTAAGTAGGTCAGAAGGGTTGCAGGTAGCAGCCAGACGCTGGAAGTAGCTGCCAGTACTGCCAGCCTGCAGACCACACTATTGCTTGCCGAGTTGACCCGATTAACTCAATCGGGATCAACAAACTTGTAGATAAAACTTAAAAAATCTTGTTTCCTAGAATATTTCTTCATATTATTGTGTGCGTCTTAAATATATCTATACTAATATTATAAAGAGGTAAAATTTGTAAGTTTGTGAGTTTGTATGTAGGGGGTAATCTTTGGAACCGCTGGTCGGATTTCCAAAATTCTTTCACTGATAGATAGCTACAATATTCCTGAGTGCTATAGAATATTTATATAAAACATCACGCTACGATCAAATGGAGCCGAGCAGCGGGTGAAACCGCGCGAGAGTAGTTAGTCTGTAATAACTTGGGTTTATGTGTCTTTCTGAAAGCCTGTACTTTGCATGAAATAAAATCATTTGCAGTTTGGGGGCACAGATATAAGTTTTAAAACTATATAGCGTTATGCCCGTGACTGGCGTTAGGTGCAACTGTAGGAATGTTTGTAACGCCTGTAAAGTTAGGCGCATTATTACGCGCAGGCGCCACGGACCGCCGCCGCCGCGGCCGTAATTCCTTGCGCACGCGCATGAAATACAGAGCTGGGTAGTGACCTCTATGATCTAGTGCCACAGAACCCACATTATTGTTATATATTTTTGGAAATGATTTTTTATTTAAGTAAATAATTTTGGCTCAAGCATTGCATACGGTTGTTAAATATTTATATAATTACCTACTACCTACTACTGCAAGGAAACAAACTCCATAATTATTGGAGATAATGAAATGTCGTTGGATAGATTTTTGCATTTCGTTACGCTCAGTGAATTATAAATATAATTATATACTTTTAGAAGTTTTCGAAATTAAATAGCCTTACATTACTATCTTGAGTCTTAAAAAAATATGAAAAACAAATAAACTGACCTGAAGATAGATGTAAAATAATGTGACAACGTAAGAAATGTTTCGTTAGTCGTGCAAGCACGAATTAATTAATGTTTTAACATGATGATGCAAACAGTAAGATTATTGTATAATAATAATAATGACATCTTATAAAAACAGAAACGGTTTACCAAAGAACATTAAACAATGTGAGTGAGAATCTGTCTAATGTTTACAAAGGAATTATTGACTAGTCACAACAACAGCATTCGGCCAGTTATAATGTTAGAGAGTGCGGGAATTGTGTTCGGCTACTGAAAGTTTCAGTTCTCAAAGGCATACAGTACTAGTATTATCAGATAAGCGATGAGACAGCGCTAGGAATGCAGCGCCGGCGCCGCTCGATGGGTTGCGCCGGCGCCGCGTGCGGGACTAACTTCGCAAACGGCCTTTGTCTACTGTTAGTCACTGCTATGTTACGTGGGGTGAGCAGTATTGTACAGTTGCCAGTGCTGCCGAGCCTGGCTCTGGGAGACGCATGCGCTGCAGTGTGGCACTTCAGTGCAGAGCCAGCTTGCTTTTAGTTTTTTTTGTTCCCAACTAAGATTGATTCGGCCCTGAATGTTTAACATTTATTGTTTTTTCTTTGACTGGGGTCCGTGAGATAGCCAAGTCTAAAATTAATTCTACACTAAACGCATTCTTTTGTGTATGTGGTGCTCACTAGCAGTAACGTGTCGCATTTGTGCAGTGCAGTGCACCAAGCATTGCCTGATTTAACCTCAAACCGCTTAATTAAAATATAACATTTCCAAAATAAATTATATCCACGTTTAATTATTCATTCACAATATTGTTTACTAGTTACTCTCGCGCAGTTTCACCTGCTGCTCGGCTCCATTTAATCGTAGCACTCAGGAACATTGTAGCTATCTATCAGTGAAAGAATTTTGGCAATCCGACCAGCGGTTCCAAAGATTACCCCCTACATACAAACTTACATACCGCTTTATAATATCATTATAGATAGTATAGAAGGATAGATAACTAAAGCAGTGGCCGTCACACTGACATTTTAAAATCTAGATAATTTGGAAATTGGTTTATTTCGTGGGCTCCTCACCACACAAGAACATGTCACGGAATATCCTAACGGATTGATGTATTTCAAACGATTTGTTGAATGTATTTAATTAAGGCGTGTTATAATCACGCTCAGCTGAAGTATTAAATACTTTGTACTAAGTGCTGCCTACCCCCGCGTGAGACGTGGCGACGTGTGTACAGCGCCGCGCAGCCGAGCTATCAGCTATTAGCGTGTAACGGAGCGGAACACTTTTTGCGCGATCATGCTGCAATTACTCGCTGATTTATTGCTGCAGCACACACACACACACACATACATATGATATACACGTATTATTACGTCATTATAGTCTTTAGAGTAGCAACAGTGACAAGTTCACTCTGCGTCAACTGTTTGTAGGCAGTAACAAGATGTTCCAGTCACGATAGTGTTGTGTAGGTACTAGGTAGGCCTGTTCGCGGGGTGACTGCCCGAGTGTAACTCATATTCAATAATTACCAGGAGAGTAATATGAAGAAATGTTAGTGTTAGCGTGAGTCCGTCGCGCGTCGGCAACACACAACTTGGTCTGTCCACAAAAACTTACATGAAAACTTCGTGTTTCTTAACAAATATCTGCACCAATCGTTGTGGTAACACGTTGACCATAATACAAGAAATATGACCCGCAACTACGCATCACACGATGCAGTCACACAGACTTCTTGCATTAGATGTGTGCCGCTGAGCTATGGTTATTGTGACGTGATGCTACATGACCATACGGAGGCGAGATATAGTGCTGGACGTTCAGAACGAGTACGTTCCCTCTAACAATTATAAGTTTTCGTAAAGCGGTTTAAGTTAGTACTCACGTAAAATCGGGTAATTCCTGCGCGGGCCCCGTGTAGTTAGTGTGCTGGCTGCTGTCCTGCGGCTGGCTTAGTATATCACTGACACTGGCACGAGCTGATGAAGAGCACTGAGGATCACTGGAGCGAACAACACCGCGCGGCACGTCGACGCGTGTACACTTGACGGAGAGCGCGCGCCCACTGGCGGCGGGAGGCGGCGGCGGCCGCGCGCAGCCTCCGCCCCGGGGCGGGGCGGGGCGCGCCCAGCACGCAAGGGAAATGCGCTTTTCCATAAATTGCAGCGCACATGATGAACGCGCACGTAACGCGTCACTCGCAGTGCTGGCGAGCGCGGGGGCGGCGGGGCGCGGCGGGGGCGCGGGCTGCGGTGGGCGGCCGCTATCGCGAGTAATGGGCGCCGCGCGGAGATTTATAGAGGGGTTAGTTTTCGGGCCCTAATGGAATTAGTACTGCGTTTTTGTTTATACTCACGGCGTAGCAATCAATCGTGCCTCCCCCCCTGCTCCCCCGACCGTACTGGCCGCGCCAGCAGTTTGCTAATTAATCGCTAGCACTCGGCAGCAGCCGATCAGTGGATGTTAATTGAGGAGCGACGGTTACTGGAGCTCTTACAACGCGGTAACACGCTACTCTACTCCAACTTCTACCGAGTACATTACGGCACGAGATAGGACGTTGCTGCGTTATGGTTCATTAAATATAGCCAGCAGCAGGCTGTATGTTGCTTATGTTACACTCAGGTTACACGCGACTTGTATTCACAGCTGAGTTTATGTTTTAACATTAAGACACCGGTCAGTCCGCGTGTAACATTATCCTTGCTACTTGTGACATTCTGTCCACAAAAGTTGTTTAGTTCAGTATAAGTACCTAGTAGTACCTAAGCTTTACCGTAAACACTAGAACTTCCTTCGGAGCTTGTCACTGAGTTACATACATATGTATTATATGGTGTCAGAATAACTTATTTCGTGTAGTTACGCATGATGACAATGCGTATCAATACTCGACACATTCTGTACTTTATAAGTATGGCAGTTATTAGCGATAGTCGGAATCACGACAATACAATAAAAATACCACCTGGTACTTGTTGGTGCCGCTGAGTAATCAAACAAGCTTATAATGACCCTGACGGGAATGCGACCTGGTCTATTCATTTAAAACCACACTGCAGTTGTTACAAGGGCGTAACTTAGTGAAAAGTCAAATTTCTTGGTTCTTTACAAAACGGCAAAACGAATCGAAGAATTCGAAAAGGGTATCAAGGTCTTTACTAGATCAGCAAAAACCCCGCTGCTGTAGATGTAGTATCATCAATACCATCGACAAGTTGGATTGAGTTTGTTTGCCAAGTCTTTGGATAGTTTAAAACGAAATATTTTAACATGTGTAGGTACACATACCCACTGGTACGGGCATGAATATTTCTATAGCATTTAAAAATGCTATAACCAACCACCCTGCAAATAACATTGACGACATATTCTAAAGATAGTCTTGTAGAAATGCCTACTTTACCTATGCAATCTTAAGAACATAATTTTATAAATAAGCAATTAAAACAAGTAAATAAAAGTTGTTACAAGTTTGTTGGTATGAATGAATGTTTGTAACTCTTTCATGACGACAGAACGAATCTTAATAACATTTAGAGACTAGGCGATAGTTTGCACACACACACAGGCTTGGTGCTCCGGGCGAAGTCCCTGGCAGAAACTAGTTTTGTTATAAGACCATGTCAATCAGACAATCTAAGTAACGGGTGCCGCTGAGTGTAGCCCGCTTCAATACACTCTAAAGCAGTTACTGTGTATTGAAGCTCTCATCATACCGTCTACTGTAGACGTTATGATGAGAGACGATGACGACGATCATGGTGAATTGCAGTGCAGTGCTCCGGGAACGTTACCGTGGCGGTGCATGGTGGCGGCGGTTCCCACGCGCATGCGCACAATGGCTCGCACTCTGCTGCTCGCTTCTATTCAGTAACTGGGTCGTCTTATCACTTCCTTTAAACTCGACCGCAACTACCTACTTTCCAGAAAACAGTTCATTATTACCACTTACTAATTCAGTTGTGAGGAGTATTTGTCAAAATTTACCATTGTTCATGTATTCCCATGGGAACAAATATAATTAATTACTTTTAACAAAGTCCTCAATATTGACACGGAGGAATATTTTGAATTTACCCCAAAGTTCAATCAAACGAAACTGATACGATAAGTTATATATACGAATCTAGTAGGATTGTTAGTGTTTTCATTTTAGTTTTTATCTACTCAAATCTTTTTTTGTATTTTTGATGTAAAATATAATCGAGTCAGGAATGCGGAGGATGCGGGTAGATGCTAGGGTAACATCTAATGAATTTATTCTCTTTGAATGAAAGTAACATTTATTGTTTCACTATTTAGCGTGTCCGGAATTTATAAAGTAAAATATATAAAAATATATAAAGATGTTTCACCGTGTGAGTGAGGTTATAGGAGGCCCAATCCGTCCCCTTCCCCTATCCCTTCCCAGTCCTTATATCCGCAACCCCTATCCCCAAAAGGCCGGCAACGCAATCGTAACTCCTTTGGTGTTGCGGGTGTCCATGGGCGGCGCCGATTACTTACCATCAGGTAATCCGTCTGCTCGTTTGCCGACTTACACCATAAAAAAAGATACACCAAAATTGTGGCAGGGGAAATAAATATTTCTACTTAATAACATGCATAGTGTAGTGTTTGTACTGGATGAGAAGTTACCATTTACTTGATTATTCTGTATAGGCAAACTGCTCAGTACTGACAATACTGTACCGACACACATCTACCAAATGTTACAAATGACATCTCTATTTATGTATTATATTTTGTGCTCCGCTGCCGACACCGACGGAAAATAAAAGCGTGAATATATCTGTCAGCACTCAACATAAATAGCCGTGGTAAATAGTTGTAACGTTATTATTCAAACGACAGGTTCCTACGTAATCATTGTCCTAATACACGAGTGCATTCGCTACCGTACCAATATTACAGCTACAATGAAACTCCACGTGTATATAATAACATGCAAATATGATATCTGTAGAGGACAACATTTTCAAATCATGTTTGTATGTAACATTCCGTAGCACGCCGTAGCGCTCCGTAGCATTGCGTAGCTGCTAAAGTAAATTGGGTTTTTTTAATGTATAATGTTCTAGTAATAAGGAAAAGTAATTGTAGCACATGAATCATCATTCAAGAATATTGCCAAGAACGTGAGTATGACAAGTAATCCTATTGTGTAGAGATAACGAGTCATTAGCAGTCGAGGCGCACAATGGTAGAACAATCGCTGGTGCTCCGGCTATTGACTGAGTCGACAATAGTTTGCGAGTAATCCGCGTGGGACGAGTAGCCGGCCGTGACGTCACCCGCACCGTCGGCTGCTGCAGGACATTATACTGTTACCGGGTTGTAAGGGTGTTTTAACTACATCTTATTATATGAGCCAGGTTTACGCAGTTACATTATTGCAAGATTATCCCTGATAAATAGCTTCGCTAATTAGTTTAGGCGAGCCAGTAGTATTAGTGTCTCTAGTGCCTACATTATGTTAATACTTTTTATAGCTTAAGCATGTTTTTATTAGTGGTTGTACTTATGGTCCTACGCCATGTTTCCACATTGATGGCTACTTACTACGGAGGTTTCTTAAAGAACATTACAACAGTTACTCTGTGGTTAGAATGTAGTATGTACTCAGTGTCACAGAAGAATTGTAACAATAAAACCACGTGATGTTTTATATTAATCAAATCATTATAAGATCATTACATTAAGACATACATATAAGTAGGTATGGGTAATGAGGCAGATATACGCAACATACGCTGCACTTTGTGGTAGATAGGAAACGTATATATCGTATGAATTTTTCGGCGCACGTACCCGAGCACTGGCTTCATTTTCTCCACAATTACCTACTACAATCTCCGGAACACACAATAGTGCACTACACAGATTACTATAAACTAGTCAGAGAAGTTATAATATTAGCTACTGAATGAAGTTTCACCTGTATTGAGCGGCTCATATTGGTCGGGGGTGATTTTTTATAGCCTAAACCACTCCGGAAAATTGTAGCTATCTATCAGTGAATTTTGGAAATCCGACCAGCGGTTCCAAGGATTACTCCATTACATTACATACAAACTTACAAATTACAAATTTGACCTCTTTATAATATGTGTATTGTGATTAGAATTCCAAACCTAGTTTCTGTTTTTACATGTTATTTTTTGTCGTGGTGTTCCAGAGGTTAAGGCACCTCCTTCTGATTAATTTATTTATTTTATTTTGACACTACTAACATAAGGTGAAGGAGACATTGTGAGGATACCTGAACTTATTATTTGTAATTATAAGTTTGAAACCGCCTTGAGCAAGCATGGTGATTAATGCTCAAGCCTTTCCCGTGTGATAAGAGGCCTTTGCACAGCAGTGGGCACTGATAGGCTGAGGATAATCAGAATTCCAAAGTATTATTATCTTCATGAAACTAGTGAAGTCGAAGGTCCCTATGGATAACTACCGAATAAAAAGCAATACATTACTTAAGATTGCTACATTTGGAGATTTATTTTGAAAATCTCTTTATGACGTAAAGTATGATAGTGATGTGTTGGTTATACAGTTCGATGATTAATAGACGATGTTTTTTTTTCTTATTTCTTGTATCTGTGCTACGGTGAGCTATATATCTCATACTACGACTTTACAATGACATCATGGGGAACTTTGGAAAGTGGCACTATACCAAAAATGTTTAGATTCCCTTAAGATGGTCCCAAATGTGTTTTTTGCGACATAAGTTTTTGCGTTAGCTTTGGAGTTAGATGTTATCTTAGATTTCCTCCTTATGGTACACCTGAGTTTTTAAACACGAGTTAGTTTACATCGCACATGAATCACAAACAGAATGATTCTCACTTTAGTTCTGGTACATTCTAGCCATTAACATCCAGGAATTCAAGCAAGCGACAAGTCAACATGGCCACATAGCCCGTGCTTGTAAGTACATTGCTTAACGGTTCAGTTTCTAGGATTGACATAGTTTGTGCATACTTAAATATAACTGTGCCTTTCTTCCTCCTTGTATTGATGCGTCCAAGCTCTAGCGAGGGACTAACAATATCTATGGTCACCGTGTTAGCTGCAGAGGAAATAAGATTATGGATGATATGCGTTTAACTAGTAAAAGTTAAACGCATATCATCTTCGGTACATTTAGTAACCAGTAAATTCAGTAAACAGAAGTTGAATCGTTCCGATGAAGTATCCGTAATGTAGCCAGGTACAATGTACAATATGTAGCCGGGGCGGGGGTTGGAAGCGGGGCCACTTTAAAACAGTGCAGTATTAAAAACATCAGAATCGAAACATTTTAATTATGTAGATCTGCTTATAAAAGCTCGACAATATAACACAAACGAGTACGTCTTAAAGTCAATACATGTACCTATATTTGTGTACTTATCGGTACTTCGCTTCGTTTCCATTCATCATGGAGTCAGACAGTTAGAAACCATGATGATGATTCTACTTTGGTTTTACTAAGAGATTCATCAAATCTACATATTGTATTCCGTAGCATGTAAGAGTTTGCCTGGCTGGGTATTTTTTTCCTGTCAGTTTGTACGTGTATGTGCCGGATTCTCTCTCTTTTTTTAAAAAAACGTTGCTCCAGACTAGAATTTTCTCCTCTTCTGAACAATTTGTGGATCGCACGATGCAGGGCAGCCTGTTGCCTAGCCACCGCACCAGCCGTGCAGTCAAAGATTTCATGTGCTCTGAAAAGTACTTGATCAGCAAAATTATTGAAATCATATATCTAGACAATTAATATGTGTTTTCTTTTCAGCACCCGGATTAATTCCCTGAATATTTGTAAGAAGTAGGTGTAAGTGTACCCAAACAGAACCGATCCAAGTGAGTACATTTAAATAAATAAAACTACCAAGCACCGGTATAACATGGCTGGCTGCATTACAACTTGAAGTGTAGTGATAAGCGACCCGCGCCAGTGCTGGGAGGGGAGGGGGGAGGGCGAGCGGCGGCTGCTTTGTACCTATTCTATTATTTCATGATCCGATAAAAAAGGAATAAAGGCTCGCGACCTAAACGCAGGAATGTTGTAGATTTTGTGTTAGGCGGGCGCCGGCGCCGGCCGCATTAGTGCGGCGAGCCCGCGACAACGGTTACACATTAGTCCCTCGCGCCCGCCCGCCGCGCTCCATACCGACATAACTCCCCAGCGCCGCCAGCGATACTTCAACTTTATTGTATTACTTATAGAGCTCATTTCTCAGCTGGTTTTTATGACATTACTGCATTTGACTACTTCCAAAGCATGGACATAGCTTCGGACGTAAGGACTGAACTGCATTCCATGTCCTGGCTGTATAGTCCGTATTCAGAAGGCATAAAGTCGCGATTGCAATGCAGGTATCGAGTGACAAGTGGAGCGCTGCCGGCTGCGTCTCACGCCCACTTATCGATCGGACAATTTAACCGATACGTGTATAAGTGTAATATATCAATTGTGGTTGCGCGGCTGCTGTCCGTCCGTCCGTCCGTCGCGACTGCTAATGAATTTCGTTCGTTGATTGCGTCCCGGTGCGCGCGCGCATACCTCGCGTCCCTCCTCGCGCGTAACTTATTGACAACTAGGTGAGCAGATAGCGGCGCGCACTTTATTACGTGCGCTCTCGCTGCGCGCTAATTACTACAATTGTTATCTCCACACGTCATTACCCATACACAGTTTTTGCACAGAACCTTTAAGCGGCACTCTGTCCATACAAGTGTGTTGTATAATTACTTGCATATACAGGACCTGTACAATAAACTACCTTTAACTAAGTGATTACCATTTGGTGCTTGTATTGCGTGACCTCTCCGAGGTCGGAAACGTGTCAGTTCTAATTCAAAACTTCTCTCTCTCTCAAACGTATACAAAGTTCAAAATATGAATTAGACCACAGCAGACCATCACACGGGGGTTTTTACTCAGCAAGAGTCTGACACTCCCTCTCGCCTCATACTGGGCGGGAGAAGTCATATGATGA